CCAGAGGGGGCTGAGCAGGGTGTCACAGCAGGACCCCAACCCTTATGGGTGCAGGGCTGGTGTCCCTGCTGCTGGCAGGTCTGGGCACCCCCTCCGGGGCTGTCCCCACCCGCATCCTTCCCTGGGTGACATCTCCGGTGGAGCAGCATTTATGCTGTGATTCACCCAGCCGTGTCTGCTCTCCTGGGTAGGACAGGACCACAGCCCTGTGCCGGTGGCCACCCCTCTGCCAAACCTCCCTTTGGGCCCAAAGGTCTCCTCTCACGTGCTGGATGCGAGCTGGGATGCTGCTGATGGCAGCAGAGCCCCGCTGCTTCTGGTGAGCCACAGGGACTGGAGAAGTGTCCTCGGCCCCGGGTACCCAGGATTTTCTCGTTCTCCCCACAAACCATGGTGCCTCGGGAGGAGATAAAAGCACAGACGCAATTAGAGCCTCTCCTGTTTGCCTTTAATCAGCTCTCCGAGGGAGCAGAGGCTCCTTAGGAAACTGTTACAAACTCCTGATTATTTCCCCAGCTTTCCAGAAGAAGGAAAGAGCAGCAAAGACAGGGAGCAGGCAGGAAAAGAGCAGTGGGAAGGGGCCAGCGTGCACCAGTTCCCACCACCAGTGGGATACTGGTTTAAGCTCACCAGACAGCAGCCACGTGGGGACAGGAGGACGTGCAACAGACCGAGGGCAGGTTTCATTAAACAGCACAAACGCCGTGCTCGCTGGAAGGGCTCAGGGCAAGCGACCAAAGCCCTGTCCCCAAATCCACGCCCGCCTGAGCGCCTTTCCAGCCGTGCGCTCTGCTGGCTGCCGTGATTCACGCGGCACCGCTGCGCTGCCTTGCTCAGCACGGGGAGATGACGAGCTGCCCGGGGGAGGCTGCTGCAAGATGCCGCGGATGGGAGGGCTTGGAAAATGCCAGAAGCCCCCTTTATGGGGGATCCGTGCCCTGCTGCTCCTGGCAGCCCCCGCCGGCTGAGCTCACTCCCCAGCTGCAGCCTCTTCGAGCACCTTGACTCATCTTTTCCAGCCGCAGGGCTCACGTGCTGCAGAGCCGCTGCCGTGCAGCCTCTTTTTATTTCTGGAGGAGTGAGGGATCTGCACAAACCTACAGGTGAAAGAGAAGCCAGGGCTGTGGGGCTGAGGCACAGCAGCAGCGCAGGTTTTCAGGGGGAGCCCAGCAGTGGGTGAGCACAGCCGGGGAGAAGCAGCCCAGATATCACCCAGGCTGCCTCCTAACAGCAGCGAGCTGCCTGTGAGCAGCTGCTCTCAGCAGCACTGAGCTCACATCTCCAGATAATTCACCCTTGGAACCAGAGCCACAACGTTTTGGCCTCGGTAGCCACCTCTAGTCAAAGCCCCTCGCTTGATGGGGCTGTTCCTGCCCCCATTAAATAGGATTTGCTTCCTCCACCCCGCGCCGACGTGGTTCAGGGAGCGAGCATCACCTCCCCCTGTGCGCCCAGATGGCCCCCCAGCAGTGGGGCCAGCTGTCAGCGTGCCACACGCAGCAGCGAGCCCAGGGCTTGGGGACAGCATCAGGGGGTGCTCGGGGACCTTGTGGTGCCACCTTGCAGACATCTGCCCTACGAGCATCGCAGCGCTATGACGGTGCGAAAGAGCAGCCGTCAGGTTGTGGTTTTTCCTTTTATTTTCATTAGTTCAGCCTCACCCTCCTGTTTTTAGGGTTGCCTGCGTGGGCATCTCCAGCCCTACTGCCCTCCCCGCTCCCTTTTGCTTTTGCCCTCCTTCCCTTTCCACGCCCACCGTGCGCTTGAACACAATTTAATCCCCAACCAGCAGCACCAGAGAAGCCAAGCCAGGCTGAGGTTCAGCTTAACGGACCGAAACCCACTAAAAAAAACCCAGCCAGCTGGTCCAGCCCACAGCTTCCCAAGCTGCTGCTCCGAGCCAGCCCCGCTGTGCAACCCCCAGGACAGCCTTGGGGCTGCCAAGCGCCCAGATTGCCCCAGCGGGGCGGCGAGCCAGAAACCCGCAGCCACTCGCTGCTCCTGCCAGAGCCCTGGAAATGCAAATAAAAGCGTGGCAGCTCGAGGGGCAGCGTGCTCAGTGAGGCTGCACCCCAGCCACGTTTCACATCTGTCCCCATGCGCACCGAGGGTGCCGACGCGGCTTCCCCTGGCTTTGCTTCGGGTTTCTGGGGGCTGCTCTCAGCCACGGCACAGAGACGCAGAGAAAGGGGAGCTCGTGGAAAATACAGACGCCAAAAAAACTCCCCCTGCCCAAGCCCCTGCAGGGCAGCGCCCTCCCACCCTGCAGCACCAGGGGCAGAGTGTGCAAAAGCAGCTTTCTGGCCTCATTTCAGCTGGGAGGAGATTGCCACAGACCATCGTTGATCTGCTTCCTCCCCAGGCTGAAACCTGAGCTGGTCCCACAGCCTGTAATAACATCTCGGAGTTAATTCACTGGGGCTGAAGCCATCTGTGGCTAAAAATAAGGCGTAATTCCTTCCTAAGGGGCTCACGCAACACACCTGCAGCATCTTCAGCTCGCACAGCTGCTGGGAACAGGGAACAGGCACCTGAGCTTGGGGCCAGGACAGCAGGGAGGAGAGGGATCACAGCACACTGATTTCTCCTGGAAATCCTCAATCTGAGCACACCAGCAGCTCCCAAAGTACCCTCACCTCTCCGGGTCCTTTCCCCCTGCCCGCAGCACCCTCTTGCACCCCTCTGCTCCCGTGTGTGCTGCACAACGCAGCTATTCCTGCTGCATGGTGCCAGACGATGCTCCCCGAGGGGCAGGGAGGGCTTGCTAACCCGCAGCACCTTTGCACAGCTCGCGCTGGCTCCCAGATGTGCAAAAAAAAAAAAAGGTGAGACTTGCTGCCGTGGTGTCACACCACGCGCTCGGGCTGGGACAGGCCCTCCCAAAATGCCACCTGTGTAAGCGAAACCCACACCTTGGTGAGAAAAATATTTTAAAGGTGTGATGGCACTGCTATTTTTTTTTTTTCCGATTGATTCGAGACCCAAAGGAAATGAGCAGCGGATTGCAAGCTCACCTCAATGCCCCGGGGACCAGGGTGGGCTGGTGGCTCAGCCACGGCCACCCCTGCTTCATCCAGAGGCTGCAGAGGTGCAGCTCTTTGTCCCCAAGTGCTGACCCCGGCACCGGGCACTGCCCGCTGAGCTGAGCACAGGAACGATCCCTGCTGGGAGGCAAAGCCCTTGGATTTATTTCCTTCCTCTGCTCCTCCCGTTTCGGAAAGGAAAAAACACATCGCTCGCGACGCTCGCGAAGCAGATCTGCGAAAATCAATCTGCAAATCGCATCAGCTATGGCACAGTGCTCCATAAATTGACTGCCTGGGTCCCGGGGGAGGCAGCGTGGGAGGGAGCACTCGGCTGGCTCGGGCAGGCACCCCTACGTCCTCACCCCTGACTCCCCGGGTGGCACCGGTACCCCCCCTGGGATGTCAGAGCATCGTGCCCATGGCAGCTCGACCTGGGGAAAGGGAGAAACTGAGGCTTTTTGGGGAGCTCTTCCCTGCTCTGTGCCATTTAACCAGAAGGGGCGGTGGGTACCGAGGCAGGACGAGCCCCGTCCTTCCTCTTTCTCCTCCTGTAAAGCTCAAGGTGACCCAAAGGAGCTCCCCAAGTGCTCCCAGCAGGCAGCATTCCCCAGCTGGAGATGAGCGGGGCGGATTTCCAGGGCAGCCCCGTGGTGTTTCCCCTGCTCCCGTAGGGCCTGGCAGCTCAGCACAGCACAGCACTACGGCACCAAGCAAAGGGCAGCAGGAAGGTCGCTGCCCAGAGACGTAAGGACAGGGGAAAGGATGAAAATCACCAAAAGCCAGGCTGCTGGAGGAGCGCAGCACAGACTGCAGGTGCTCGCCCAGGCCAGCCCGCCACGTGGCTCCCAGCGTGAGCAAGCACAGCCCCACTTCACAGCCCACACACATCCTCGGCACCGGGAGAGCGCGCCTGTAGGCACCACCGGAGGAATGAGAAAGGGAAGGGGTGGACGAGAACCACCCCCGGCAGCTCCCCTCCGAGCTGCTCGGGAAAAGCTCCCAGCTGCTCGGAAAGCACCGGCCCCTGCGCTGCTCGGGGACGCCTCTGCCAGCAGGACCGAGGTCTGGCACGCTGACAAACACACCCAGAGCCTTCGTTTGGCTCTGCAGAGGGGCCCGGAGCAGCCACAGGTCACCTCTGGGTGCCACCGGTGTCCCCACGGCTCCCCAGGGCCCTGCCAGGAGGAGCAGCCCCGGCGCCCCCGCCAGCATCTGTTCCCGGGGAACTTTTGTTCCCGATTTATCCCCTGTCTCCTGGAGCTATTCTAGGCAGGTACAATCTGCATCGCCATTGTTATTCAGATGATGTACGGATAATTTTAACCTTTCTGTTCCATTTGTCAAGGTTTTTCTTTTTTCTTTTTTTTTTTTTTTTTAGCCTCCCTGCCTGCCAGCAGAGTGCTGCCTCTCCGGCAGCAGAGGCTCCCCGTTCTGCAGCACCCATTTCCCTCGCTAGGGCGAAGCTCTGCCTCCCCCAAAATCCCTCTGGGGGTCTTCTCCATGGCCCCAGACGTGTGGGAAAGCAGGAGAAGGGTTTGAGCACTCAGCTCATGCCATCCATCACCTCCGCAGGGAGGTCTCATCGTGGTACCAGCCTCTTGGGGACCCGCATGCTCAGTCCTGCTTCCAGAGCCTTTGGGGCAGTTCAGATTTAAGCCAAAAAAAAATTAAAAAATGTTAACGCAAGACTTGTGGCTCGCCAAGGAGGAGCCGTGCTCCTCATAACGCTACCAGAACGTGGCACGGTGATGGGAAATCAAAGGAAAAATCACAAAGGGCACCACCACGGCAGCTCCACCCTCTGCCTGCAGGCTGGCCCGAAAACTTTTAGCACTTCCAACAGCTCTGCACAGGAGCAACGTAAGCCCTGATTTCAGCATCTTTGGTGGAAAACCCACCCGAAAGCTCCAGGCCGGGCAACAGGAGCTGCAAGCACCCGACCTCCGCGTGCAGCACAGACAGGGCGCGGGGCGGTTCTTTACAACAAGGTTTTATTTTTCTTTCCTTTTGACAAAAAACATTGAAGTTGTACATCACCGCCCGTCGGGCTGCTTCCCTGGCCGGGTCCGAACGAGCACGGTTTGTTACAACATCCCGACCCGGCGGCGGAACATCTCCCACCCCCCCTCGGCTCCTGGCGGCCACGCCGGGGGTCTCTGCCCTCCGAGACCCTCAGGAGGGACACGAGGATGGGGAGGGGGCGGCCGGCTCCAAGGGGAGATGCTCCGGGGCTGCCCCATCTCCCCGCACACCCCCACGCCCCTCTGTCCCCCTCCTCCCTCCCATGGTCAAAAACGACCACCGACGGCAGGTCGGGGGCTCGGAGCTGGAGGAAAGGTCCAAAAAGCCAGGGAAGAGAGGTCGTGCAGCAGCAACGTGAGTCCAGAGACTTCAAAAGGAGAGACGCGGGCTGCAACAGTGCCCGGGGGCTGGTTCCGCTCCCCCCTCGGCGGAGTCCTTCCCGCGGTTCTCCCGGGGTCCTTTTTGGTTTCGCAGGCTTGCTTTGGAGGTGCCGCCTGGTCCCTGCGTGTCCCTGCCTGCCGCGGGAGCAGGAGCGATGGCTGCTGCGGGAGAGGCAGGATCGGGGCATCTTCGTGCCCCCCCGAGGGGAAAAAATAACAAAACAAAAAAAAACAGGCTCTGGTTTGCTTTGTACAGTTTCCGTATGTTGGTACAACACAGGTCTCAGGTAGCAAAGCTCGGGTTCGCCGACTGGTGCCATGGCGCCTCCTTGCACGCCCAAGCCCCTGCCACCGGTGGTCATGGTCACAGCGCCAGACACGAAAATCTGCCTCCTCCCCTGCCCTCGGGCTCTTCCTCGCTGCCTTTGGAAGGAGAAAATGCCAGCACCTACATTTTAGGGACCTACAGCATCTCCTCCTGCAGCACTGCCAGCCCCGTCTGCGTCCCTGTCCCCCACGGGGCATGGCTCGTCCCCAAGCACGGAGGCTGAGAGTGACGGAGGGTTTTTTGGGGGACTTTGGGGACCGTTTTGCAGCTGGAAGTGTCCGATCAGAAAAAACAAGGGGCTGGCAGGGCCAGCAGAGGTGCCCCCACCGGGCAGTGAGGCAGTAGGGGTTTGGTTCCACCACGGAAACCCCTTTCCTGGGTGAACAGAGGGCGCTTTGGCCATTAGAAAAAGGGTTTTTGGTTCACGACGAAGCCCGGCACAGGGCAGGATTTGCTTCTTGCAAAGCAGAGCAGCTCTGGGGGAGCTCCCTGGGGGCAGGGGCTGATCCGCACATGCAGGAGCGGGGCCGTGCGTGCCCATAGCATCTCTCGGTGGGGAGCAACGGGGACCAAAGCCAAGCCTGGCCAGCCACAAGTGCCGGGGGCAGCCCTGGGGACACCAAGCAGAGCATGAGAAGGGCAGGATGAGGTCCGTCACCTCCCCGGCGGGCACACACCAACCTGAGCGCACCAACTCAGCACCCTCCTGCTCCCAATGGCCATGCTCTGGCTCCCCACAGACAAAACTCACAGCCAGGGCGGGCCACCGGGCACCACGGGGCCATGTAATTACCACATTAATTAATGACCGGCATGGGGCATCCCGCTCCCGCTGCCACCACACGGCACGGCTGGGCCACCCCTAGGGCAGCAAGCGCGATTCCCACCGCTGTGATCGCCAGGGGACAAGGGGACCGAGGGGACAAGGGGACCAGGGGGACGTCCCTGCTTCTCCGTCACATCCACCGACATGCAGCGAACCCCGCAGAGGCTTGGTCAGATGACTAAAACGAATCCATGTATGTGTATATCTTTATATATACAGCATATAAATATATATACACACACATACCGTATGTACACGCACACCTAGAGTTAGTTCTCCGTGTAGAAATACAGCCAGGTCGCTGCCAGGCGGGGTACATTCGGCAGCGCCGAGCCCCCCTCGCTGCTCCCGTCTGCCCCAGTACAAACCAGTTGGCGTTGGCGTGGCCCATAGGGGCAGGCACAGCCGCTCCCAGCCGCCTCGTGCACCCTGGCCCCCCGCACCTCGCCCCTTCCCCGGGCCGGTCTGAGACCCTCGGGGATGGAGGCTCAAAGCCACGGCAGCACAAACCCGAGCGACTGAGCCCTGGGACCCCCTTGCTGGGTTTTTTTCCGGCCGCGGGGAGCAGAAAACCATCGTCACGAGCCTTCCCGGGTCCTGGGGCTCTTGCTTGTCCCCGGCCGGGGCCGCTCCACCTCCGGTCAAATGCTTCTCTGTGCAGAAAAAAAAAAGTGATCGTAATAAATGAAAGTCGACAGATTTTAATTTTTTTTTTTTTTTTGCACAAAGACTTTTTTTTTTCCCCATTCCGGTCAGTTGGGTTTTCTTCTTTTTTTTTTTTTTCATTTTTGTTTTTTTTTTTCATTTTCCCCTTGCGTTTGGTTTTGGTTTCGTTTCATTCCCAGGCGCGGCGAAGAGCATGCATTGGGGAGGGCAGGGCGGCGGGGGCGGCGGTGGCGGCGGCGGGGGGGGCGCAGCCTTCTAGCACTTGTCGTCTTCCTCGGTGTCGCTGAGCACGTCGATGCTGGCCCCGCACATCACGCCCTGCCCGGCCCCTCGCCTCCGCCGCCGGTAGTGCCCGTTGGGCATCTGCCAGCTGTGCCGCAGCGGCGGGGCCGAGCCGATGGTGTTGGAGCGGCCCAGGCTGGTGGCCACAGGCCGCCTCGAAGGTGAGCGTCTCCTCCTCGCCGCAGTCCGAGGCGTGCGAGTCGTCGTGCAGGGCCAGGTAGGGCTCCGAGATGTAGCGCTGCGGGGTGGACGGCCGGCTCGGCTTCCCCGCCGGGGAGCTGGAAGACTCGGTCAAGCCGGCGGCGTTGGGCTCCTTGGAGAGGAGCGGGGACCCCCCTTCGGTCTCCTCGGGGGGCGGCGAGGCGTCTCCGGCGGCGTGCCGCAGCATGGAGGCGTAGGAGAGGAGGGGACGTGGTTTGGGGGGCACCGGGGGGAGCTGGCGGCGGCCTCGCCGGGGCGTGCTGGTGTCCGAGATGGAGGGGATGGAGCTTTCGCTCAGCGAGCCCGTTCCCTGCAAGGCACCGAGACACGAGGGGGGAATGCAGGGGCTGAGCTCTGCTCGCGGCGGCGAAAAGCACAAAAAGGTTTTGGCGTGCCGTGGCCAGCGAGAGCAGGGTGTCTGCAAAGCCGTGGTAGGAAGAGCTAACTGCTCTCTGGCTGCCGGTCCCTCTGCTCCGAGCGCTGCCACCTCCAGCGTTTGCAGCTGGGACACCCCAGCCTTGGCAGGGAGCAGGTGCCACGGTGGTGGGATTGGCTCCAGAGGCACCAAGACCTTTGTCCCCTCTCCCCACCACACCACAGGGCACACCAGGCATCCCTAACCCACCAGTGCCACGCCAGGGGACACGGATAGATGCCACCACCGGGAGGAGAGACACCGCAGAGCCCCCATAATTGGGGCTTATCTCCCCAGCTTTGGCAGGGAGCTCTGTTTTTAAGCCTCCTTTTGCACTTCCGAAGGTTTTCTCCACCCACCTGCCTGTTGGGTGTCTGCGACCTGCCCTCGCTGGGTGACCGGGACTCGCGCCGCCGCTCCGGGGACTCGTCGTGCGCCTGGGGACTCCTCTCCTCCGAATTGCAGCGGGAGATGTCGGGGGACAGCAAGTGCTTGCGCTCTTTGGATCGGCCCCGCTCCCTGCCGCCCGAGCGGTGCCCGTCGGACCTGTGGCCTGCAGCAAACCCCGTCAGTCCCCGCTCTCCATCCCCAGCAGCGGGGACGAGAAGGGACGGTGCTGGGCTGGTTTTTGGGGATGGGAAAGGGCTCGCAGCCGCCCGACCCCGCTCACCCGAGTCGGCGTTGAGGCGCCGGGCGGAGAGCTGGAGCGAGGAGTGGTAGCTGCGCCGGCGGGACTTGTAGGTGTTGTCGCTGCTGCGCTCCATGGAGAACTCGTCCAGCCAGGAGGTGTTGGTGCGCTTGTCCCGGATGGTGGAAAACGACCGCCGCATGGAGCTGGTGTCCGTCACCACCTGCAAGCAGCCCCGGCCGGCCGGGGACGGGGTGAGCGCCGGGGTGGGCGCTCCGTGGGATGCTCCAGCAGGACCCCCCCACCACCACCCGCAGCTCCTTAACGCAATGGGGAGGTTTTGGGGAGCGGCCAGCCTGGGCATGGTCCCCCAGGATGATCTCAGCACGGATCGGGGGCAGGAGGGAAGTGGGTTGAGCTGAAGCGTGCTGCTCAGCAAAGCGTGCGAGCGTGGCTCGCGGCACGGCCAGGTGCCAGGGGAGGGGTGGCAGCATCCTGCCCATGGCACGGGGACAGCACGGGTGCCGTCCTGGCATCCCTCCCGCCTCGGAAACAGGACCAGCAGAGCAAACAGCGGCAGTGAAAAAGAAATCATTACAAGGGAAGGGAGGCAGGGAGGGCCCTGCCTTCTCCAGTGGTTATTTTCCCAGCTTTTACACATCCCTCCCTGCTCCTGGATTATCCCCATGTCCCCTTGCCCTGTACTCATCCCCTCTCTCCCCATGCACACTGTTGTTTTATCAATTTTCCTTTCCTTTTGCTCTGCCATTCTTCTTCCTACCTTCTCCCTTCCTCCTATCTTGCATTCTCATATGTTTTGTGGAAAGCATCACCCCCTTATATATTTTCCTTTGCTTTGCTTTAACAGCTTTGTACCTCTCCAACCTCGAGTCCTTCTCCCTGTCTCCTTTCCTCCTCTCCTCCCAACCATCTTCCCCCACTGCCAAATGCTCGGGGAAATCCACCAAAAAAAGCTTCCCTTCCCCTTCACGTCCCCAAAGCACCCTGCAGCAACGCCACGCTGCACCCGCACCCACACGGGGTGCTTGCACCTCTGTCAGAAACCACCGGCTTCACGGTGAAGGGTTGCAAAACTGACCCCCCAAAAAGCTCCCGTGCCTCGGCCAAGGCTGAATACAAGACAGAACAACAGAGAAACCAGGCAGACAAACGAGGAGGTGAAATGTGGCCTGGGCTCCCCCGGACAGACTGTCCGAGGACACATGCGGACAAGCACATGTGGCGCGACAAGGGGAAGAGAAGGAGAAGGCATTTCATCCTCTGGGACCTTACAGCCGGGCAGAGACCCCAAAAACCTCACCCAGAGCCTGGGGCTGGAGGAAAGGAGGGGTGCCCCATTGCCTGGGGGCCCTGCTACAGGTCCTGCTCCACCACGGACCAGGTGCTCGGTGCTCCTGGCTGCTCTCCACTGCTGGTCCCCACCAGACACGAGGACAGCAGCTGTCCTCCTTGTGAGGCACCCAAAAAAGATGGGGAGATGGGGCCACGGACCACTGGGGGGCTTCCTCGTGGAGAGAAGCACCAGCGTTACCTTTGCTCGGACCCGGCACCCGTGGGGGCTTTGCTTGGTTTTACCTGGGGATCCACAGTGAGACGAGGCATGGAGGAGGCCCTCCCAGAGACAGCGTGGTCCTGAGTGTCCACGGGAAGGTAGCTGCCACGGTTAGAGGGCTGCACTCTTTGAAACTCCCTAACCTCTGGCTCCTGGAAACAAACACACAGCCACGCTCTTGGGATGGGGTTGGGTCACGGCAGCGCGCTGCTCCTGCGGCTCTGCAGGGGACAGCCCGGGTCCACCAGGGCTGGGTTTCACAGGGGGGCCAGAAGGGTCTGAGACAGATTGTCAGCCGTGTTGGCACTCAAAAAGGATCAACATTTCACAGCCTGGTGCAGGTGAGCCCATATGGGGACCTTCACGCTCATCTGATGCCCACCTCGCACCTCTTTCCTTCCGATGGTGGCGGTGGAAGCCCTGCCTGGATCAGCCCGTCCTCCCGGGCTTGCCTCCTTCCCCAATTCCCAACACAGGGGAATTTGGCACAGGACGTGGCAGCGGGGACGGGGAGGGCCACACGTGTGCGTGGGACAGAGCTCACAGGGTGCGACAGAGCACGGGGACACGGAGCGGGCTGGGGAGGCACGGGGGCACGGCGCCGCGCCCGACGGGCGTCGGGGTGGTGCAGGGCTGCACACGCACAGACACGGAGAGGCAGAGATATGTATATGTATATATGTATCTGTATATATGTGTACGTATATATACACACACACACGGACACGGACACGGCTGCCGCCCGCCGGAGGGGCGCGCTCCCCCGGGTGACGGTTTGGGAGCTCGCGTCGGCTCGGGGGGCAGCAGCACTGACAACAAAATGAACACGGATCCGAAAACATCAGATACCATCGCTCAGCACGGGGTGACCCGCTGAAACGAGCGCTCAGCGGGGGAAAAAAGAGCAGCCTGCGGAGAGAAGGACATTTTACTGCAGGGCATCGCGCCGCGCTCGCGGCTCCGGCTGCAGGAGGCGAGGGGCCAGAGTCCCACCACGCCGACTGGTCCCACACCTCCCCGTGCCCACCAGCGTCCTCCTGGGACCACAGACAAGCGCCCTGGAGGCAGTGCGTGACTTTACCAGAGACTGGTGCTCCTGGAACTGCCCGTGGGCTGGGTCCATGCACGCCAGCTGGAAGATCTCCTGCGGTGAGAGCGGGCTCAGCGAGGGGAACCCGCTCCGGCTGCTCCTGCAAGGATGGTTCGGCTTCAGGGAGAGCATGAGAGGGGTACTGCCATCGCTGGGGGTCCCCACGCTTGCCCTACAGGCTGAGACCCCCAGGGCATACACCATGCTCCTTGGAGAGCTCAAATGGTGCCCAGGAAGGAGAGGACAGTGGCACCGCAGGTCCCATGGCAGCCAGGGGCCATCCCAAACGCAGCACCAGCAATTCAACCATCTCCTTTCCCCATGGGACAGCGAGAGGAAAGGCTCAGTGCTGTCCTGCAGCCAGCATTTGGGTGGAAATGGTTTGGGAACTCAGAGGTGAGCCCAGGACTGCCTGCCACCTGCTCCCTGCTCTCAGCCTACAAGCAAGGAGACCCTCCTGGGTAAGGGTGTGCACTCAGAGCTGGATGCTCCTGCTACAAGGTGTCCATGTGGACACCTCACCATTCCCCCTTCCAGGAGCAGAAAAGCTGCAGAAAAACCTCACCTCTCCTCGGGGTGATACTCACAGGCCCGAGAGGGTGTCCTGCTGGAGGTACGGCAGAGCCTTGGCGTTTGAGATGATTTCCTGCGGCAAAGAGGAGGGCTCCATGCGCTGGAACATGGGCGCGTTTTTCTGTGATGGAGGAAAGGGAGAAGCTGAGCCTGGACGAAACGCAGACGAGCGTCCAGCGCTTCGCCAAGCACGCTTCCGCTGCTTCAGAAGGCGATGGGGTGCTCACATTTACCATTGAGGATGCACAAATGGGGTTGTAGTAAAAAAAAAAGTCATGTGCACCGACATCCTCACCTCCCGAGCCAACCACTCAGCCAGAAACCCTGGCATGACCTCCCCTGCCCATGCGTCACCGTGCTGCTCCCCAAGGGGTGAGCAGGGGCTGATGAAAGCCACCACGCAAGGCAGGAGCCCCTTGGACATCTCCCCTTGGCTGTTTCCAGCGCAGCAGCAGCCAGGTTTGGTGAGGACGTGGTAAGAAGTGCTCTGAGCTCCCCTGGTCCCCGCGTGCCCTCGCGGAGCCTCACCTGCTCCTCCAGCTGCTGCCTCTGCTTCTTGGCTTTGCTCTGCTTGTAGTAGTCCATGATCATCATGGCTGCGTAGATCTTGCCAACAGTCAGGTCAGAGGCTGAGAGCACAGCAGGGGAAGGAAGGGGGGATGCTTTTATGGCACCAGGAACTGCAGGTCTGAAGGCACCAGCGCTCACCTCGGGAAGAGCCCTGCTGCGGTCGCCCTCAAAATCTGCTCAGTGCTGGAGCAGAGAGGGCACCGACCACCCGGGTACCCGGGGGAGATGGAGGTGGCTTGGCAGCACCACGATAACCCACCAAGGCCACCATCAGATGTGGAGGAGCTGTGAGCAGGAGGGTTGGGCCAGGTGGCCTCCAGCAGCTCCTCCCAACCTCAGCCACTTGGATCAGCCCAGTGATGCTCAGCCTCCTGCCCCTACGTGCTCCAGAGATAACTTATGGGAGACTCTGGGCTCATCAAAGATTTGTTTTTTCAGGACTCCCACAAACACAAGCCCTCATCCCACCTCTCCCCCAGCCAGGACCGGGGCTGTCTGGTCCCCACCTCCCGGGGGGAAGCCGCTGCTGCAGAATTTGGCAGGGACCGCGGCCCCGCAGAGACTCACTTTTTGGCATGGGGACCAAGAGGTCGAGCATCTTCTGAGACAGGTGAGGCCAAATGGTCAGGATCTCCTTTTGAAGCTCGGAGTCTAACTGCTGCCAGTCTGCACCACCTTCAACAGCAGGGAAGCAGCGGTCAGTGCGCACCAAGAGCTGGCGCCTGGGCCCATCCCAACACCCCCTTCCCACCCCGAAGAGGGGCCCCCTCGCCAAGACAAGCAGCAAACCAGCTCTCGGGGCTGGGAGAGCCACGTTGCATCAGCCAGCCGGCTCTCCTGCTCCTGCGGGGAAACTTTCCTGCCATCCCCTCCATATGTGCCGCCACCTCCCATCCCCTGCCCTCCCACTCAAAGCTGCCATCCTCGAGCTCGCCTTGGGTCCGTCTCTGCGGCTCCGATCCTACTGCAGCCCACACACACCTGCTGCTGCCCCACTTTCTCTTTTCTGGGGAGCGGATCATGTGCTGGTGCAAGAGCAGCTCTGCCTGGCTGAGATCCTCGAGCAGGAGGGGGGCAGAGCTCTCTGGCCAGCGGCGAAGGGATCTGCCATGCTGAAAGCCCTGCTAACGCGTGCCAAAGCAGGGAGTAAATCCTGGGAGAAGGAACGTGGCCAGGCTCAAATCCCCGCTTTATCATCCAGCCAGGGTTCAAACCCGGTGTTTCAGGGCGCGGGCTGCGCACCGGGCTTCTGCTGAGCTCGCCCTGGGTTGGATTTTCTGAGCTGTTCCCAGGGGACGATTTATTGCAAGTGGCATGTTTCCGCAGAAAGCTTTTGATCCGATGAATCAGAGCGTTTGCAGCAACAACAACAAAGCAGGTTTTTTTTCTGCTCTGAACATAAAATGTTCCTTGCGAGACGAATTTCTGCTCCGCAGCCCTAGGAGGCCAGGCACACGGGACTGTCTCCCTCCTCGGTTTGGTTTTGCACCAAAGAGGAAATTCTTTTCTTCCTTTAAACTCTGGGCATCGGGATATTTCTGCTCTCTAGCAGCAGCTTCTCTTGCAGAAGGAGGCAGATATTTGCCTGCCTGGGTGCATCACCCCCATCCACGAAGCTCAACCCCACTTTGGCTCTCGTGATGCCCACGGGACCACCCCAAAACCCCCCTGCTCTGCCCTTTCTCGACCCCCTGACGTTACCTTTGGCGATTTTGATGTCCAGGGCGGTGCGGATCAGCGCCATCAGGGTGGAGGTGAAGTGGACCGTCATGTCCTCGGCCACGGGCATGTTCATCAGCACCAGTCTCTGCGCAAGAGAGAGAAGAAAACAGCGGACGGAAAACAATATCGAAAAACACATCGACCGGGCTGGAGGAAAAGAAATCAAACGTTAAACGAAAGGAAGAAAAAAAAATAAATAAAAAGAAAAGGAAATTAACAGGAAATAAAAAATAAATAAATAAAAATAAAAAGCAACAAAGAGTGTCAAAACAGCACAGCCAAAAAAGAAGGGCAAGGATCACCCCGCCGCCCCCGCCCCCGGCTCCTTCCACCCCAGGACACCGGCTCACTGCCTTCCAGGGCTCCTCCTGCGCCCCAGGAACGGCCCCTGGGCCCCCTCCCCAAAAAACGAGGCTGGCACGGGGCCGCCGCGGCACCTCCCGGCACTTTGGGGAAGACGCCGCTGAGCCAGCAAGGCGTCGGAGATGCCAGGGAGGGGGAGAGGGGGCTCAGGTCTCCGTTCCCGGGTGGTTTGGCTTTCCAGCTCTCAACCCTTCCCAGCTGGGGCAGGGGAGAGGAGGGTCCCTAACCTGCGGGGACTTCGGCTCGGTTCCTCTCGCATGCTACATCCTGGCGCCCCCTTTTTGCGTCTTTCAGAGATGAAGTTTGCCAGCACATGCACAGGGTCCGAATTATCCGAGGGTGGGGAAGGGGAAGGAGGGGGGGGGGGGAGAAAAAGTGCAGGAGGAAAGAGAGGAGGGCAACCAAGGCAGGTCAGACACGCCATGCTCCTTCCCCACCCCGGGCAGGCGGGGTGCAAACCAAAGTGACCAGATCCACTTTCCAGAGAGTATATTTTGCTTTGAGAACACCTGGGGTCGTCCCTTCCCTTCCCAGTCCTTCATCCCCCGGCTCCTCGTGTCCTCTCCCTGCCTTCAACCCTCCCTTTCTCTCCTGGGGGGCTGGCACAGGTGTGAACCAACACACGAGAGCTGGAGCAGGGGCAGCCAAGGAAAGCTCCAGTTCACTCCAGGCGGGCAGCCCGTGGCTGCACAGCGCCGGCTCCTGTCCTAGGGGCTCCCACCCCAAATCCTTCAGGGTTCCCTGGGTGCCTGCTCTGCTCCCACGGGGCCAGGGCTGCCCCAGGAGCTGTAGGGGGGAATCTCAGAGGTTTGGCTCCGGTGTCTGCCCCGCACGAGCCGTCCTTAGGATGTCTCGTGCTGATGTGCCTGGCTCTTCACACCCCATGGGGCTGCTCCTGTGGTTTGCATCCTTGCAGCCCAGCAGGATCCCACCTCCGTAGGCTTTTAGCTGGCTGGGAATTGGGTGGCTGCCAGCCCAGGGGATGAACTTGGGCCAGCGTGGTCCTGCAAAAACATCCCACCTTCCTCTCCTCATCCTCCTCTTCCTCTCCACCTCCAGGCTACCCCTACCGCTGCCCCTCTCCCTGCTGTCCCCCAGGGCTCTTCCACCCCACAGCTCCCCAGGCTTGCAAGTGACGATGCCAGCATCACCTGCACGGGCAGGGGAGACCAGAAAGCGTGGCCGGGACCCCTGCGGGCACACCCCAGGAGCTGAGGACGGGTGGGAAGCCCCCGGTGCCTCCCCGGCTCCCCCAGCCCCACCTCCCGCCAGCTCCTGCCGGGCTCTAGCCCCCCGTAGAAGGAAGGGTTGATCTACCTTATAGGCCACTTTGGAAGGACATCTCTTGCCGAGGCCTAGCGGTGGTGACATAAGAGTCAGCATTTCATACATCTCAGTGTAATGGATTCGGCCACTGCTCATGGAGGGGGAAGGGGAGGGAGGGAGATGCAGAGAGAGAAAGAGAGAAAGAGAGAGAGAGAGAAAGAGAAGGAGGCATTCCCAGAGAGCGGAAACAACGTACGGACAAAATAGTACAGGGAACAGGAGAGAAAGGAAGGAAAAAAAAAAAAAAAAGAAAAAAAGAAAGAAAGAAACAACAAACGGACAAACAGGAAAAGAACAGGAAACCCGTTAATCAAGGCAAATCATACACGAGAGACTGTCCTGCTGCGGATTTATAGCACTGCTCACACAGACCCAGGAATGCCGGCGGAAAGCCACTCACCCCTCTCTCTGCTGCTGGCCTCAAAGCGCCTGCCCCGCCAGCAGCCCGGGGGTCCTCGTCCTGCCTCACCCCGTCCCTACGGCCCCCCCTGGCAGCCCCCAGCTCGCCCCACGGGTTCCGGGGCTGTGTGCGAGTGGTATAAATCAGATACACGGCGCTCGAGCCATGGGTTATCGGGGGTAGGGCGCTTCGCCCCACAGCGACTCAAAGCGCTCGGTGGCCGCCGTGTCCTGGCTTCCCTCCCGGGGGGGGTCTGGGGGTTGCTTCGGCCACCTAACCCATAGCCAGAAGGCTGTGTATCCCCATCTCGTGGGGTCTATGCAATTGGGAGGCAGCGTCTTGCATAGAAGGCAGTGGGCCAGGGTCACTTGTCAAAGGAAGATGCCCAGTTGCTTCCGTCTGGCTCTGCGGATGGACCGCGTCCCCACCATGCAGCAGTGCAAAAAGGCATGCTGTAAATCGGCTGGAAAAAGAAAAAAAGAAAATCAGGAGGGAAAAAAAGTTGTGCATGCCATGCTCCCCGCCCTGGCTCTCTCCCGCATGCGGCTGCAAGTTCCACCAGGTTGGAGTTTAAAGAGTCTCGGCAGAGGCAGCTGTTTGGCCCTTCCAACATCGATTGGGGTGCCTTTGGGTTTCCCCCGGGGGGGGCAGCACGGAGGGACCCCCGCCTCGCGCTCCTCCACTCGTAGGGCCAGCCTCGGATCGCCACAGCGAGGGGTGCTCCAAAAAATGCCCTGCGATGGGCTGAGGGGTTGGGGCTGTGCCTCCCTCTCGCCATACAGCCAGCGGGATGCTCAAATGCGTCTCCCCTGGGGGCACCGGGCTCGGCCACCTCTTCTTCCCCTCGTGCCAAGCTGCTGCAATATTTGGGGTGGCTGCGGGGCAGGGGACACCTCAGCAAAGCAGAGGCACCGACCTCTGCTGCTGCATCGCAGCGGGGCTGGGAGGAGAGGTGCTGGAAAACAACGTGCTGGGATGCTGCTTCCCCAGCCCTGTGCTGAGAGCAGAGGGAAAAGGCAGCGAGAAAAGGGCCAAAGAGCCCCCGCCAAGATCAGTCCTGGTGGTTCGGGGGTGAACATGAGGCAGAGACCACCTGCAGGGAGCGTTTAGGGGCACAGAGCAGGTGGGACAAGCCGTCCCCTTTGAGACCTGAGATGTTAAAAGGGTCAGAGGGAGGATGACAGCAAGACCAGGGGCTGTTAGGTGGGACGATGAAGGGAAAGGATCCAGGTCCGTAAGTGGCACCGCTGCAGAGCTGGCTGTGCACTTGCTGTGCCTCACAGCGAGGTGACTTCAAGCCTTCACACTTGAGAACTTTGTTCGGAAAGGAAGCAAGACAGTGAAATTGCACCCGCCGTTCCCTGCGGGGCGGATTTCAGCACCCACAGCATATGCCAGGCTTTGTCTTGTGCGCTGAGATTTCCCTGCACCACGAAGGAGGAACAGATTCGCGTGAAAATACAGAGATTGCAGCAAACCCCAGCAAATACTGCACGAGGACCGTGCTGTTCTCAGACGGGCTGCAGACACCTTAAATCTGCGCTGTGCCCAGACCCCACGTCCCCGGGGAGGAGGAATTTAGGGCAGATCTGCCCTCCCACGGGTAGGAAATGACCATAACTGTGCCGTCGCTTGCTGTTGGGAAGAGAGCACAGGGATATGGAGCGGTGAGGGAGTAGGTTCGGGAGCAGATGTCCGTAGGGACACGAACACCAGGGATGCTTGCAGGCAGCAGAAGCGATGCCTGCTTTCCTGGCTCATTTCTGCCTGACTGCCAGAGGCAGAAGGGGCTGAAGAAAGGCAAGAAGAGCCCCAAGGAGTGGAGCAAGACACGGTTACAAGACCTGCTCTCCCCAGCACAAGGACAGTTTGCTGGACCTCCACGGGAAGGCTTTCTGCATCGATGCCCCCTTGTAAACCCACCTGCAGATTCACTTCCACACCCTGCTGCACCCCTATGCGGCACCCCGGGGATGCCCAGGCACCACCTTGCCCAGAGCACCCCGTCCCCCACGTCACAGACACGTTTTGGGCTTTTCTGCTAGTATTTGTTGCCAAATAGCCTGGTAGGAAAGGGGTGTGGGCTTGCTCTCTTACGTTATTTTGGAAGTTAGGGCTCTTGCTGCCTCCAGGAACCTGTGCACTGCGTGGGGCAGGCAGACCAAACTGCAAGGTGAGTGTAGGGTTGGCATTTGGGGATTTGGTCCATGGTGGCAAAAGTGTGACGTCCAAGGGGGTCTTCCTTCTTCATCAGTTCCCTTCTGGGAATTGCTCCAGGCCAGCAGGAACCCCTGAAAATTTCTCAGATCCTCAAAATCCCCAGCTTTGGGGGACAGCATTTTCCAGTTAAGCCCTGACATCAACTGACAAAGAGTAGGAACTCCTCCTGAAGGCGTCTTCTGTCCTCGGGACCTCAGCACAGCCCCAGCCTTTGCCAGGAAGGCGGCAGAGAAGAGTGGAAAGGCTGCAGGGACCCCGTCCTCCAGGAGCTGAGACATCTGAGGGTCTTGAAAGAAGCACCCACCTTTCCCTAGACCCCTCCCAATAAATGAGATCATCATGTCTGGTTTCCTCTGCCCTGCTCCTGGTGCCAGCCCATCCCATAAGACTTCGGGCAGCAGTGGGGTGAGGCGCTCCTCCCTTGGAGGATGAAGGCTGCGGCCAGGGGTGCCTGAGCTCCCCTGGCACATCTCGGATGCCCGATGGGTGAAGAGGAAGGAGGAGCTCTGGTTCAGCCTGTTGTGCCATGGAGACGGGTGTCGTGGCACTAGGAAGAAGAAGGTGGCAGGCACAAGGTTTTGTTCGGTTGCCACCCCAAGGAAAAATGTAAAAGAAGGTGCAGAGATGCACCAGGAGGGCTGGCCACCCCCTTGGACTTAAGGCTGAGAAGCCGGCTCAAGCAGAGGGAGAGCTGAGCTCCAGAGGCCGGGAAGGAGCCCAGGTGGCCACTGGCCCCCGGGGGAAAGGTGCAGCCCAGGCTGGGGCTGGGACAGACCCCATGGAGCCAGCCTGGCCCCACAAGTGCCCCCACACCTCCTCCCAGTGGGGCTGGCAAGCCATGGGCACTGATGCACAAGAACCTGGCTCCCCGAGAGGGTGCCACGGGATGTCCCCAGATGTCCTACAGGGAGAAGGGTCACCCTGGCGTCCCACCCTCCCTCTCCCAAGCAACAAAACCCCCAGGTCCTCCATCCCCAGGAGCAAACCACACCTGAGCCCCCTTTCCAAACAGGCACTGGGGGGGAAAAGCCCTGGTCCCACTGATGCCACCGAGCGGGGACGGTGGCACGCTTCCCGGCGGAGCTGGGGGCTGGCTGGGGGCAGTGCAATTTCTCAAACACCCCCAAACCCCCCCAGGAGGCTCTGGGCCCCCCCTGGGGGGGACAGCTGCTGGCCCTGGCAGGCCGCGGATCTCTTTAAACTCGAAGGAAAGCAACGTGAGGGTTCCCTCGGGAGGCGCGGTGGCGGTGGAGCGGGGGGAAGGAGGGGTGGATGGTGCGTCCCGTGGCCAGGTTGTGGCGGAGGACTGGGAGGCAAACCTTGCACGCCACCCTGTAGGGGCAGTTCTCTCCTAGGCCCAGAGGAGGCGAGATCACCCGTACTAATTTGTACATATCCTTATACGAGATCCTGCCGCTGCAAAGGAAGCACAGGTGGGTTAATAGGACACTGAGAGGGTGGAGAGCTTAACCAGGGGGGCTAGGACCAGCTGCGGGGCATGGCTCTTCTCCTTCTGGCTCCGTCAGACCCAGAGAGGGGAAAGCTGGGAGCATCGGTGGCCACCTCCATCACGGGCCAGCTCGCGCCTCCTCGCTCAGCCCCATGTGCCACCGACACCTGGTGCTGGGATTTTCGGGGCAGGGGGGGAGGTTTGGGCCGGTTTGGGCCACGAGCCCTGCTGGTGGAGCCGCGGCCTCCCCAGTGCCACCAGCTCTCTGCTCCTCCCGAGGGCCCGGGAGGCTGGCAGCCGAGCAAATCGTGTCTCTGGTGTCTGGGGACCCTGAGGCAGGGAGATAATGTGACCGGTGGCTCTGGCGCTAGCACCTAGGTCTCACCAGAGCACGCTCTGCCATGGGTCCACATTATTATCCCGTACACGCACCCCTTCTCCCCCAGGCCCAGTCGTTATTGCGGCAGGATACATCCCGTATCCACCCACCGCCGGCTGGGGTAACGAAGCAGTCGATGCAGGAGCTGCGCAGGGCCGGGCGCAGGGGTGCTGAGCCCCCAGCCCCAGCTCCGAGCCCTTTTGGGAAGCGCACGGGGGCCGTGCTGAGGTGCAGCGTGCTGCAGCCTCCTGGGCATCCTTGGACAAGCTGGGAGGGAAACCGCACGAGGAGGCAAAGAGCAGCAGCGCTACCGTCCTACCCTTCTTTGCCTCTGGTTTCTCCTCGCCCTCCTCCCCCCGTCCCCTCTCCATCGCTGAGCCAACCGTCTGGGCAGAGCCAGTCCCTGAGCCTGCCTGGCCTCGGACCCGCGTGCTGTCCCCACGAGACCCCTCCTGGGAGAGCTGCTGCCCTGCATGGGTGCCGGGACCCCTGGGGATGTACTCACCTGTTCCTCGCCCCGCAGCGGGGGTCGGGGCTGCCCCGGTGGCCCCAATACCACCGGCTCCTGTGCACGGCCCCTAACCACCATGGTTTGCTCAAAAATCAGAGGGGGGCTTCCTCAGGGACTGTGCTGGACAGTCTCCTGGGGCAGATTATGGTTTTAGGCTCAAAAAGATAAAAAATGAAACCGTGGCTGGAGCTGGCCTCTCACAAGGCCAGCAGTGGAGGTGAGGTCTCCAAAGGGAACATGCATCTGCCGAGGGTGCTGAGCCAACATCACCCTGGCACGGTGGCGATGGGACACGGCTCCACAGAGGCTGTCCCCAGGCTGGGGGTGGCACGAGCCACCCTCACGGTGCCGGGGCTGGCAACCTTGGGGAGGTGGGGGCTGGCTGGGGGAAAGGCAAGCCCGTGCCCAGCCTCCACAATCCCCAAACCCCTCAAAAACTCTCTGAATCTCGTCTGCGGGTGACCTGGCAGGAGCCCAGCAGGCCCCCAAGCATGTCCCCAAGGCCTGGGACAAGCCACCCTCTGCCTTGCCCCACCAGGAGCCGGGGGCGCTGGGGACCCAGCCATGGAGGCTGCTTGGGCAGAGGCTGGGGAGGATGCTGAGAGGGACCTGCCCATGGGATGGCAGGGGAGGAAAGGGGGAGCAGGAGCCTCCAGCTCTCAGGATAAACACCACGGCCAGCCACGGACGTCTTCAGGCTCTCAGTTAAGGTGCCTGTGCCACCAGACGTCGTGGGAACCAGCTGGTACCTTTGTAAGGACCGTGGGCGAGAGCAGCCCTGCCCTGGGCACTGCAGCTGGATTTTGGCAGCAGCAGACAGAGGCACTGCTCAAAACCAGCTCTGAGAGGCTGCCCGGGAGAGAAGGAGCTGGCTACATACCACGCTGCTCTGTCATACTCTGCCCAGATCCGGACAAACTCATCCAGATGGTGAGGCCCCAGGATGGAGGAATCGCGGGTCAGGTATTCAAAGTTGTCCATGATGACGGCCACGAACAGGTTGAGCATCTAGGTGAGGGGGAAAAGGGCGGAGAGAAAGGGAAATAGGAGAAGGGAGCAGAGAAGGGAAGGGAGAGAGAGAAGGAAGGGAAGTCAGGGTGAGACGGAATCAAACGAGGAACCGAGAACGCACAGCACGGGGCCGGGGAACTCACCAGAAACGAGCAGAAGAAGATGAAGGAGACGAAGTAGACGTAGGCCAGGTCGGTGCCACAGCGCTCGTTCTCGTTCTGCCCAGATGTCGCCGTCGTGTCCGGCTCGCAGCCCTTGCCCTCCAGGCAGGACAGCATAATCTCCTGCCATGCCTCCCCGGTGGCACTCCTGCGCCCAAGGCACCGCGCTCAGCACCCCGCGGCAGGCAGGATGGGGCAGGGAGGGCAGACCCCCCTCTGCGAGCCCCCCACCTGCAGTTCCCTACCTGAAGAGGAGCATGAGGGAGCCAAGGAAGCTGCGGAAGTTGTTGTGCCGGTTAATGTGGCTTTCCTCATCCAGCTTGATGTTGCCAAAAACCTGCCAGAGGGAGAAAAAGGTTCGGGCAACACCGCCGGTGCCGGGGAAGTGGCTGCGTGCTCACCTTGGCTTGGGGCACACGATGTGGTGTGGGATCAATCCTGCCCCAGAGCCCAGGTGGAGAAGCAGCCCCGTGAGGGCATGCGGGCACAAATCCTGCCCAGCAAGGATGAGAGGTGGTAGAGGCTGCTGGAGGCCAAGCTGCCAGGGAAATGGGGGCTCAGGGGGTCTGGGATGAGCCGAATTTGGCCGCTGGAGATGACCCGCGATGCTGGAGTTGGGCACAGTGGCACAAACAGGGTGGGGAAATGCTCAGTGCCCAAGGGACAGACGGACCACTAGCTCACCACAGACAGACAGACACTGGGGACTACCAGCCCACGGCCCTTCCCAGGAGGTCCCCAGGGCCAAAAGAGGCAACGAATCCCCAGATTTGGGTAATATCCTAACAATGACCCACAGCCAAGGCCACGATAGGACAAGGAACGCTTGCAAAGTGCCTCAAATTGGAAAAATGTGCTGTTATTACTGTTAAATATTTATTCCACTTTCCGTGAATCTAAAAATACACCAACTGCAGAGTATTTTTTTCCCTGTACAGGTTTTTTTGCAATGTGTAATTGTAGAATATTTTCTGCCTCCAGCTATTTTGCTCAAATAACGCCCACAGACTTTACTGCTTGGGGATTTGTTCACAATAGTGTTAAAAAATAAAATAAATCAAATACTACCACACGGCAGGGAGGGGGGCTGAGTCAGATGGCAGTTGTTTAGCGCGGAGAACACCTGGAGCCGGTGCTGGGATTGTGTGGGCCAAGAGCAGCCACGCGCCTCTCGGGGCGGGAGGAGGCCAAACACCAGCGCTGCCAAGCAGCCCGAGCCGGAGGCGACCGCGCTGCCCACTCCCCAAAATCTGCTCCCTCCCCTCCCCGACCCCTCCGAGCGCTGAGCACGTTGGTTATCGTGGTGGCTGGCTCACCCGGCGGCTCCGAACCCCAAATGTGAGCAGAGATGCTTTGTGAGAGCCTCAGCGTGGGGCTTAGTCACCGAGGCAGCCCCGCCGGCACGTGTTTGACCGGGAGCTTTCGCTCACGTGCCGCTTCTGCACCAGGCTGGAGCGTGGGGAGCTCACGGCTCCGCACACCTCCCCTTGGCAGGTCGCTACAGGGCCCTCAAATCGGGATCCCACCAGCATTGAGCCCACAAAAACCCTACATGGAGGGATGGGTGGGTGCACAGCTGCGGGTGGCCATGCCATGGTCCCTTTGGTTTTAGAGGTATTGGGTACAATCCCTAAAAGCACAACGCCTGTGGGATGAAGGGGTGGTGATTTGGGAGCAGCTGCTGCACAGGGTGCCCAGCTGAGCCCCCACATCCCCAGGGGTACAGGTGAGGAGGGCAGCTGGGGTCCCAGCAGTGCCACAGGCTCTGCGGCTCCCAAATGAGCTCTCCCACCCCTGGGACCCCCCTGGGCACCCGGGCTGGCTGCTGTGCAGCGTGGTGCTGAGCACACGGCCGTGCCAGAGGGCTGCTCGCCGAGCTGTCCGTGCCCACCTGCATCCCGATGATGGCGTAGATGAAGAAAAGCATCGCGATCAGGAGGCAGACGTAGGGGAGGGCCTGCGAGGGAAGCACATGAGTCATCTCCTTCAGCTCGGGTCCAGCTCCAGAGGCATACAGAAAGAGCAGCGAGCAGGTAAACTGCTCCAAACCAGCTCTCCTGTGAGCCAGCAGGGCAGCAAGGCCCGGGGAGCGGCACCCCCAGGAGCCCCCAGGCACGGGGAACTTACCTTGAAGGACTGCACGAACGTCCAGAGCAGGATGCGGATGGTGTAGCCCTGGCGCAGCAGCTTGATGAGCCGAGCCGCTCGGAAGAGCTTCAGGAAGCTCATGTTGAAGCTGCTGGTGTTCACCAGCTGCGAGCAGAGGAGGAGGAGGGGGTCAGGGGATGGCAGGAGCCCCCCAAACCCTGCCAGCCCTCCCCAGCCCAGCCCAGCCCAGCCTGTCACCTTGGTGTCCGTCAGGATGATCTCCGTGATGCTGCCGATGACAGTGATGAAGTCGAAGATGTTCCAGGTGTCCCGGAAATAATTCTGCAGGAGGAAACAGAGAAGGAGCAAGGATTTGAGATCGGGACGGCCAGTCTGAAGGGTGCTGGGACATCCCCGTCCCCATACAGAGCTCACAGGAGGCACGCACGGATCCCATCCCTGGCTGCTCTGGCACCGGGATGCCCAGCCCGCTGGTGGCCACGGGTGGCAATAACTCATCACACCAACCCCTGGGGCCACAAGGCTGCTGTGTCCTCCAAGGGCTGCTAAGAAAAAGCAGCCCGGGACTTAAAAGAGCAGCTGGGGACTTGAGGACCAGGAATTAGATGGAGAGGTCTCGCTGCTGGTCAGGTCTGGCTCAATGCACCAGCACCTGGTAGCTCCCAGGGACAAGAAACCACTGCCACCAACACGGTGGCAGCAGGGGATGCACAGTACGTGGTCCATGCCCCAAGCACAGCAGAAACGAGGCAAAAAGCCCTGCAGCATGGCTTCCCCCAGCACAACACCCACCCGCAGCAGTGGAAATCTGCTTAAAGCTGAGCAGTGCCAAGCTCTGGCCGCAGGATGCCTGCTGCTGCAGGCTGAACCGATCGATCCCTTTGGGCTTCACAATCTGCAGCAGCTCTGGCTGCTGGCCCGGGAAGCCTGGAAGGTTTGTGCTGACCGAGGAACCAGCATCTAGCAGTGGGAAGTCTAACAGGAGCCAAAGAAGTGGTTCCAACCGCCAGCCTCCAAACAGCTCCCAGGCTGGGACCCAAAATAGATGGCATTGGCCTGGTGTTATTAACACCTTCCCTCCGTGAACTGGAGGGATGAGGTGTGCTAAGTGCAAATTAACGCCCTCGTCAACAACAGGATCAGCCACTCACCAGGAAGCCAAAAGCAATGATCTTGAGGACGCACTCCAAGGAGAAGACCATGGTGAATGCAATGTTCAGGTACTTCAGGGCCAGCTCGTAGGTGTACGGAGCAGAGTAGTACTGATGGAGACACACATTGCAAACTTGGAGGGGGCCAGCCAGCCTCTTGTGACTGATGTCTGTCCCCAGGAAGATGTGGAGGCCCCTGCTCCTTGCCCACGGTGCCTAGAGACCACCTTCTTCATCCCCTCCCCACCCCTCTCCCAGGACAAGGGCTCTGCTTCTGAGAAGGAAGAACAGAATAATTGCAGATCTTCTTGCAGCAGAGATAACCCTTTATAGGATTTGGAAGTTTTCTTACTCCTTTTCACTTTTTAAAAGTTTCAAGAGCTGGAGTGTGGAGAGAACAAGTTTTCATGGTGGGAAAGTGGAAAAAGTCCCCAAACCCAGGCTTGGGAATGAACAACTCTGTTTGGACAAGCAAACTACGTGGTCACATTTTTCACCTGGACCTGGAAACTTGCAGGGACTTGCTCAGAGCCTTCTGAAAAGCTGTCCTGGTTAGCTGAGGCTAACCCTCTTGTCAAGCAGCAAAAAGATGCTCAGGCTCTGCCTCAAAGCATCTCCTAAGAACAAGCTCAGGACCCTCTGGTCCCGTTCAGGGTGGGATCTGATCTTCCTCCTCCCCGCCACCCTAAGCAGGGCAGCCTGACCCTGCCCAGCTCACCTTCATCATCAGCACCACGGTGTTCAAGGCGATCATGGCCATGATGGTGTACTCAAAGGACGGGGAGACCACGAAGTGCCAGACCCGGTACTGGAAGGTGTGCCGGTTCTGGGGCATGTAGCGCGTCAGGGGCTTGGCACTGATGGCAAAGTCAATACAGGCTCTCTGGAACAAAACCACGTGTGTCAGACCCTGACCAACGGCGACGTAGGGGACATTGGCTGCCACACTTCTTTTATGGGTTACTTGCACCGCTGGACAGCCTTTTAAATGCCCAGGGAGCCCCACGGTCCCAAACCCTCCCCAGACAGTACCTCGTTCTTCTCCAGACTGCACTCCTCCATCATTTTGTCTCCTTGCTCTTGGAAGGTGATGATGATGAGAGCCACGAAAATGTTGACAAAGAAGAAGGGAAAGACCACAAAGTAGACGACATAAAAAATGGACATCTCCATGCGGTTGCTGCGGCTGGGCCCGCGGTCCTCCTCCGTCACGTCCACCGAATGCTGCAGCACCCTGTGGGCAGACAGGTGAAGAAGAGCAACCAGAGACGTGTCCCTGGGGACTGCCGCTGTACAGCACCTCCCACGGGATCCACCTCGTGCAGCCAGCCACCTCGGGCTGTCCGTGCTGTCCCAGGCTCTCCTGGGCATGGAGAGAGGGCTGCTCCTACAGCCAACGCTAGAACTGACCCACAATTAATATATCATATCTTATAGCCATGCAGGAGCAGGATCATCCATCATTTACTTTCTAAGGAAGAAGCTAACACCAACTTCATCTAGGGGTTAAAATCTCTTTTGTCCTGCCCTCATTTCTCAGCCCTCCCTGCTACCATCAGTTCCAACCCCCGTCCCACCTGGGTATATCCAATTAACCCAACCAACACAACGGGGACGTGCCCACCCCCTTCAAGGGAAGAGGACAGAGAAAATACTCACTGGGGCCAACCCTCGCCCGTGGAGACTGTGAACAGGGTGAGCAGTGCCCAGATTATGTTGTCGTAGTGAAACTCGTGTCGTTTCCACTCCCGGCACTTCACCTCCATCTTGTTCTTCTCGTGGTCCACGTAGTTCCCTCTGCAGGGTTGGGGGAGAGCAGAGGCCTTGCTTTACATCGCCAGACAGGAGATGGGGGGGGGTTAAACCTGGGGGCAGCGTGTGGTGAGGGGACACCACAGAGGGGGAGAGGCTGGATAAGAAATGGGGGGAGCAAAGAAATGGAAGAGGAGGAAGGACAACAGGATGCAGAGTGCTGATACACAGCAATGGGACAGGACTCGGCCTACATCACCCATCCCAAGAAACTACAGCCAAAAACGAGTAAAGGACTCCACCACTGGATATCCAAAGGGGCATTGCCCAGCGCCCTGCCTCTGCCAGAGCTCTGTCGGCAGCATCAGGCCTCTGCCAGAGCTGTCGGCCTGCAGCACAGGGGCACCTACATGCAGTCCTTCTCCGTGTCCTTGGAGCTGTCAGTGCAGTAGAAGAACTTCCCCTTGAAGAGCTGGACGGCAATGACGGCGAAGATGAACATGAAGAGCTTGTAGACGATGAGGATGTTGAAGACGTTCTTGAGGGAGGTCACGACGCAGTCGAAGACGGCCTGCAGGGGAGGGCACAGCTCGCTGCGGGCAGCCAGCAGCCCCGGCACGGGGCAGGGCCCAAATCTTCCTCAACGCTACCGGGTGGAAGACGTCTCCCACTCCAAGTAGGAGAGCAAGGAAGGAGGAAAGAGCCTCTGCTCTCTGCAACCATGGTGGCAGACGCCCAGAAATGAAGTGACATGAGCCAAAGTCCATCCACCCACCAGGAGGAAAAGCTGGGGCAAAAAAATGTCTCTGGGGTGCCACCTCATCCACCAGCTAAATATCCCTTCATGGGCATCACTCAGGGCTCCCTTGGTCTCTTAGTCCTTTCTGGCTCCACACCCCATCAGCTAAAGCAGGGAAATCCACGATCCTACCTGCACTGCATGAATAATCCCGCTATTCAGCAGGGAACCCCCCCCCCTGCTGTGACACGAGGACAGCACAGCGTGCAAAATCCGGGCTTGTTCGCGAGCTGCTCTGGTGGGAAAGATAATGAACTTTGGAGAGGGATCTGAGCTCTCCCAGAGCCGGGGCCGTGTACTCCAGCAGCAGAGCAGCTGGGCTTCGCTGCCTGCTTTCCGTGCCAGCCCCGATGTCCCTGGCAGAGCACCCGGCTCGGATCTATCTGCTGGGCTGCCTTTAAATAACTCACGGCACCGCCAGATGTGGAGCAGTCTGAGAGGAGCCGTGTTTGGAAACAGGGCTCCTAAAGCACAGCAAACACCCTGGAAATGGCTTGTTTAATCACGACACCAGTGCCGGGGGCGGGCAGCGTTACCTTCAGCTTGGGCAGCCGCTTGATGGTTTTCAGGGGCCTCAGGACCCGCAGCACACGGAGGGACTTGATGGTCTTGATATCCCGGCCCTTGTTGGTCCTGCCACATGGGAGGGAGGCGCAGGCACCCAAAAACAAAGCGGAGACACAATAACCTTCGAGACCCGCGGCTGGGTGCTTTCAGAGCTGCCCCCAGCACGTGCACGGGGAGGGGACGGGGGCCACGTGCTGCAGCACCGGGCAGCGGCCACAGATGTGCTGCTGAAGGAGAGCTCAGCCCACTTAAACACATCTCCTTCCATGCACACGCTTGTCAGAAATGAAAAATAAAGCCAGCCTCTCCCCCAGGGGATTAGCACCTTTGCTGGGGCTCGGCTACCTTAACGAATCCCCTTACTGTGAGGAGATGCCAGGTCCCCAACCCCTCCGGCAGGCACAGGACATTTCCAGATGGGGCTCACAAAAAGCCACCACCACTGCAAATGGTTCTGCTGCTGCCTGCCAGAAATCCCCAGTAAAATAAGGGATGAATCCAACAGGCAGGTCCCTCGCCAAGGGTTTTCCATCCTGGTTCAACCTCAGGGTTCAGCACCCGCACCATCTGTGGTTTTTTTTGCACAGATGCCTCATCCTAAAGCTTTCTGCCTTTTTCCATCAGTGCCTGCTCTCCCTCCCCGTGTCCCCCCCCAGGGTCCCACCCCACGGACACTCGGGCGGCATAGTTACCCCAAAGCATTCCTGACGGAGATCCCGAGCCACCGAACAGCATGAACAGAGGGGGAAAAAAGAGAGGAGAGAGAGAAAGAAGGTAAGGAAAGCATCACAGGAGCTGCATGGGGATGACCGCAGCCCTCTTGGGCAGCTCAGCTCATCCCCAGCGCTGAAGGAGAAGGCTGCCCAGAAGAGGAGGTGCAGGGGAGGTGGCAAGAGCCAGGCACTGACCGCTGCTCAGCCTCTCCACCTGCTGCAAACCCACAAACATAGGTCTTACAGCCTGGCAGCTCCGCAAAGCCGCCCGCTAATGCCTCCTCCGAGGGTGCCACGGGAGGCAAAAGCCGGCGGGGTCTTTAGTTACGGCTCTGGTTATTCCAGCTAATTTAATTCCAGCTCTTTGGAGATTTATGGCAGCGTATCAGGCTTTTTATTTAGGCTGCACTCGGGCTGATGCATTAAGCTCTCCGTGCTGAGAGCAGCCGACGAGAGGCAGGCACAGGCGGCCTCTCGCTCGCGAGGCGCAGGCTCTGAGCGGGCAAACTACAGCATCATCCGGAGATGTGGATGGACACGAGCTCATTTTTTATTTCGAGGTGGCACTGATGGCCAGGGGGTGACGGTGGCACCATGGGAGGGTGATGGTGGCACCACGAGCCAGCTCACAGACCTCCTGCTGCAGCCACAGCTGCTGTGGGGAACCCACCCAGCCACAGAGGGTGCAGAAAATACAATTCAACACCAAAGCACCCCACATAATTTTCTGCCAGCGAGTGCTGGAGCTGCCCACGAGCTGCTCTCGCCACCTAACAGCATCAGCCACCCCGCGGGCATCGCTATGCCTGCCAACGAGGAGATGGGCACCTGGGGAGACATCGGTTCTCCCCGTACCGAAGAGCTTAGCGAGGCAGAAGGAGAGGAGAGGAATTCAAACAGCCCTGTGAGAGTTTTTCTCCCCAGACCATGAACCAGGCAGGTCGGGACAGTTGTTGCCGCAGACTCCCCGTGGCTCCGGGGGTGGCAGCATGTCACTCCCGGGCCCTGATGGCAGATGCAGGCATTCTTATAAATGCTTCGCAATTCAAAACCCATCGGAAACCGCTGTGCTGCCTTTGTTCCCCTCACCCCCGAATTTATGAGATCATCTCCTCCGGCAGGAGCCACCGGGGGACACGGGGGAGAGGGACAATGGGGCAGGTTACGTGTGTTTGCTGCAAACATCCGTGGAGATGCACAGGCCCCTGGAGACTTCAGCTGCCTCAAGTCAGAGGGGACCTCTCCATCCCTTGGCAGGGTGGCTGGGGACAGGAAAATGCCACGATGCTGCCCACCAGGCACTGAGTGTCACAGCGAGGAGGAGCTCAGAGCAGGACGCATCCCATCCCTGGACTCAGCACCAGAGCCCAAATACCTGGCGAGGATGCTTAGCAGGTGAAGAAAACTCCACTTTTGCCACCCATTCCCTTATTGTTAACAGCCCCTTTCAGGTCTGGTTCCACCATCAACCTCTTCCCAGCATCTCCACTGCTTTCCCTCCCTCGCTCCCTGCCTCCTCGCTCACTGGTATTAGACAAGCAGGGAGCAAGGAGCTTCTGAGGCTACCCAAGTTTTGGCTACCAGGGGTACAGCCGGGCTTTGCACACTGCTGTGAGGAGCCGTTCCCAAAGCAGAGCACGGAGAAATCCCCCCCAAACCCATCAGGGTCCTGTAGCCACGCCACGTGGCTGCATCCTCCCGCCCCAGCCGAGGCAGAGCCCAAAAGACCACGGCCACTTACGCCAAGGCGAAAGCCACCAGCGCTCCCACCACCACGATGAAGTCCAGGATGTTCCAGAGGTCTCGGAAGTAGGAGCCGTCCTGCAGGATCAAGCCCTGGTCGATCATCTGGGAGAGGAAGAAGAGCAGGCAGGAGATCACCAACTCGGCCATCGAGCGCCCAGCCAAGCTGGGCCACCCCCCTGCAGCAAGGATGCTGTGGGACCTGTCGCCACCAGCACAGCCTTATCTTACCTTGATAACCATCTCGAAGGTGAACACCCCGGTGAAAACGTAGTCAAAATACCTCAGGACCTGCGGAGAGAGGGCAGGGGTGCTGCCGAGGGGGGAAGCAGTCCCTGGGCACATCGCTATCTCCCCATTTAAGCTGGACAAAGCCCTGCTCTGACCCCTGGGCTCTATATCCTCATGTCTGAACGTGCTCCCCCCATGAGGCTGCAGTCCTACGTGGCCCTGACCCCTGCAATATTTTCTTGAAGGCCAAGGGGGATTTGCCCATCAGAGTTGCTCAGCTTTCCCTCCCCTTTTTTCTGCCCCATCCAACCTGCCCACCTCTGAGATGCTGCCGAAGGCACGAGCCATCCCCGTGGCCATGTGTGCCACTCCAGCTCCGTTTTACCTCTCACTGCCAAACCCCAAACACCCCTTTTTCAGTCCAAACCCATGTCCTCCTTGCCTCCTTGTTCCTACCCTCTCATTTGCTCTCCCCCCAGCCCAGCCACAGCACCTCGGAGCCCACCAGCAGCCCATCCCCAAACATCACTGCGACACCACCCCGATTTTGGAGGCGCACGGCAGGCGTCCCTCTCGTTTGGGGATCCCAGGGGGCTTGCAGTCACCTTGTTACGGTCGGAGTTGGTGAGGACGGGATCCTCGGCCGCGAGGGCGATGCTGCTGGCGGCGATGACCAGGAGGATGCACATCTCGAAGTAGCGCAGGTTCACGATGTAGTGGCAGGCTCTGCGCACCCTGTGCCGAAACAGCGCCCGACCCGCTCACCACCGGCGTGCCCCGTGCACCCAAATCCCACCCCACGTCCCCCGCTAGTGACCTTATTGGTACAGGCTCCCAGGGCTGGGTCATAGCAAAGGGTGGCAGAAAAATGGAGGGGTGTGCAACTAGCATTGAATAAAATCCCAGCTAGCACCCAATGGTCAAGAGGAAGCGATGAGCAGAGCTGGCACAGGGGGGGAGCGCTCTCGGGCAGGGGAAGGACACCGTTAACCAGGTTGTTGGGAGATATTCAGCCCCCTTCCCAAAGGTATCACCTCTTTTCCATGAATACGAGGTGTCTGTCCCCTCACAGCCCTCCCAAGCCAAAAACAAAGGCCAAAAATAAAAGAAATCTCACGGGTTCGTGGTGCTGAAGATGAACATGGAGCTGTGCGGCACCATCGCTTTGCCCGTCTCGCTCTTCTCCTTCTTCCGCTTCTTCTTCTCCATCTCCTCCTCATCCTCCTTGCTCTCTGCCTCCTTCAGGGGGCTGGCTTCCCCGTCGGTCTTGTTGCTAACTGCAGAAAAACGAGAGCCTTTGCCAGGTATGGGGCGAGGGCCAGCTTCTGCCTCCAGCCCTGCCCTGCTCCCTGCCGTGGGGACCCGGGGAGGAGAAGGCACCCGATGGCCAGGGATTGGAAAAGCCACGCAAGCAGCTCTCTGCTCCCCCCAAACTCCCCCCCAAGGCTCTCAGGAAAGAGAGAGGGGTCCTCACTCTGTACCACAGCGGACTCTTGGACATCGATCATGATGGCAGTGCTCTCGGTGGCCTTCTCGGTGTTGGCGGTGGCGGAGGAGAGGTCGGGCTCGCTGCGGCTGACGGTGCGGCTGGCCCCCAGCGCCGCTCCCCCCAGCAGGGCTTGCTCGCTGGTGTCCGGGCTGCTGCAGTCCTGCTCGCCCAGGCTGCCCTCCAGCCCCCGGGGGGGCTCGGGTGCCGCTGCCGGGGGGCTCCCATCCTCAGCAAGGACCCCGTTAGTCCTGCAGGGAGGAAGGGAAGGACAAAAAGGCGTATGATAAGTGGAAAGTGATGACTCGAGGAGTTACGGGGGCTACAAGATTCCCCTCCCCAAGCTACAAACCTGGCGGGCTCCCCGCTCGCCTCTGGCTCGCCCTGGATCAGGTCCAGCGCCGCGGCAGCATCCCCGCGCCGGTCCCCGTCCTGCGCCCCCTCCGTGGGGCCGGCCTCCTCCAGCCCCATCTCCTGGCTGCCCGAGCGGCTCCCCAGGGCCGGATCCTTCCCCTCCATCCTGGCTTTTCGGTGCCGGCTGCGCCGCTGGCTCTGCCTCATCCGTGCCCTCTCCTCGATGCCACCTCCTGCCCCTTCCTCGCCTGGCTCGCAGTTCCCGTGGCACGCTTTTTGGTGCCACAGCTCCTTGTCCCGCCTGGCCCGGGGCGATGGGCTCCTCCTGTCCTCCCCACCGCCCGCCTTGCTCCCCGGGGCCGGCTGCTCGGGACCCTCGGCTGGCGGCCGCTCGCCCTTGCCGCCCTGCTCCTCGTCGCACTTCTCCAAGGCGACGCCGTCGCCCGGTTTCTTGCGTCGGAAGATGCTGGCGTGGGGGTTGATGAGAGGGGGCTCGTCCTTGTTGATGCCCTCCTGGCTGGACATCTGCATGTGCCGGCGCAGCTGGCTGGTGCGCTGCTCCCACACCGACATGTGGTGCCGCCGGCGCCGCTCCCGCCTGCAGCGGGGACAGCCGGGGAGCGGGGTCAGTGCCACGAGCCCCCCGCCATCACCGGCATTTCACCCCACAGCACCCCAGCTGCATGCACCCACAGCCCCGGTGACGAGACATGGGGGTGCACATGGAGACACAAACACCTGCCTGGTCACCGAGGGTCAGTCCCCTTTAGCCTTTCAGCGTCCCCCTGGTGCTGGCAGGGGTTGGAAATCGGGCTGAAGCTGGACCCCTGCCCCTCCGAAAGACCTCTGCCCCATCCCAGCCAGGTGGTGACCACCGTCCCCTTGCTTGCTTGGGGACACCACTTAAAATGTGGCCAAAGTCCTCCTGCTGCAGCCAGGATGCCGGCACTGGGGATGTTTTTTCTCCTCCAGCTCCTTGGAGCCAGGGCTCCTTTTTGGAGCATCGCTGCCCTAATGATGGCTGGGCTTGGGTGGCAGTGCTGATGGGATGGAGAGTAAAAAGGGAAAATGCGCCAGGTACAAGGCTGGCCTGCTCACTGAGAGGTGCCCCTCTCCGCCCTCCGATGGGACATCTGCAGTGGGGCACCCCTGGACACACAGCCCCTTTCCCTGCCTGTGCTCGGTGTGCAGCCAGCACGTCTCACGGAGAGCCCGTGTGCGAGGATCTGGGACTAAAGCTGTTGGCTTCCCCCCCATCCGGGGGTCCTCTGTGCTCCTGCGGGTGTGCTCTGGGGGAGCTGCGCCTCCTGGGGCTGTAAACGGATCCTTTCCACCGCCATAAACACGAACACAGACACCCCGGCGAGGACAGACGTTCCCTTCCCGACACACGGAGACACGCACGTGCACACACGTACACTGCTCACCCACGGAGCACACGCCGGTACACACCCACGGGTACACCGACACGCACACACACACTGCAGGGAGGCTCGGCACGCACAGAGCCACGAGCGCACGCAGGGACACGGGTGCAGGGCAGCGTCCCGAGGCACCCACAGGAGGGGCAGGGGCTGCCCAAAAAAAAAAACACAGGGGGCCACAGAGGACATGCGACCCACGTACAGGTGGCTGCTGCGCGGCTCCCACATCGACATGTGGTGTCTCCTGCGCCTGTCTCTTCTGGGGAGGAAAAAACAGACCCGTTCAATCCCCAGCACCCCTCCTGTGCCTGCCCAATTTGCACACCCCGCCGGGGCTCACACACCGCTGGGTGAAGGGATGCACGCAGCGGTGCTCACCCCGGGGCTGCGGATCTGCTCTGGGGAGCAAGAGGGATGTGGCCAAGCGAGCTACCTCGCCAGCCACTCAGAAATCCTGGTCCTCGGGAATTTAGCAGCTCTTTCCAGTGCAGAAGGAAGAGCTGTTCACTCCTACCCAGCTCCACGCGGTGCTTTGATAGAAGAGGTGATGTGCCAGGCCGGCCCCGAGCTGCTCAGAGCACCACCACCCATTTCCACAACCGTGCGTGCTGCCCTGAGACCACGGAACGGGATACGAAGCTCATATATGCAAATCTGCCTGCAATTTACATTTTCTGCTTTCTGCAAACGCAGCATGTGCGCTCTGAGCAAAGACACCCCGACTGCATGCGACCGAGCCCACGTGTGCGCGCAGAGCTCACGCGCACGAGTCGGAGCGCTCCCTGCTGCTTTCCTGCAGGGCACCCGCAGCCCCAGCACCCCCCCGCTGGTGACTGCCACCATCACGGCTAGGTGCGAAGGGACAGCTCGGTGCCACGCTCAGGGTGCACGCCCGCTGCCTGCCACCGTCCCCGCAGCAAGTGGCCGTGCGGCACCGCTGCGTCGCAGCACCCGCGTGCGTCCATCTGGCCACCCACTCGCCCAGCAGCCCGAGCCATCTGCACCACGGGCGCCCGTGCGCACACGCCGTGCTCCAATCTGCACCGCGGCCACCCACGGCAGCCTGGCCACGTGGGAGCACTCCTCCCAACGGCAACCGGACCTCTCCGCTGGCACAAACGTGTGCGCCGAACCTGCCTGCACTGGGGACCCACCAAAGCCATCTGCGTGCACCCAAATCCAAACCGATCCTGGAAAACATCACCCCCAAAGGCATCACATCTCTCTCCCCTGCCCCTGGAACTAGCGACCCTGAGGAGGGGGAGGAACTAGAAAAATGAGCTGCAAATATCACTGTCTCCCATTTCAACGCCACAGGAACAACAACAAATTAAGATTAAGAAAAAGTAATCTGCTTTCCTAGCCAGCTGGATGTGACAACGGCAGGAAGACCAGCAAGGATGCGCGGGCAAATCCTTCAGTGCCCTAATATATTCCATCTCCCGCCTCTTCCTCTCGTATCTCTCCCTTCTCCAGCCCCTTCTGCAGCCTAAATCCCTTTATTTCCTCACTTTATCCAACGTGTTCACACTGGCAGCCAGAGCCAATGCCCGTGAGCTGGTCACAACACGCAAACTCTGCCATCTCTCCCATAAACCCCCCAAATCCTGCTTGCGAGGAAGAGAGGGAGATTTCTCTCTTATTAGGAATCTCTCTTCATCCCCAGACAAGTCTTAAAGGTACTCGTGCCACCCCAAAGCCAGCAGGGTGGGGGACCATCGCATCCCATCCCTGGGAAGCCGAGGAGCTCAGGCAGCTCCCCAAAATCCGAGCTGAACCGTCCCCACGGGTTGGAGCTCGCCTGGGTTTCTCTCGGCAAATTTGCAAAGAGACGCAGCCGTGTGTGAGCTTGGCTTGGTTTCAAAGCATAATGAAACCTAAAATTCCCTGGGAAGGGATTCTATAAAAAAAAATAAAAAAATAAATCCTTCCAGCCGTACCGAAGTGTACTGTTTTGGGAAACAAATCAAAACGCCTCGTTCCAATGTTGACTTAGAAAGTTTTATGTGATTTAGACCATATGACAGGGCAAAATAAAAGAAAAATAAGGTGTCTAGGAAGGAAAAACAGAACTTTCTGCTGCTGCAACGCAGAGGCAGGGCTCCTCAACAACAGAGTGTCAAGGGTTTCATGTGGGTTTGGGTTTTTGCCTTCCCCAAATCAAATTCCCTCACCATGAAATGCGATTTTTGCAAGCCTGCTCCATCCCGTGTAACCGCATTACGGCCAGGGAAGGAGCTGGGGGGGGTCAGATTTTGGCACTGCTGGGACTCCCTGCTCCCACCCGCTGCTCTCCCCCTGCCCCACCACAAAGAAATACTGCACAGGAGCGACCACCACCCATCTCCTCCTCCTCATCAGCCTCTTCCCTCACCCTTAGCAGCAACCTCACCTATCAAGGCTTTGTGTTTTGGGGCAGGAAGCATCTTTGGGGAGATCTCTGCTGTATGCAGGAGGTGAGGGAGCATGGGGCAGCCCCAGGACCTGCTTTGGTGGCCTGGTGTCAGCCCCACGGAGGGCGCACGTCCATCTCCTCCCGTCCCCCTCTGCACCCCCGGGGAGGGGAAGGGGGCTCAAGGGGCTGTGGGGTCACTCACTCGATAGCTGGCATGTTGGGGGCGGACATGGGGCTGACTTCCTTGGCTTTCTGAAGGGCGTGCTTCTGGTTAAAGGCCTCCTCTTCCTCCTGCTCATCCTGTGGAGGAAACGGAGGGGTTGCTTAGGGGGAGGCCAGTGTTTTGGGGGAACGTGCGCCCATCGGAGGCGGTGGGGTGACCTTTGGTGCCAAGAGAAAGGCACAGAGACAGCCTTCGTTTGTCTCACGCTATGGGGATGCAATTTCCCCATCACACTGGATCTCACCGAAGGCATCAGTGCTACCTGGAGAAGTGAACCCAGCCAAAACGACCCCGGATGGCGTAGCCTCTCCTCCACAGCCACAGGGTGGAGTGGGACAGAGAACGGGAAGCCAGGGACCCACAAACAACCTTGGCACAGACCATACAGCTTTAACGAGCCTGGCCACATCTCCAGAGCAAAAAAAAAAAAAAATAAAGTCCTTGGGAGTCATCTTAGCTCATTCAGCCTCTCCAAGAACCTCATCACCTCCAACTGGTGCTACTGGCACACCACGGGGGCTCACCCAGCCTCTCCCCCCGATCCACAGCCCCCAGCACGTGGGGGGACAGGGGGATGGGAGCCCCCTGGATTCTCCTGTCCCGTTCTGTTTGCTGGGAACAGGTCGGATTTCCCCATGGGGGCCATGCAGTGAGCCCACAGGAGCTGAGGAACAGGCACAGGCTGTGCAAAAAAAATGAGCAGCGTGGGATCGCTGGGCTCATTCGAAGAACAGCATTGACCTCTGCAGCTCTTACCTGCTTTACCCAAAGGGCGCCCCAACACTTCAGCCTTCCCCAAATATTCCCCAGCACAGTCTTAAAAGCAGCCGAAGCCCAGCAAGCTTCTTGAGCACCATCCTAAATCGCATCCTAAATCACCCCCGCTGCCCTGCGAGCTCCCACCAGCAAGGAGGAGGAGCAGCTGGGACGTACCTTGGTGAGCTCCTGAGCGTTGGCCAGGTTGTCCACCGCGATGGCCAAGAAGACGTTCAGCAAAGTATCTGCGGGCAGCTAAGGATGCACAAGCCTCGTGGTAAGGACATGGGCATCTGCAGCCACCCCGGGAGGGTGGCCCTGGGGGCTCCTCGCCAGCACGGGGACAAACTCCTCGCCCATCCCATCCATCCTGCCCGCAGCACATCTCCAGGCAGCTCCTCCTCTGCGCCCGGGGTGTCCCGGGCTGCCCCACGCGTGGTGGGAGCCCCTCAGCGGGGAGAGGAGGAAGGGGCAGAGGGTTGGGAGGGGTGGGTGTCCCCGGGGAGGGAGATGAGGTGGGGTTGCCCTGCTACAAGCACAGCAGCCAGGCGGATACAGTTTCCGAACAGGGTGAGGACGATGAAGTAGATGGAGGACCACATGCCCGAGCGAACGCCTCCCTGCGAGCGGATGCCGTTGTACATCACCTCGTTCCAGTCCTCGCCCGTCAGGATCTGCACGAGAGCAAGCCAGCAGGTCGGTCACCGGCCACCCTCGTCACCCTGACACCTTCTTGTCACCCGGTCACCCTCCACCCACCCCACCAGCGCACACAGGGCAGCCTTGAGGGAGAAGCTATGGGGCTTTGCTGAGGATTTGGGTCTCCTCGGAAGGGTTTGGAAACTCCTCCACCTTGGAAGAGTTGATAATAACGGAGAAGAGAGCTAGCTGCTCAGTTTTGTGGTAGGAAAGGGAGCGAGGGAGTTATGTCCTAGCAGCTGGACCTGTTTGGTTTCAAAAGCCCCATCCAGCAGTGAGCAGATGGCCCCAAGGTCATCGGGTTGTATCCCCCTGCAGCCCGGCTCCTACCTGGAACACCGTCATGATGGCTGCGGGGAAAGTGTCGAAGTTGGCTGATGGTGTCCCGTCGATGAAGTTAAACCTGGAACCACGAGGACAAGAACAGGCTGGGGTAGGGGGCAGCGAGCCACGGCTCTGCGCCATCAGCTCATTGGTGCTTCCGAGGCCTCCCCCTGCTCCAAGGAAGGTTGTTCCCAAAATGTGCCCCGGCCAGAAGGACCCCCCAGCCCCAAGCACATCCCAGGCAGGGCTTTTGGTGCAGCAGAGGTACCAGCAGCAGGCTGAGAGCAAGGCTGCAGACTTCCTAGATGCCCTTTCCCCAGGCTCGCTGTGACCTACCTGCCTCCAAACAGCTGCATGCCCAGCAGGGCAAAGACCACGATGAAGAGGAAAAGGAGGAAGAGCAAGCTGATAATAGACTTCATGGAGCTCATCAGCGAGACCACCAAATTCCTCAAGGATGCCCAGTACCTAGAAAAGAGACGTGGCTGGAGCACCCGCAGCAGTGCTAGCAGGAGAGCAGCGACTGGATCTGGGGGTGGCTGGCACCTACTTGGTTATTTTAAATATTCGTAAGAGACGAAGGGCTCGTAGGACACTGATCCCAAAGGAGGTTCCCGGTCTGAAGATGGCCCAAACCACTTCAAAGATGCTGCCCACCGTGACCTGAGAAGCGGACGTGGCCATGAGTCAAAGATGAGCTCAGGAGGGGAAATCTTCCTGCACCCCATCCCCATGGCCACATACCCCGCAGTCAAAGCAGTTGAAGGAAGAATGGAAGTACAGGCGTGGCCCCATGCCATACATCTTCAAGGACATCTCCAGGAGGAAGAGCCCAAGGAACAGGAACTCTGCATAGTCTGGAAGAGAAAACCCAGTCCCTTGGGACACGGAGCATCGGGGAGCACCCCCGTGGCACACGGCAGAGGTGGGACACGCCGAGGAGCACGCTGCTTCCCCCAGCTCTCAGGCCAGAGGAGGGGGTTGGGAAGCAAGCCTGCCAAGAGCTAATCTGCGAACAACAGGGCACCAACCCCACAAATTAATCTTCGGGGTAGATACACTGGTGCCCCAGTGGTTAGAGAAGGCCAGAGAGGGCTGGCACAGAGCAGAGCAGCTCCTCAGTGTTACATGGTGGTGGTTGGGGTGTCCGCAACGACGTTAACCACATGGCACTGTAGGGGAACATTAGCAAGCTGGACATAAATCATTGCACGGCTGGAACTTGGCCAGGGTAACCAAGCCAAGCAGCCATGAGCCAGGGAGAAGCTTCTCAAGCTATTTCACCAACATTAGCAGGCCAGAGCCTGGCTCTTCCCCTTGCCCAAAAGCCGCGTCTCACCATGACCAGCTGCCATCCCACACCGTGCCCTGCTGGGATCCCGGCAGGCCTGAGCGTGCCAATGCAGATTTGGGCAGGCCTGCTGCTTGACAGGGACGTTTTCAAGGTGAAGAAGAGTAAACGTGGATGGGAAAGCAGCAGCGTCCCTCCTGCAGCAGCTCAGGAGCAACACACGGCTGCCGGGGGTTGAGCACAGTGCAGCGTGCCAGGTTGGATGTGGATGTACTGAGCACCACCGCTCACAATTTTGGGATAAATCCACCTGAATCCTGCAATCTGCCTGAGAAAACCATCAGACCCAAAGGGCACGAGGCCAGGAACACTTCTCCACGTTTCCCTGTGAGGCCAAGACCGCTACCAGTGGCCAGGGCGTGTTGGAGATGAAAGGCTACCCCAGGTGCAGGAGGTTTTGCCATCCCACGCACGCTCTGCCCCCGGCACGAAGGACTCACAGAGGAAGTGTGTGAGCCAGGCGGGCTGGTTGTGATGCACGATGGCCACGCAGGCGGTGTTGAGGGCTACCAGGCTCAGGACGATCCAGTAGAAGACCTGGGATTTCACCATGTGGCGGACGGAGATGCGCAGGAGGCGCTCCTTGTGCCGCAGGTAGGAGGCACCGTCCACCCTGGCGCCTTTCAGGCCCGAGCGGCTCAAGGGGTTCCCTGAGGGGGAAAAAAGGGGAAGATACCAAGGTGAGAGGACGAACCGGGTGCCCCAGCCCCACAGGAGCCAGGTCGGGGGGAAAAAATCTTGGAGCAGCACCGACCCAGGGTGGGATGGAGAGGTCTTCTCTGCGCCAGCCTCCGCTCGCCCACCGAGGCGATGTCGACGCAGTGCTCGTCGCTGGAGTCGCGGTTCATGGTGTCCGTCCGGTTCCTTTTGATGGTGGCTCGCCTGAGCACTGGCAGGGGGAGAGGAAGGGGTGCTGGAGCTGCGGTGGCACGGCTCTGCCAGCAACACGCTCATGGCTCTGCACCCCAGTGCTTGGCTGGCCCGGGTCTGGCGGTGGGATGTGCCCCCTGGCACGTCTGCAGACCTCCCTCCACCCACGGAGGAGGGTTTCAGCCTCCGTTTGTGGCCAGCCACCAGGAAGGGCTTGGCTCCTCTTACCTTCTAAGGCTGAGGTCCCAGAATTTTTGTTCTCTTCGGCCAGCATGACTTCCTCTACGCAAAACACACAGTTCAGCATCAGGAGACAAGACACCAAAGGCGGAGCACACCACACGTCACTGCCCGGTACCTAAGCACTTTGCCCAGCCCAGAGGTGGTCGCTACAGGTTGCAAACTCTCATCAAGCACTGGGGCAGTGTCCTAAAGCAAATTCTTTGGGGTGGCAAGGGGCAGCTACCGCACATTGCATCAGGAAGAGAAATTACTTCTGATCAGCCTGGCTTCTGTAACCAGCCTCCATAAATAAGCTGAGTGTTGTAGACAAAAAGTCTCTTTTCTGAGTCTTGCTCTTGGAGGAGACCCCTCTCCGTATCCTCTGTGTCTCTTGAAGGGCTCCTCACCTTCTGCTAACTCCTCGGAGGAACAAAACATCTGCCCTCTACTCACTCACAAGCTGACTTTATTCATGAATTCATGAGTGTAAAGAAAAAAAAAAAAGAGAGGAAAAAAAATAAAAAGAGAAAAAAAAAAGCTGGGGCTTTATCTGAGTCTTGTAGATGCCAGGAAAGCTGGGTCCCAGGGGCAGGCAATGGCACAGCAGAAAAGGGAGCTGACTATGGCGTGAGGCAGAGCTGAAGGTGAGCAGTGCTACCTTGTTTAGAGGAACAACGATAGGAACCTGAGAGCCATCACCTCTCCAGGGGAAGAAAAACAAAAATAGAAATAAGGTTAAAAGGTGGAAAACCACTGGCACTGCTCTGCTTCCCCACTGCCCACCTCTGCGTGAGGCTCCAGCGAGCACCAGCAGACAGGGACATGTCGCGCAGCAAGGCTCACGGCCACGAGGGCTCAGCTGCCTCTCCTGGTGACACTATGTGCCTCACGCCCCAAATATTACATTTCTGTGCCACAAAACGTGAGGTTTCATCAGCTGCTGGGGATGTCCCTGCTCACAGCCTGGCTGGAGCATCACTCCTGCTGGGGCTGAGCCCGTCCGTGCGCCCAAGGTCACCATGAGAGCACCCAGACAGCCCTGGGGTTACGCTGGGTGATGTCCAGAGATCCGTCCCCATCTCAGCCACCCTCAGCGCCACCACCCCCGAGGTCCCCAGCCTTTACCCGCTTTGTCTATCCAGGCCCTGTAGCCGTTGAGCTCCCGCTCGATCTGCTGCTGGCGCCGCAGCTTCATGAAGGCTCGGCGGTTCTCCACGCGCTCGCGCTCTTTGGCAAACTCCCTGGGATAGGGCAGAGGGGGCGGTGAGAGCACAACCTGGGGGGGTTCTCCTGCCCCACGGACATCCCATCCCCTCCGCCTCGCCACCCTGCAGCCCCCGGGTTGGGCACTACCACCTCCTGTGTGGCTTTGTCCCCTGCTTCGCCTCGTGTCCAGCTGTCCCCTGATGTCCCCCGTGGCTGTTGTCACCTATCTGGTGGCCAAACCCAGCGAAGCAAGGTGAGACCAAGAGCCTGGATGAGCAAAAATCTGCCAGAAGGGACAGTCCCAGGATGTGGGATTTATTTGCAAGGGACATGGGATGAGCAAAGAGGGGAGGGGAGCAGCGCCCTCAGCTCCTCTCCCACAGGGCAGAGGATGGAGCACGGGGAAGGAGCCAGGGGAATTTGCAAGAAATGGAAATATTTGGCAAGAAACACAGATGTGGCAAAGCAGGCAGCCCCACGCACAGCATCCTCACACCAGCACCCCGTGTTACATGGAAGATGACTTCCAGGAGGTCCCACACCCACACACCCCAAACACCTGGGGCATCTCCACCCACACGTTCCACCTCTACTGCTGGACACGTCAACACGCAAAAAGTGTCCTCCCCTGAAAAAAGACATCCCCCAGCACACCCTTTCTTGCACAAGCATCACCAGGATGGGCCCTGCACCAAGCACCCCCGCCCCACCGTGCCCAGATGAGCAGCAGATAGGGAAGAACAAACAGCTCCGCTCCCGTTCGAGGCGAGCATCTCTCTCCCCAGAGAGCAGCAGCAGCAACCTCCAGCCTCCAAATACTCAAAAGCAGCGAAAGAATCGGTCTGTCTGCTGCAGAGGGAGTTCAAGTGCATTACCCCAGCTGAGCTATTACACCCTTAATGCTGTGTGGGCTTTTGCATGTGCGCGCGCGTGTTTGTGTGAAAAGCCCTGAATGTTCCCTGCATCTCTTGTTTAAGATCCCCAGACAATTCGAGCATTTTTAATTCCACCCCAGGAAGGTGAAGTTTCCTGCCGCTCCGGCATTAAGCATCAAATGCCTCTCCCCCTCCAGCTCCGGCTTTCAGACTGAAATGAGACTTTCTTCCTAGGGCAGGGAAGGGGGAAGAGAACAAAAGGGGAGGAAGAGAAAAAAGCAGCCTGAGCGGAGGGAAGGAGGGCGGGGGGGAGAGCGAGGAGGAGACCTCCCACAGCCGGCGGGGAAAGGCGCTCGCCGGTTTGGGCACGGCATGTGCAAAACGCTCCTCGCCTGGCGCGGAGGAAAGGCAGGATGATTTTGGCTTCATCCCCCACGCCGCTTTCTGCACAGCAGCGAACTCGAGGTGCCAAGAAGCGGGGAGCTGCCATTCGCAGCCAGAGCCAGCGGGGACGCTGCCTTTGTCCCTCGGTGTCCTTTGTCCCTTGGGTGTCCTTTGTCCCTCGGAGCTGGGGGGTGCCAGAAGCGGGCACCAACGCTTCCCCGTGTCCAAGTGCTTGCTCGTGCAGCCCTAGCCTGCAAGAAGCTGGTGCCACGCACACAAACCCAGGGACACCGCGGTCCCTTCTGCTGCGGCAGCATCTCCGAGGGAGCCGCTTCCCACACTGCTGCTCCCTAATGGAGCCTAATTGCTTTTGTCCATTAGGAGGAGGAAGGGGGGCAGAGAGGAGGAATAAGAAGAAGAAGGAGAAAAAAAATAAAGTTAAATTCAAGTTAATGAATTATTACATCTCAGAGAGACACGTTACCGAGCGGGGCAGCAGCGGGGGCTGGTGACATCTGAGAGTGGGTAGGCGATGCTGACAGATCAAGGATTGCTCAGAGCCAATTTGCAGCAGCGGGTAGAGATAGCGCTGCGGTGCGAGCACGGGGCCGGCCGCGCTGACTGGCAGCCGCCTGGGAACGCTCCAGGCACGGGGCTGGCCCCCCGGGAGGATGCTGCTCCCCAAGGTGTGCGGGTCACGGCTCAGGGGACGGCACCGCTCGGCTCTGCAAGGGGCTCCGGGGGGCCAATTTGAGCAGGGCATCCCTCCCCAGGCCAGGGGGGCTCTCCAAATCCGTAAAGGCAGGGTGAAAGTGTGCACAGAGAGCCTGATGTAGGGGTTTCAGCCTCCAGCCTCCTCTCTTTCCTCCATGGAGAAGCCTGTGCTGAGCACGGGGATGTGTTGGACCTGGCGTGGTTGCAGCTGTACCCTTTGGAAAGCCAAAGGTGGGCACTGAGGGATGGAGGTGGCGGGGGGAGCTTGGCAAGCAGTGTGCCATCATCCTCCTGCAGGCGAGGAACCATCCAGACACCGTGCCCAGCCTTCCGTGGCGATGGGAGCAGATGGTTCGCTCCTCCCGGGGAGGAAAATTCCCTTTTAGAACCCTGGCAGTCCCCTGACGCAGGGCGAGAGCATCCTGGTGGGAGACCCCGGGGGCACGGCCACGCTCAGCACCCTCCTGCCCCAGGCTCCTGCGCCCTCACGGCAATGCTGCTTCAGCATCACTGCTCTGCAGGGCCCAGATCCAGTCTTAATAGAAGAAGACACATGAAAGCATCCAAAAAAGTGCCCCTTTTTTGGGAAAAAAATAAAAAATAAGGGGAAGAAAAAAATATCATGGGTGCTGCAGCCCACTTGTATCCTTCCAGGAATTTCTCTGAGCACAGAGAGGGGATACAGCACTGGTCACACCAACACCATGCTTTCCATGCTTTGAAACAAGCCGACCATCTTCAAAGCCATCTATTCATCACCTTTCATTGCCTTTAAACCCACCTCCAACAAACCTGCTACCAAAAGGGTCTTGAAATGACCCGAGGCAGCAGGAAGGATGGGGTGGGGAGAGGAGAGGTACTGGCTTACGTGCTGGAGAGGAGGCAGCAGCAGCATGCTGCTGTGGAAAAGCCAGCTGTGGTGGGCTGTACGACAAGGAGAACCATCTGTACGGCATCAGGTAACACTTCTGCTCTGCTCGGCACCAGCAAGGTCTCAGCACACGGCTCCTGTCCAGTTTCAAGCACCACGATTTGAGGAAAAACACCCTCGGAATCTCCAGAGGAGAAGTCACAACTGCCAGCACCACAGGGCTCCTCCTATAAGCTGGTCCCTCAAAGGGATGCGGGCTGTTGTGGCTCCACGTCGGGCCCAAAATCAGTGGGGACACAGCCACCACCGGCTGGTTATTTTACGGGACACCTCACTTTTCCCAAGGAGCGAGGCTGTTACAGGCACTGCTGCTGGCGGGCAATGGGAGGAGAGAGCTGGCACCCTGGAGATCTCTCGGGCCTGGGCTTTGGGCAGCTTTGAAAATAAAATCCAAAAATTCAAATAACCGGGGGACGAGCCAGAGTGGAGACAAGACAGAATGGAGACACGGGGATGGCAAAGACGCATTGAACCACTGGGGCCAGCAGCACAGCCCCTCCGTCCGAGCCAGCCGGGTTTTCCAGCTTCAGGTTTGCTTTCGAGGTACAGGCTGCAGTCTTTGGATCTAAACTCACAAAACCCACGGATCCCCACGGCTGGAGTCGTTCCTAACCTCCCAGCTACGGCAGCAGCATCTCAGTGCAGCCCCCGCTGCGTTCGAGGTGCTCAGAGCAGTGAGAAACATGGGAGAGGCTCACGCTGCGCCTGCTGGTGGGGAAGGCAGCCCACTGAGCGCGTTAAATACCTCCCCTCTTCTCCCCAGCAACTTCTTGTCTGCACTTGGCTCCAGTCAACGAGCTCTCATCCATCCCAGAGCAAGCTCCACCATCGTTTGGGATCGGGGCCAGGCATCTGTGTCACTGCAAAGTCCCTTGAGGATGTCTCCGGTGGAGCAGGTGCCCTGCACTTCACGGGGCCACCAGCCCCGGGCGGCTCAGCACCTCTGCGCACGCACCGCGCTCGCTCTCCGGGAGCAAGCAGCACTCCGTGACCCGAGAGAAAAGAGCAGCCGAGAGCTTGCAGAGCTCGTTGTTTCCAAACAGAGGAAAACAAGTCAAAGAGGGCAAATAGCACATGGAAAAAGGGAGCCAGCCGCCGAGCGGCAGCTCCAACGTTTGTCCCGAGGTGACAGCGCGGGGGTTCGCAGCTCCGTCCCCCCTGCTCGGAGGGGGTGGCATCGAAGGCAGCATAGCAGGGTCAGCCCTTGCTGCCAGGAGCGTCTGGCAGCCCAACGAGAGCAGCAGAGGTGGAAGCTCGAGGCTTTGTTCTGCTGCAGGCAGGGCAGCACCAGTGCAGGCAGCGCTGCTTTGAGCGCCCCAGGCTCTGCCAGCAATCGCTGCCCCCAGCTCACACTGCATCGCTCCTCCCATCCCCTCCCCGGATTTTGTCTCTGTAAACAGGGAGGGTTTTGTCCCCCCTTTGCACGTGACAGCAAACAGAAGGTGTGGGACCAGTGCTGCGAGTGAGCTGCAGCACAAAGCAGCCACCGATTTCCAACGTCTCACGGCGCTAACTTCCCAGGAACTGCGGAGCGCTCTAATTGATGGCTTCCAAGCGAACACAATGGATCCAGAGCTAAGCATCGAGCGCGAAACCCACAACGCATCCGCTAGGTATGTCACTCTGCTGCTGTGAAACAAACAAACAGCCTCCTACGACGTGCAGAGAGCTGGCAACATGAAGTGATTCATTCAGGGGATCCTGCCCAAGCCACCCAACACCGGCACCAAACACCCCCTTGTAACGTGGTGTTGGTCACCGTGGGTCGGCACCTTTCCAAAGCCAGAATCACCTGGGTTGGAAAAGACCTTAGGGATCATCACAGAGTCATAGAATCACCTGGTTGGGAAGGACCTTTGGGATCATCGGGTCCAGCCATCAACCTGACAGCTATCGCCAACCAGGACAACTGAAATTAAGGAAGACCTGGAGCAAAGCTCCAAAAACAACACATGAGCCTTACACTGAGTGCTTTGTGAAGAGCATCAAACCCCAACCTGTCCCCCCCCAGCCTACAGAGCAGATCCCCAGGAAGGCACAGAGCCCAGCAAACACACCGTGGCTGGGACCTGCAATTAAATAATCCCCAAGGAGAACCAACGGGGAGCACCACGCATCCAACGCGCCGCTTTCCGGGCACACATGGTGGCATCCTGCTGTCACTGCTGACGTCCCCACCAGCCTTTCCGTGCTGTGGCAGTGTGTCTCCCTGCTTTCCCCTCCGCAAACCACCCACCTCCCAGGCGCTGATCCTCTCCTTCCCAGCGCTTGGCTTCGAAGCACCTGATCCAGCTCGAACGTGGGGCCCGGGTTTTGCGCGGAGCCGTCAAAAATTAAAAAAACCCAACCCTGCCTCCGTCGAAAACGTGCGCTCGTTCCTTCAACGCCCTTATTATTAATTGCTAAAACTTAATCTTATTCATCGTTTGTTATGCCTCAAAATTGGAGAGGAAAAAAATTCAAATTAAGCCAAGTGAAAAGATTTCAGAGATGGTACAGAAGGCTCCTGGAGGAGCTGAAGAATGCTCTCCGGAGACCGGGAGCGCAGCGCTAACCCAACCTGAAAGAAAGAAGATCTTAAGACAAAGAAATCTTGCCAAATTGATCCTTTAATTATAACATTAGTCGTTTCTTTCAAAGGCTTAGTGCAAGAGCTGGGGGTGGGGGGCAGAAAAGACTTAAAGGGAGAAAAGACTTAACATCACCAGGATGAGTGGAAGCAATTAGCAGGGTTTAAATTACTCTCTTGTTTGGTACAAGGCAGATGGATCTCATTTTTCCTGCCATCGTGCTCAGCTTCTTGCTCTGCCATCAGCTCCCAGAGGACCTCTCGTTGGCACTACCACAGAGCCTCCCTGGGTCGGTCCCCGTCCCCATCCATGCTGCAGACCATGAGGTGCCACCACACCGGGCCAGCATCACTGCTCCCACCAGGTGTCTGCAGCTTCAGAGTGCTGCCACGCTGGAGATGAAGCTCAAACACGTGGAACCAAATTGGTTTGCGTGGAAAACAACCGAAGGAAAATGAAAAAAAACTCTACAAATTTGCAGACCTCTGCAAATCTCCAGCACGGGGCAGCTTTTGCATCCCCCTGGCTCGAGGCTGAGCGCAGCCCTGGGACACACACCCTGCTGTGAGCCTCATTCTTCCTGAGCTCCCGATCCACAGCCTGCGATGAGGCAGAAAGCAGGGCATCTTGGCTGGTGCTCCATCCTCGCTCGCTCCAGCTCTTCTGCCAGGATTATTTCAGGAGCCGTGTAGCTTTAAAAGCTGAGCAGTCACATCTCCTTGGGCTCTATACCTGCAAAATGTTCTCAGAGCGGAATGGGGCCAATTTTTTTTCCTTTTTTTTTTTTTTCTCCTCTCCTTTCTGCTTTCAGTTAGAATTAATTGATCCGTAATTGCACCCATAGAGGGGAAAAGTTAATAGACACAGTAATAAATGCCAAAGCCCCAGAAGAACTTGCTCTCCAAGCCCCTGCCTGGAGCGACTCCATCTCCTCTTAATAGCCTTGCATGCGATTCCAGCGCATGTGTGCGTATTTAGGGAGAGAACTGAGGAGCCTCGCTAGGATGGAAATCATTTCTTTTCCTCTCCCACATACATTGTGCTCGGGAGCAGATGGATCCAGGCTGTTTACATCACGGAGGTCATGCCTCAGCCTAACAGTTGGGGAACTGACTGTTGGGAGAGATGCGCATCGCAACCAGGAGATTGCTAAATCTGGGCTCCGGCGAACTTCTTCTGATGGTGGCACATTAAACAAATGTCCTCCTGCAGCCTCTTGGCACTCGGGACCTGCCTGGGGCGTCTGGTTGGTTCCTCGGTGAAAATAGTTGCGAGATGAAGCAAGAGGAGGAGGCTGGAAGAACCAAGGGGACCTTGTCAGTAGTCGGTGCAGGTTGCAGGTTTCTGCTCCTCGTCGTGGGTCACGCAGATGAGTTTTTGGGGTTGGCCAACGCACAGCAGCATCGCTGTAACCCTGTCTCAGCCGAAGTCATGGTAAACAGGAGGGCAGAGGCCAGAGAAGAGACTCCTGCCTGCTTTTCCCCTACAATAGCAGATGGGACCGAGCGCGTGGGCCACCAGGACTCGCTGCCGAGCACAGCGCCCCGAGTTAGCAGAGCAACCGTGTTTTCAGCTGGCCACACACAGCCTTTTTTCCTTCCCCCAGAGCAGCGCTATTACACCAGGAAACATTTCTTTCCCATGGAGATGTTTCCATGGAGCTCGTCCCCACCATGACCTCCTCCTCCCCGCTCAGCCCAGCGCAGGGGGATGCGGCCGGACCCCGGCTGCAGGGCACGGTGATGGAGAGGTCACCTTGGCCTCCTGGAGCGGAGCCCGGAGCTCTCCTCCAGCACAACAGAAGGGTGAGAAGCATTAAAAACAAAACCTCAGCAAGCAGAGCGAGGCAAGGAGCCCTCGCACACCTTCGCTCAAGGACGCACGGGGCGTGCATGCAGAAGCACCGAGCCTCACATCCATCCACCAGCTCAGCAAGAGGACAGCCAGCCTCGCTGCCAAGGGGGTCCCGAATCCACGGAGGTGCTGGGGACACCACAGCCCCCTTGGTGGCCTTGCACCCATGGCAGAGCCCAGCTCGCCCAGCCCCGCGGGAGCTGAGCAGCCGTGCTTTTCCCTAGGTAGCTGGCACGCCACGAGAGCATCTCCATTGCCAATTAGGCCACCCGCCCACGCGCATCCTTCCCCAATACAAACCCTATCAGCGATAAACAAACAGTGGAAATGCCAGCCGGCGCCTGGGAAGAGCCCTAGACAACTGCATCCAATTTGGCAGGCACGGGAAGGGCTGCCCCATACGGTCCTGGTGGGGGCAAGCACCCAGGGGGGGTCGGGGCAAGGCTGGGTGTCCCCGCAGCCACCCCAGACTTGGCATCCCCAAGCTGGACGTGGCATAAGGAACACAAAAGTCACCCAATGCTGCTTGGGATTCATCATCCTCCGCAAGGCAGCGTGTTACCTCGCTGCAGCCTGTCCCCACAGCCCCTGCACCTGGACCTGGGGAGTTGCAAGCCACCTGGAGATGCTGAAGCCCTGCCTGTCTCTCTAGAAGCATGCCCAAAACCACCACCACCACTCCTGAACGCACAGGGATATTTAGGACAATGATAGAGATGGCCAGGACCAGCTTCCACTTCGATACCCGCATCCCAAAACCACAAACCATTAAGAAACAAGCACCAAGAAATGTACTACATGGCTTTAAGCTCAAGGAGAAATGTGCTGCTCACAGCACCAGCCTGCACACACAGGGAAGTCTCTTTTTTCTCACCGAATGCTATCTCCGAACCCAAAAGAGCAGCTCAGAGTGCCCACAAGGCTACGTGGGGATGCTGCTCATACACCAGGAGCTCAGCACAAACCCTCACGGTGCCCCCTGCCCTCACCGCAGCCACCCCTCGCTCCCGACAGCCTCGCTCCCTCCCCGCTCTCTAACCCCTGCCAGAGCTGAGGATGCGCCAGCGCAACCTTGGTTCATCGTCATGGAGACGAGAAGCCTTTTTCTCTCCAAACCCAGCTTGATGGCTTGGATTAAAATCTCCGTTCCTCTGGGGAGAGCACCGAGGTGCCCCAAGCCCATCCTGTGCCCACCACGCACCAGCAGCTGGCAAATGCGCACCTCGCTGCAGGCACATCCCAAGCTCGTACCCATTTCCATATCGCTCCCTCATGCCCTGTGCCCACCAGCAGGTCGCAGATTTGTGCCAACAACAACTCGCACGTGACCAAAACCACAAGCTCGTCAGGAAGGAGAACCAAAACAGAGAGAGCTGTGCCAGCCTTGGGGCACAGCCCAGAGGAGGACAGCATCTCGCTTACCCCGACAGCACTCCCAGGACAAGGTTGAGGACGAAGAAGGATCCAATGATGATGAGGGGGATGAAGTACAGCCAGTTCCAGGTGGCTCCTAAGGCATCATTGGTCTGGAGGGGAAAGAAAACACAGGCTGTGAGGTTACACCCGAGGCAGAGGGTGGCATTTCTCCCTGAGACTGACCACACCACCCTCCTCCGGGCATTACAACCGTGCCCCCAAACCTGACGGGCTCCAGCTGTCACCCCGCTGCGTTATCCCACCCCAGCCCCAAGGAGCAGGCTGCAGCTCCAGGCAATTATTCACCGGGGCTTTTAATAAGGCAGTGCCCCCCCCGGTACCTTACAGCCGCTCCCCGGCCCCATTTGTCCTCGGGCGCCAGGCAGCGCGCACATGACGCCGGGCTGGAGGGTGATGCGGCAGAACGTGACTGTCTGGGGGAGGTGGCATCAATCTTGTTGCGATGAAAGGCTCTTTCTCTTTTCTCTCTCCTTCTTCTCTCCCCCCCTCCCTCCCCTTCCCTTCCCCGTGCTAATTAAGCCCTCATCTTCGTCTGACTCATTGGCACTACGTCTCCCCGCCGGCCAGCGCAGGAGCCGAGCCCATCTCCTGGAAGGGAGGAGAAAGCCACCATGCTCGAGCCTTCCTCCAGTGACCAAAGTGTCCTCACCGTGCCAGCACGGAGGATCCCAGCGCTTGACCAGCACACGGAGGGGGATGCTATGGGCAGAGACCCCGGTGCTGCCTGCCAGCCCCTTCCCTGGGCACCCCAAACGGGTGCTTTGGCTTTGCCCCATCCCATCAGCACCTCTTTGGGGTCAGGGAAAGCACCCTGTGGAGGCTCATCGCCCTCCTCCTTTGGCAGCAGGGGCACCACACATCTTCTCGAGGTCCTGCTCCACCACAAGCCCCATTCCTTGGGGCCAGAAGTGAGCACGAGGATTGGGAACGGTGTATGGGAATCTCAGGCAGCCAACGCTCACCACCACCCTCCAGGGACACCCAGACCTCCCCCTGAGTCCTGGCTCCAGCCCACTGCTCTCTAACAGCCCCGTTTTGAAGGCATCAGCCTTGAAGGCACTGTGCGCCCCTTGGACCAAGCCCACGCGGGACTCCAGCCTGCTGTCACAGTGCCATCGGGTGCCTGCCACCCATGCTGGGACCGGTCCCTTTAGGAACTGGCCCTTGCCTGAAAGCCAGGGGATTTCCCCCAAGATACAAAATAGCTGAGTCTTTAACAGGTGAACATCTTCCCCCAGGGCTGGGCACAGGGTGATTTCCCCAGGGTCACCAGCAGCACCCTGACACCACGGTGCTCTGCGGGCACAGCCTAAACTGGTGGCACTGGGGACCAGCACTGCCCTGCTCCAATGGCCAGAATTTGTCCTTTCACTCCCCAAGGAGCTCGTGGCCCGAGGGGCTCAGCATTTCCCACTGCTTCTCCAGCCCATCGTGGCCACCTCTCCACCCCAAGGCTGAAGCCGGCCAGCCCGTGCATAACGCACTATTCCCACTGGAAGGCTCCTCAAGCCGACGCTCTAATGCTTGCCCTAACTCTCAGCCTAAATTTATTTGTGGCCAGTTTATACCCATTTGTTCTCTTGCCAGCATCGGCCTTTGGCTTAAAGAAGCTCTTCGTTTCCCATCCCGATGTGTTTATAGAGTGATCACGGCCATCCCCAGCCTCCGCCTTGCTAGATAAAGCAAGGTTCCCCCACTTTTCTCCTAAATCACTGCCTCTCCCTCCCTGATTTTCCTAGTAGCCCCTTCCCTGCTCCAACCCATGGTCAATGTTCATCTTCCCAGGACACAGGAGACCTGACAGAGCCATCCTGATGGGTCCCATGGCATCCCAGCACGATGCTGTGAGCCTTCAGCATCCTGATGGCAAACCTCTCCTCCTGCCCCTCCTGCCTCCACCCTGGCACTTCCAACCACAGCGACCTGGGTTCTTAGGGGGTGTCTTCCCTCTCCTCCAGCACACACGTGGCTCATCCCCATGAAACCCCACCAGCAGGTCCCAAAGCCCCATCCAGCCCCCCCTCGGAGCTGCTCCCTTCCCACCAGCTCCTCTTCGTCACCTCTTTCCCATCGCAAAAGCCTTACTCTGACGAGCAGCTCTGCACGTTTCCTGCACTCAGAAAACCTGTCCTCTGCTGCCAGGTTAGCCCGGCGTGACCTACCTTTGGCAAACCCATGATTCATTTTCCTCTTTTGCCTCCAAAATCTGTTCCGAAATGGCATGCAATTGAGGTCAGGCTCGCAGCCTTATTCCTGCCTGCCTTACTTTTTCCTTCCTCCCCCCGCTTTTAAATATAGGCATCGCATTCGCTCTCCTCCAGTCAGCTGGTGCCTCCCCCAGCACGCCGGAGCTGTTATAAATACGCGTTACCAGACCTGCCATTTCGTGTGCCAGCTCCCCCCAAAACGCGGGGGGAGGCGATGCCCAGCGCCACGGCGATGGGCACCATGGGCTGGGGCCATGGCCATGCTCTTGGTCGTGCTGCCCAACCTCTGGTTGCCTCCATGGTTGTGATCACCAAAACTAGGGTGAGATGCCCATCCAGCACAGGAACCATGCCCCAACATCCCCAGCCTTCTTCTTCCAGAGTGAGGAACCGCTTGCTGCCCCTTCTAGCATCCTTCACGAGGTCCGTGTTGGCTTCAGTTTTGGCACTTCTTCGGCACAAAGGTGTCGTTCTTTTTACCAAGCAGCCCCTTTTTCCCAACCCTTTGGAGCACCATTTACTTTTAATAACCTTCCTCAGCCAATAATTCATTGGCCTGGTCCCCTGTGCCTTCCCATCGGTTTTTCCCCTTGGTCATCCATCACCTGCAGAGGCCAGGGCAGACACACCACGGTACTTTAATCCCTAGTCTACACAATCCCTAGTGTCCTCGTGCTGGAGACCAGGTCCCATTGCTCACACAAGCCCTTTGGGAAACCAAGGCGCTGCCTGATGTCTAATCCTTCTTCTCCCCTTCACTTTAAAGCTGCAACCCTCTTACTATAGGATTTTAGATCCATCTAGGTTGGGAACGACCTTCAAGACCACCAAATCCAAGCCCAGTCTCCCCACTCCCCTCGGTGCCACATCCACACGTCTCCTGGATACCTCCAGGGATGGGACACCCCCACAGCCCTGCGCACCCCACTACGCACCTCAGCACCCAAAACACCACCACCCGTGGTCTTCCATGACCACCTGCCCAAGAAATACGCTCGCTACCACCTTCGGGAATACCTGAGACACCACCGTGTGCCTTCAGCCTACAAGGGACCCAAGCCACCCTACACAGCTCTGTCCCCAGGGGTGATGGAGCCAGCCCTGCAGCCACCCCAGCGGGCACCCGAGCACCCCAGGGAGCAGCTCTGCTCTTTGGGCAGCCCCTGTGCTTCCGAAGGGCAGGAAAAGGCGCAGGGAGCTGCAAAAGCAGGTCTCACTCGGGGGCCAGAAATCTAAAGAAGTCTAAATATATCCCGCCGTCGAATGCAAAGCACAGGCTTGCAGCCCACACGTACCCTCCCTCAGGCTGTGCTCGCATAGGAAACTTCAGGATTTCTTTGCTGGGTTGGGGGGGGTGAAATAATAAAACAACCACAAACTCAATTTCTCCTACCTAAAAATAAGCAGAAAGCGCCTTCTGCCTTTGCAGGGCACCTTTAGTCCTTATTTCCCGGTGGCTTGACGGAAAGTGGAAGGAGAGGAAGGGCGATGGGTGGATGGAGAAGAGGCAGAGCTGTGCTCTGGTGGAGGTGCTCGCTGCGCCCAGCACCCACACGGTGCCCTGCACACACCGGTGGCCCGCACGCAGCCACCTCCCCTGTCCAAATTCATCTGCATTAGGAGAGTCCTCCATGATTTCTGCTTGAATTTGGAGTGAGACAGCAAATAATTGGATTGGGGTGATGCACAGCCAGCGCTGCAACCGCCTGGCAGCCACCTGCTCGGGGACACGTGCAGCACGGGGCGCTGTCCGTGCACGGATGTAACCCGGGGCTGTGCACGGTGTCACCTCCTCTCCAAAAATGGAGAGGGCTTGGGGCTGAAGAGCAGTGGGAACATCTCAGGAGGCTTCTGGTGGGCGCTGTGCCTCCCTTCCCCACCGCTCCCCAGTGCCCACCGCCGGCGGGACAACGCACACGAAGCCACAGCCACGCCACGATTTGCACACCAGATCCCTGGTTTGGCATCTCCGGATGGCTTTTTGGGGTGGCTGCAGCCATCCCTGCTCATCCCTGCCCCGCTCCTCCCTGCGAACCGCAGCCACATCCAGGTGAGCCGTGCGCACGGACCAGCAGGCGCAGCATCGCTATCCAGCAAAAAGGAAAGACAACAACAACAAAAAAAATCTCCCAGCAGATTCCCCGACCTAACCAGCTCCCTCAAGACCTCGACACCCGCTGCTGCTCTCCCCAGCGCAGTAACAGATCTCCTTCTTCAATTTAATAGCAGTAATTTCATCTCCCGCATGCAGGGCCATGCCTCACTCCCCGCCAGCCGCGCCTGGTATCCATCAGCGACCCCGGTGCTGTACAAGATCTGAATGAAAATGCTTTTCTTCTCCAAATTAGGTTAATGAGGAAATTGGTACATTTCCTTCACCGAGCAAGGGCCGGCCCCCGGCGGGCCGCATCCTGCCCTTGGTGGGCGCCCCGATGCTGTGCCCACAGCACCCGGGGGGAAAGGGGATGGGGAGTGGGAAGAGGTCCCCAAAACAGGACATGGGATGCTCAGCGAGGGCTGAAGCGCACGGGCACACGTCTTGCTGGGAAGGAATGGGGAGAGAGGGAAAAAAACAAGGAATGGGGAAAAAAACTCCGTTATATTTCATTTTTCGATTTTCTAAATTTTTGACTCGGAAAAAAATAATGCTAAAAGCATTACGGAAAAAAATAAGTGTTTTGGAAATTCCTGAAACGGACATGGAGACTGCTTTTGGCTCTGTTCGACTCTGATCTGCCGAGAAGTCGCAGCCAGGCACCCCAGCACCGCCTTCCAGGGGCTGCGAAGGAAACCTTTGCTGGGATGCGAAAGGCAATTAGAGGCTCTGGGCTTAATGAGGAGGGGTCCGAGCCCCCTGCCCGCTCTTGTTGGGCAGTGCCAGGAGCATCCCAGGCTCTGCTGCCTTCAGCAGCTGGCCCAGGGCAGAGACTTTCCCTGGCAGGCAGGCAGAGGGTGTGGGCAGGCAGCTTGCGACAGAACATGCCTGCGAAGCTGTGGATCCAGCAGACACAGTTTGTTTCTTGCTGTGTCATTTCAGCGTGCACACACATTTAAAAAAAAAAAAAAAAAAGCAGGAACATTTGGCAAGCTGGAGAGGGTCTGGCTTTAAGTGCTAACAAAGAGCCGAGCCAGGAGGGGAACAAAAACCCTGCTTTCTGCCTGTTTCTGCTCGGGGTGCACGCAGCAGCACCTAGCAGGGCACAGCGACCAGGAGCAACCTCGGGGTGGGGGGAAAGCGGCTCAAATAGTTAAAAGTTAGGATGGTTTTAAGGCTTTGGGGTGGAACTTCCTCAGCTCCTCCTTCCTGAAGCCCTCGCTTGCCTTTTAAACCCGTGGTTAAGTTGCAGGCGAGGAGCAGAAGTGGCTCTGTCCTGTGGCGCTGGGGGCTTTTCGGCTTCCCTGGCCCCCCAAAATAGGCACGGAGGTAATAAGGTCTACACCTGCTGAGGGCACGGTGCCTAAATTAAATCTTCATCCCTCCCCAGACGGGATTTTTGGTTTGTTTTAATTTGAAGCACACGCAGCAGGACTCCTTCTCCCTCGGCGAGGGCTCCAGCTCGAGCGCCTGGCGGTGTCCCAGGGCATGGAGGGCTCAGCCACCGAGAGCTTTCCTCCTTTTGACACCTCTCCCACCTCCTTCACTCGCCAGCATCCCTCTCTCTGCCTCCTCTCCCTTGGAAAGGCACCGGGCTGAATGCACCTGAGCCATGCTCGGGGCCTGCCAGTGCCAAAAATGTTGGTCTCGTGGCACCCCCTGTATTTTACCACCTTCTTTTTCCCCAGTCCTGCCTCCTGTGCTGCAAGAGGGATTTGGGGTTTACAGCAAGCAGCTGTGGCCTGCTTGCTCCCTTGACACCTTGCCATACATTTTTAATTAGCAGCACGGATGCTCTTCCAGTGCTGCTCGGGAGGCAGAAGGATTTTACCCATTAGTGCTGACGGCCGTGGCCCTGCGCAAAAACGGAGCCGGCTGCTTGCAACGACCCAGCTTCAGCACGGCCACTGGGGCTGTGCCAGCCCTCCTGTCTGCCTTGGGTTGCTCCAGCCACCCTCATTTCACTGGGGCTGCCTCTTCCCACCTCAGCATCCCTCCCCCAGTGAGGCAAGGAGGGTTTTTTCCATGCTCTTGTCCTGCACCAACACCTGGCCATGGGATGCGGTCCCCGCACCACGCAGCCAACATCCCCAGCTCCATCAGTGCCGGGGGCAAAGCACACAGCTGGGACAGGCGAGGGTCAAACCCCATCCCGAGGCCATGTTCCTCAGCCTGTGTGAGCACTGGGTGCCCTCGCTGTGTGTTTTTGCCCCAAATCCCAGCTCCCAGCAGTGCGGGGAAAGCGGCTGCCAGCAGCTCCCAAAAAACGCGCTCCTGCCTGCTACCTGCAAACAGCAGCCGAGCGCCTCCGGAGCTGGAGCAAACAAACAAATCCTGGTGAATAAACACAGCCCTCGGAGCCGGTGTTGTGGGGGAAGTCATGATTTCAAGCTCCTTTCCCTGCCTTTTCACCAGGCTGAGCGTCCCCACCACGCTCAGCATCCCTGCGCCACTGCAGCAGGGAGGCAGGACAGGGGTCCCCTCTGCCAGCGGGGGTTTCCCTGCGGTCCCAGCAGAAATCAGGTCTGCTTTCAGAGCATCCCAGGCGAGGGGGATCTGCTCCAGCAGCAGGAAAAGCAAAATGTTCCTCAGCTTCCATTTTGGACAGCTGGAGGGACGCGCCAACCAAAAGCCACCTCAAAAAAAGAACGAAACCCTTCGTGCTCCCAGGGAAAGGACACAGCACCCCGCAGTCTGGGGCTTGTTTTTCCTCCCCCCAAGCACACGCCGGTTTCTGCAGAGCAAGCCTGCCTTTCACGCAGGCGAGGCTGTTGAAAACAAGGCGAGAGCCGAGCGCATCCACGAAATAACACACGTGGAAAGCACCGCGGGGCTGATTAGCTTTCCGCGACGCTTTCGACAAATTGTGCGAGCCGCGCTCCAAGACCTGGCAAAATTGGGGGAAAATGGGTCTTAAAATCACGAAGCAGCTACGCGGGGGAATATTAGAGTAAGCAATTTCTCTGAGAGATTGCAGAAGCGTTTTCCCTGCCACCTCCTCTCCCCTGCAAGGCTGCCTCGCTCCCCTGAAGGGACTCGGTCCCATCACTTGACACCAGCAGCGTAAGGCAGAGACCCCCTGGCTGACCTCCCCAAACCTGGAGGCAGTGAGAACCCCCCTGGGGACCACAGCCCCCCGTGCACATGCCTGCTCACACCTCCACATTTGCTTTTTTCCCCAAAAAAAGGTCCTAAGCCCATTTTGCTGCTGTCACATGCGGGGACCGAGTGCCCGCAGCCTTTGCGTCCCTGCGAGACAGGGGGAGGGCGAGGGACGTGCAAAGTGAATCAGCAGCATTTTACCACCAAGACCCAAGTCCTCACTCAATTAGCAGCCGAGGAAGGGCCCTGCTACTTCCCATTACGGGTAAGTAATAGCTGGTACTCTGCAGAGGAGCGGGAAGGGGAGGCAGGGCGATGTCCTGGCCGTCGGGGACAGGATGACAGAGCACAGCCGGCCGCCGAGGCGCCTGGTGCTGGGAAAATCATCCGGACACCCAGTCCCCAGCATCCCTGAGAACCCCAAATTAGCATCAATGCATCCCCCCGGTGTGATGGCTGTTCAAATCCCACCCAAATGGGATGCGATGGCACCATCTCCATCCCTCAAGATCTCAAAACCTTTCAGGCCACGGAGCTGCCGTCTCCAGCACCACGTCCCCGCACCCAGCCACCCCACGGACCCCCCGGGCTCGCCACTCACGTTGTACAGGACTGTGGTCCACCCTTCCATGGTGATGCACTGGAAGACGGTCAGCACAGCGAAGAGGATGTTGTCGAACTGCGTGATCCCGTCGTTGGGACCGATCCACTCCCGGCACTCGTAGCCCGGGGGGCAACCCTGCACCCCGCACGGGTGGGGGGGGTCCAGCTCCTCCAGCTCGCCTGCAGGCACAGGGCAGAGCCAAAGGACGCGGCGGTCAGGGAGGAGAAGAGCCCAAACACAGGGGGCTGGGGACAGAGCAGGGCACGACGAGGAATTGATGCACCCTGGGTGCAAGCCTGGGGTCGCATGCACCACACGGAGCAAACCATTTTTTTTTTGTTTTGTTTGGTTTTGGTTCTTTTTTGCATGCTCAGGGTGCACAGAGCTGCCTTCCTCACCTGAATTGTTGGTGTAGCAGGCTCGGTGCAGCTTCCCGCTGTAGAACTCCAGGCCGATGATGGCAAACATGAGAATGGCGAAAAAGAGCAGCAAGCCGATCTGGAGGAGAGGCACCATGGCCTTCATGATGGACTTCAGCACGATCTGCAGGCCTGGGAGGGAAAAGGAAGAGCCCAGCTCAGCTCAGCACACGCTGTTCAGAACCAGGCACCCCCGCTCCCACCTCACCAACAGCCAGGGGGGCAGGGTGAGCTCCCCAGCACCACCTGGGCATCGCTGGGATAAGCCCCACGACATCCCCAGAACCCCAAACTGCTCGCTGCCTGCAGCACATCACCCCTACAGCCTCCTGGGGAGGTGGTGGCAAAGCTCTGGGCATCCAGGTGAGCATCAACTCGGGGCAACGCAAGCAGGTGCCCGAGGAGGGAAGCCACGGCAGCAGCCTACTTTATTTATTTATCCCCGTTCCTGCAGAGGAAACCTTGCAAAAAGATGAGATCTGCCCTGAATCAAGTCCTGGGAGGATCCACCCACAGCCTGCTGGCCAGGGAGCAGGACCCCAGAGCTGGCAGGGGGCACCAAGCCACCGGTGGGCCAGAGAGGGACGTGCCACCTGGGGACATCAGCTGGTCACCCCCCATCAGCTTCTTCCCCACCCTTTCCCCAATTTCCACCCCACATCACCAAGGTGAAACAAGCTCCCCTCGGTCTGGAGGAGACGGGAAAGGGACACGAACGCCCCGGGAGGAGAACTGGGACTGTCTGACTTACTGGGAATGCCCGAGACGAGCTTCAGGGGCCTGAGGACGCGCACGGCGCGCAGGGTGCGCAGGTCCACGTGCGTGTTGAAGTGCGTCCCGGCCGTGGCGAGGATGCTGCGGGCAGACACGGAGAGAGCGGGGTTAGGGCCCCATGGAGCATCCCCCACCCAGGGAACGAGGTCCCACGGGCAGGACCCGGTGTGGGTGCAGGGATCCAGCGCCTCCCAAAGCCCGCGTGCCACCAAAGCCCCCTTGGATGCTGCAACAGGAGCTCACGGGCTGCTGCGGCCAGCCAAAGCTCCCCAACCCTGGGAACCCCCGGAGATTCCCCCCACCATAGATAAATACATTTAAAAATATACGGCAATGAAGGTTTGATGACCTTGGAAGGCACAGGAAAGGCTCCAGAGGTGTTTTTTTAAACACAGAAATTTCCCAATCTCTAGAAAACAAACTGGGGCAGAAGGGGGCCAGCGCGCGCCGGGGCCAGCAGTGGAAATACCCGAGGTGCTGGCAGCGCAGGAGGAATCGGGGGGCTTGGTGACACCGACAGCACAAGACGGTGTCACCGGAGCTCGTGGCCACCCGTCCCACCCGGGCTGGGTGAGGAAGAGGAGGAGGAGAAGGCACCAGGAGCAGGGGGAGGAGAGGAGGGGACGGGGAGGAGAGCAGGACAGAGGGCGGCAGCCACCTCGGGGCTGCTTGCAGCAATCCAAAAACCCAGGGAAATTGGGTCATTGTTCCACTAATCCACCTAATTACAGGCCAGAGCGGCTCTCTGGCGCGCTGAGCAATTAGCGCTCGCTCCCTGCCCCGCTCCCCGAGGCACGCAGGGCCCAGCGCCCCTCGGGAAGGCGGCTCGGTTTCCTGGCACCAGACCCTCCCAGCAGCACAGCAGGCTCTTACAGCCCGTTTCCGTGCCCTCCTCCCCATTTTACCAGGCCGGTTTTGTTTGCAGAAGGGCGGCACAGCCTGCCCCAGCCTCACCCCGACACCACACAGGGTCCAATCCCAAGGGACCCGTGGGCTCGCAGCCGTGGTGGCACCTTCTGGACAAGCCCCAGCCCCTGCTAAATGCTGACACCAGGCAGCTGGGAGAGAGGAGAGGGGCTTCATCAAGCCAGGAGCACCCAGAAGCTCGGGAGAGCTGCTTTGTTAAATCGTCTGTGAGACCAAAATCAATAATCAATACAGCACAGCCACTCGGCAGCGCACAGGAGGGAGAGGAGCGCGGCTGCTTTCATGTCTTTGGAGCCACCTGCGGTGACAGCAGGACAATCCAGCACTCCCCAACCACCAGTGGAAGCACACCCTGTGCCAAACGGCCCCCAGGACCTGCAGCTTTTGCTCCTCGTGTCCCTGCGTCCCACAGGGATGAGGAAATGCAGTTGCACCGAGCTGGTCCTACAGAGCCAGGGGGAGCGATGGAGATGGAGTGATGGAGCGGAGCCATCCCAACCTCACCAGCATCTCCCCAGCTTCCAGTACCGGCCGGACACCCCACGAGCTCGGACCAGCCCTGGCTGCAAAGTCCTCTGCTAACCCAGATTGCTTTGAAGGGCTCGGGAGCCTGCGCGAGGAGCCTCCAGGCAAGGTTCATGCGATTCCAGGGCAGCCCTCCGCCGCGCCCTAAATTCGCTGCTAAGAATGGGACTCCTCTGTGGCAAGGTGACGTGCTCCTTGTCCTTGCGGGGGGACAGGGCACATCACGAGCTCTGCCACCGGGGGGGTCGGACAGATCCCCGAAGCGAGGTGGTGGCACTGGAGATGTTTCCCCCAGCCAACAGCCTAAAGATGCCCCCACGCATCCTTCCCATGAAGGAGGGCGCGCCGCTGGAGCTGCTGCTGGCCAGCCCAGAGTCCCAGAGCACCCACAGGGCCCTGAGCAGGGGCTCAGCTGCCCAGGATTCATTTTAGACCAACCGAGGTGGCTGGAAAAAAACAAGCAGGCTTTCAGGCACGCAAGCCTGGCTTCTGTCTGCTTTTTCCAAGCCCTTTGGTTGCCCTAATAAAACACATCGCGTCTCCCCACGGCCAGGCTTCTGTACGCACAGACATCTCCGCTCGTAGGATGCTCCAAACACCCTCCTGCTCTGGACACGGGCGTTTCTGGACATGGGCAGCTGTTAATTGCTCGTTAACCCTCCCAGGTGTGCTTTTTTGGCACAGCGTGACCCACATCGCGCCGCGCGACCCACTTCTGCTGCGGGAAGGCGCGAGCCGGTTTCAGCGCCACGCGCATCGCTCGGGGAAAGACCTGGTTCTGAAACCACCCGGGGAAGGTCCAGCCTCTCCTCCTCCCCCCTTTAAATCTGCTCCAGGGGCGTCTTTAAAAGCTTCGTCAACTAAAACGAACCGAAATGAAATTGGAAACGAGCTTCAGCAGCCGAAATGTGAAAAACGAGGGAGAAAAATCACTCCAGCACCTAGCCCGCTGGCGAGCATCAGCCCCAGGGCCGGGCAGCAGCGTCCCCTCGGCACGTGCCCACGGATTTTGGCACGTCGTTTTTGGTGTTTTGTGGCTTTCTGCAGAGAGGGGACGGCTCCGTGCCGATACGAGGAGGCAGCTCTGGTATCTGCAGAACAATTTCAACCCTCTCAAACGCTTTACAATATCCACGTCTGAGGTACTAATAATTATTCTTTATTTTTAGGCAAGGACCCAAACTAAAATTACATCTCGCCATCCAAGTTATCTGAAAAAGCTGCCAGATTGGGCTATAAAAATCCCAGTGATCTCATGCTTTTCATCATATGTACCGGAGGAAAAAAAAAAAAAAAAAAAAAAAGAGAAAAAAAAAGGGAAAAAAAGTGAAGGCGTTTTTATAGGTCACCCAGGCAAAGGGGCGAGCTCTACTTCTTCGGAGGGAAGGGGGAAGAGAGATTCAGGTGGAGAAAGGAGCAGAGAGGATCCAGTGGAAGGATGCAAATAAGAGAGGAGGCAGGATGGGAAAGATACGCTAATCCGCAGAGTACCATCGAATAGTGAGCAATCAGCAGCAGACAAACACATGCTTAGGAGAAAATAAATAAATAAATAATAAAAAATTATAACCGGACGGAGCCGGGACGCGCTCCTTTTCTTTACGTGCAGCCCCTGGAGCGCGCGGCGAGCTCCGAGGGCACCTTGGGGCTGGAGCCCTTGTCCCAGGAGGGGAGGGAAAAGAAAAACCAAACAAAAAAATCACATCCCAAGTTCCCAACAGGCAGCTCTGTCCTTAGGGACCCTGCCGATGCGTATCCCAAAGCTGTTTTCCCAAGCAAACGCTGACCCCCAAAGCAGACGGCTCCGTCTCCCCCTCGCCAAACCGAGCACCCCCCGGCGATGCCCACCCGGGCCCTGCACGGGGCTGGAGGTGCCAGCGAGCTGCCAGAGCCATCCCGGCTCCGAATCTGGGCCAGGCAGGGTGCTGGCTGGCACACAAATTAATATTTATAATTAAGTGGAAAGGCCCCTCAAGGCCTGAACCGCCACCTGACTCCGTGAGGGAGACTAGCGCGTAATTAATAGACTGGTCAAACGGCTCATGGAGAAGAAGCCACCTGGTGAATTTACCCCATTCTTCCCCTTTTTGGCCACTGGATCACCCCCTTCTCTGCAGATACCAGCACCAGTTACGCAGACCAACAGGCCCCAGCAGCCCTGCAAACAACGACCCCGTTCGCCCCGATATTCCCAAAAAGTGATGGATGCACCGCGGGGACACGAGCCAGCCCCACACCCTGCCCACAGCATGGTTTGGAGTGACCTGAAAGACATTATTTTTTTTTCTCCTTGTTCTTTCTAGGTTTTGGGGCTGCAACACGAGTGGGTTGTGGGGCTGCAAAGCCGCTGGTCCTGATGGCACAGTGGCTCCTGGGTGGGGAAGGATGGGGTGAAGGTGTGTGAGTGGCACATGGGATGGATCCTGAACCCGGGGAACGCAGCAGCACGGCTCCCTCTCCCCAAGCATTAGGAGCCCAGATCCTTTAGGGTTTAGAAATCAGGGTCTTTCTCCAGGAGGATGCTTCTGCACCTCCCGTGATCAGGGCTGCAGCATCCCCTCTGGTATGGGGACACGGCCACATGGTCACCGAGCCAAGTCGTGGAAAATGAATAAAACTGCAACAAAACGGCGCTTTGCTCCTGGAAACCCTGAGCTGAAAATGGTGAGAGCAGAGCATCGGGGCGAGCAGCTCTGGCTCCTAAACTGGCCGTGCAGGAAGATGGGGGGATTTTTGTGCCCCCCAACCCCAGCCCTCGGCTCTGCCTGCCCAGGGGCAGCCCCGAGCCCCCCAGCCCTAACGCGCCCCATGCGCCTGGACGCTCCCCATCCCTGCCCTTTGTGCGAGGTGCCGGTGGCAGGCACGTCCCGTTGCCATGGCATATGGCACATGAATCATTCACAAAGCTCGGGAATTAATTATTCATCCCAACGAAAGACCAAACACTTTTACTAATTGTCCTGGAAGGGAAGAGCAGGGGAGAGGGGTGAGAGGTGGGGGAGACACCATGGTGGAGCCTGGCTCCATCCGTGGAAAAAAAAAAAAAAAAAAAAAAAAAAAAGGGATAACCGAGGTGGCCATCCCAAAATCCCGTGCCCATTTGCTGCTGCTGATGAGCCCCAAGCCGACTTGCCCTAATCTTCATCGGGGCTGGGGCAGGCAGGCTTTGTCTGATGGCACACACTGCGGCCACCCTGCCGCCCCTTGGCCGTGCTCCACACCACAAAACACACGCGTGGAAACCTCCGTGCCCAAGGGGGTGGCAAAAGGCACCCAGCTCTTCCTTCTATCAACCTGGGCATTTATCCCCCCTGCATTCAGCAGGGATAACCGCCAGGACACCGGGGCTGGCACAGCGCAAAGACGAGCTTCCCCAAACCTCCGCGATACAAAGGGAGGCGCAGGAAGGGAAGAGCACGTGCTGGAAAGCAGAGCGACCCCCCGACAAGTAGTACCAGCAGTCAGAATGAAAAGAAAACCTTTTGTGCCAGCATCTGGCCTTCGCACAACTCCACAAGGTCCTTTTGATTTCCGTTTTCCTTTTTCCCTGTCGCTGGAAGTGTTCCCCCACCCCTTCATCTCGCACGTGGCGCCTTATTGTATTGCTGCTGCGACCAGAAGAGCCAGCACACAGGGCGAAGCACACGCCTGCCTGGGAGCTTTCAGAGCCAGGTTAACCCTTCTTTTCCATGAGCTCTTTCCCATCCAGCGCAGGACAAGGCGGGCTGTTTTGGGTCGGGGTTTTCCATTCATTACACCACTTCCAGACCCAGCCCTTGCGCAGGGAGCTGACGCTCCCATCGCCGATGCTCCATTAACCTCCAACCTCTCCCTCTTAGGAACCACTGGTTAAGAAGTGACCACGATCCACCAGCCCTTTCTGACCATTTCTGAGCAGTTTTCCCCCTTTTTGGTCCAGGAAATGCTGCACCGAGCAGGTCCCAAGCTCAGCTTGGGTGCCCAGCCAGGCTTGGCTCATGCAGGGCGAGCATCCCCATCCCCATCCCGGTTCTGCCCCAAAACCCGTGAAGGCAGCTCACTGCACATTTTCTGAGAAAAGTATTTTTGGCCGGGGGAGAACAGGCTGTTTTTCAGGCAGCGATGATGATTTGGAAAGCAGAGGTTATAAACGGAGCAGGTTTATAAGCGTGCCTATTAGTTCCCCGGTGGAAGCTTTAGCATTAGGGAGTTTTGGGTGGGCGTTGATTTCCACCGAGATGAAAAACCTGGGTTTATTGACATAAGAAGCAAACACCGGTTGAACCCGAGGTGCCATCCATCCCTGCGCAGGGTCCCAGGAGGCTGCTCATTTTGCAGCCCCTCGCTGGGGTAATTTGTGCCCCCATGGGAACCTCAGTGAGGTGCCTGGGTGGAGATGCCAGCAGCATGGAGCACCTCTCCGACCAGACACGTGGCGAAATAAACTCAGCCAGGGAGTGTCCCCCGTGGAGGGACAGGACAAGGGCCAGCAAACGTGATGCTGGGTCCACCAGGATGGATCCTGCTCCTGTGGATGTCCCCCCTGTTCCCTCCCCTAGCCCTCTGTCCAGAGGACACACGAACCAAATTTGGGGCCACGACCACCATCTCCAGACCCCGCACAGAGATCCCATTTGCCATCCACCCAAGGCAGTGCATACATCCCCCACGGGCTGCCTGCAGGCCGCCGGCCAGCCCAGCAGCACTTCCTGGAGAAATTCACCCCAAATTTGGGGGAGCTGACGCATGCACAAGTCCCTGGTGCGGGGAGGCGCCGCCGCCACTTCTACTCGCGCCTCTCCAAGCGCAAGCAACACAGGGGGGAGAGATTTTTCCATCTGCTGAGGCACAAATTGGGATGCCAGGAGGGGAAGGAGCAGCCCCTCTGTGCCTCATAAGCGTGCCGGGGGGGGTTGGCACCTCTGGGCACACCAGCAGCCCGGCACGGGTGATCGGTTCCCTGGCACGGGGCCCGGCGCAGGAGGGAGCTGGCGGGTGAGTAATTGCTGAGCGCTGACTCAGCACTGGCTCGGCCACAGCCAGCCCGTCCCGACCCGCAGGAGAGGTCCCCGTCGGCCCCATCCCCACCCCCAAACACAGCGTTTCCCCTTGGCTGCGAGCCCCAAAGGATGCCCAGCTGGGCCAGCCTGCAGCCCGCGGGCATTCCCCGTCACCGCTTTGCTGCTTCAGGTGGATGCAGCCCTGCGCCGTGGCTCGTCCCCCGCTCCCTGCATCACCCCGCTGGCCCCAGAGGTGCCACCACAAGGGCCTGGCCCAGCTCCTTGCCCGTGGGTACACCAGGATTTTCCTCCCGACCCACACCTCTCCACCCTGGGCACGCAGCGCCCATCGCCGTGTCCCACGGCACCACCACGCTCGGTGTCCCCTCCAAACCCCTCCTGTCACATCCCACGCGGTGACACCACGCAGGAGCAGGCTGCAGGCCAGGAGACAGGGCTGTGCAGCTCGGCAGAACCCCGGGTACAACGCCTGGTGCCGTGCCTCAGTTTCCCTCCATCACCCCAAGGCGATTCTGCTCGTGCCCCTTGCCACCGCCAGCGAGCAGAAGCCCGCCCGCAGCCGCCCGCTCCTTTCTGTGCCACCAGCACAGCTCGTCACGGCCCAAGCAGGGCTTGAATCTGGGCCACGTCCCCAGCAGGTGACACGAGCAGTGACACAACCAGCACCCGCCACGCTCTGCCACCCCCAGCACTGCTGCCAGGAGCCAGCATCACCCCGTGCCCTGGAGCTCCTGGCACCACCAGGACGCGCCCCCTGCCCGGCCACAGCCGTGTCCCCGCGCCGCCCGACTCACCCGCTGAGGACCACGATGAAGTCCATCACGTTCCAGCCGTTGCGCAGGTAGGAGCCCTTGTGGAACACGAAGCCCAGAGCCACGATCTTAATCCCAGCCTCAAAGCAGAAAATCCCGATGAAGTACGGCTCCGTCTTCTCCTGCCGGAGGGGAACGGGGGGACACGGTGAGGGGTACGGGGACACGGGGCAAAGAGCTCCGGACATTTCACGTGGGGTGGCTTCACCTCGCATCGTGCCCAGCTCCTGCCCCGTCCCACCTTCCCCAGTCCCATCCCACCTTCCCCAGTCCCGTCCCACCTCCCCAGTCCCATCCTTCCCCCCGGGAGCTCTCCCAGCCCTTCCTCAGCCAGCACCAACCTTGGAAACCCAAAGTTTGGAAACCCAAAGCGGGGGCTGTGACCCACTCAAGCTGCTCATTCCCCACCCCACTTTTTAGGATTTTTAAACCTTCCCGGACCCTCTCCATGGAGGAGGAGGCTGGCGGGGTGCCCTCCTGCCCCACCACCCCAAAGAAACAGCCAAAATCATCAGGGGGTGCCCTCGGCTGGCACTGACCAGTCTCCGTGACATGGGCGTCTTGTCGTCCTCGGGGAGGTGCTGCTCCAGGGCCAGCACGATGCAGTTGGCGATGATGGTGGCCAGGATCATGTACTCAAAGGGCGTGGAGGGGAGTCAAGGAGCAGAGCAGAGGTGGATGGAGTCCCTACCACCCTTTTATCCCCAAAAAGCATGCACAGAGCCCGGCTTTCACCTCCAGGCAGGACATTTACCACCAACAACCACCCTTTGGAGAGACCACGAGTGCCTCATCAGCAGGATGTGCTTAGACCCTTGCCAGCATCCCAAATCCCAGGCTTATGGCAGGTCACGGCACAGCAGCGGTGACCACCGAGCACCAAAACCCTCTCACACCTTGCCAAAACCCCACAGCCACGTGGGCTCCGTCACCGGTGCCAGCGGGACGGGCACCGGAGCAGGACGGCTGCCAGGAGGGGCAGCCAACCAAAGCTTGCAGGAGCTGGGATTTATTTAGGGAGAGGAGCCAGAACAGATTCAGCCAAGGCGTTTAAAAGGCCACTCAGGGAAATTAATAGTTGGGGAGGCAAAAACAAACCGGGAGAGACCTCTGCGGTGCACGGGTCCCGTGCAGAGGGTGCGGATGCGCACAGTGAGCACCTCCCCGTGCTCGGCCAGCTCAGACCCAAGTTCTCCCAACATGGGTCAGCCGGGGCTGTGGCACCATGCCCTACAACTCCTGATGTGCTGGGTTTGGGGAGCCTGAGGGGGAAAAAAAGCCTCCCCTAGGACCAGCAGGAACAGCTGCCCAAAGCAGGGGGAAAATAGCCGCACACCACCAAGCGTCCTCCCAGCTCGGGGCCGGACAGCGCTCGGTCACATCATTTCCTCTCTCATTAAGCATTAATGCCCTGACCTTCCAGCCACCCAAACCACAGAGCACCTCCCTCCCAGCCCAGCAATGAAAGCCCATCTCCCTCCAGCCTTCTCCTCCTCCTTCGTCTGGCTTCTCCGGGAGGATCATTAGGGAGCCGATAAAAATAGGTTCCTTTATTGATTTATCTCCTTTATCCACGCTCTCGCCCCTGAATAGTTGACTCGTTTCCTTAGCAACTCTGCTAATCCCCCTGCACACCTGCAGCCTGGTGCGCTCGGGGTGGGGAAGGTGCCCCAAGGCCACGCTGTCCCCAGCCCGTGTCCCCAACCCATGTCCCCACCGGTGGTGGCGATGCCGTGGTGGCGATGCCGAGCTCACCCTGCCGTCCCCACCCAGCAGATATCGCTCACGTGGAGACCGTGCCCAGCTCCCAGCTGGGATTTGTGACGCTGGTGGCACGTTGGTGAGACCTCACCGAGCGGCTGGGTGGGATGTGAATCCCTCCCCGGGTCCGGGCGAGGTTTGGGAGCTGCAGGGAGCTCCCCTCACCTCCTCTGCAAGCAGGAGCAGCTCCGTGCTCATGCTTTTCCCCACTTTCGAGGCCAGTAGGGGTGGAAGGAGCAGAGAGAAGCCTCCTGGGCATCTCCAAGGACCCAACCTCTAAAGGGCAAGAGCGATTTCACCCCTCCAGCATCCCCCAACCCATCTCTTATAAACCGAAGCCTCCATTCCCCAAAGATCCCTACATTTCCCCCAGGACCTGCTCCCCTGCAGGGCTTTCCCTGCTCCCCAGCTGTGACCACGATGGAGCTTCAGCTCCTACACCATCAGGGGGCTTCACCCCGCTTGCACCAAGCTGCGACCCCGCCGCTACCGGGAGCCGTCCCCACCGGGCGCCTTTTGGGTGCCCCCATCCCCACACCGTGCTTCTGAGCAACCCAAAATCCACCTCTGCCTGTCGGACACAGAGGCCTGGTCCCCACCCAGGACCCTCCTGAAGGCTGAGCCCAGCAGGATGCGGCCGGGCAGGAGGTGCCCGCAGCGACGTGGGCGCAGGCGCCTGCCTGCCACGTGCAGCCAGCTCCGGGGAGAAGCCTTCTCCTCAGAACTGGAAACCAAAACCTTTTTCTTTTTTTTTTTTTTTCACCCCACTCCTTTTTTTTTTTTTTTTAAACAAAAAAGAACCGCATCATGTGATTTTCCTGCCTTAACATCAGTTTTTTAACTTTGGTCGCCGCAGCAACGGGATGCAACTTGGCGTCGCCATGACAACAGCTGCCTCTGCCCGAATTCGCCATCTGACGGGCGGCCGCGCTCCAGCCCCGGCTGGCAGAGACGGCCCTGCCCTGCACCCACCCGCCCCTCCCCGAAAGACCACGCTTCAAAATCCCTGACGGGTGAAGGAAGGACCCCAAAAAAAGGGCCCAGGAGGAGAGGAGATGCTCCTGGGTAGCGCCAGGAGGTGCCCAAGGGCGGCACGGCGCGGTGGAGCTCTTCCCGCAGGGAAATGGTGGCGAAGGGGAGGTGATGGGGACAAAGAGGCCACCGCTGTCCCCAAGGGACGGTACCCAAGAGGCTGATGTGGGGGTGCCCGCTCACCCCAAATCGCTGCCGTGTGGCACGCGCATCCCTCGCGGTGGCCACCAAGAGCGGCCTTGGGCACCGGGAGGTCGCCGCAGGCGCAGAGGAAGGTGATGAGGAAGGCTCGCCAAGGGGCTGGGGACGGAGCCAGAGATGGCACCCCCTGTCATCTGGCCCTCCTGGGGAGGGAGAGGGATCTCGTCCAGGTCAAATGCGATTAGGCGGATGAAGGACGGAGCAGGGAGAGGAGCTGCAGCCCATCTCGTGCGCTAACTGAATTGCGGCTCTCCAGGCAGGCAAACAAATGAAATCAGGGCTGAGGGCCTGGCCGGCAGAGCGGGGCTTTGTTTCGGGAGGAGAGGAGAAGCGAGGAGGAGATGTTCCCACAGCCGAAGCAGCGGCTGCCTTGCGTTTTGAGCCTGAGCAGAGAAAAGAGCAGCTCCGGCAGAGGTAACAAGCTGGGCTTTCGGCAAAGACTCGCTCTCCCCACGGAGCTGAATCCCGGCCCCGGTTCATCGTATTTCTCCTCCTTCCCCTCCATGCATCATCCCTATTTACACCGGGAAGCCAAACTGCAGAGGCTGCTGGTTATAATTATACAGTTACCCAGCAGATACCCAGGCCTGAATCACCGGTTATTTTTAGCCCTATTACCTAGTCAACTGGAGCTGGATGAAGAAGAGCCTCCACTCCTCCCCTCGCTCCATCCCGGCCCTGGGTGCCGCGGGCCAGATGCGCACAAATCCCCCTGGCCCTGCCAAAAGGCTTCTGAGAAGGAGAGCAGCTCGCAGGGCCACCGGTACCGACACCAGCTTCCACCCACGGAGACCTTGCCATGAGGATGGCGTGGCCCAAATCCCTGAGCTTTTGGGCACGGGGCATTTTGGCAACGCCCGGCGTTTTGGGCAGCGTGCCCTAGCGCAAAGTGAGGTGGCACCGAGGTCCTCTCCACCGGGCACAACCACGGAGCCTCAGGAGAGGCTTCTGCCTTTCCCAGCAGAAATGAGCACCTTCTGAAGGCCCCCTTTTCCCCAATATTTCACGCAACGGGTACAAAGCCTTCACCAAAAAGCCCTGCCCTCGGGAGCTCGAAGGGAAGAGGCGCCGTGCCGCGCTGCAAGCCCCAGGGTGGGCAGCTCAGAGCGGGTTGGCAGCCACGCAGGGAACGGCCACGGGGGCTCAGCTCCACGCACCCACCCAGGGACATGTCACTTCTTTTAGGGGAAAAAAAAAATAAAAATAAAGAGCCAATCTCCCTCCTGCCACGCAAATGCCACGGAAGGATAACGCCGAGGGGTTTTTTCAGCGTGGCGGCCGAGCGCCAGGCTCCGGGAGAGCGCAGCAGGCGAGCTGTGGTGCCACACCACGCCAGCACGGGACCCCGGCCCGCAGCAGCGCCTGGAAGCAAAGCTGAGCAGCGAGGGCCCTCCCACACCGCGCTGGAAAAGCACATGAATAATTTGGCATATTCTGGAAAACAAGCCCCGCCGGCCCGGCGAACGCCCTGCAGTGCTCTGAGCGGAGCTGCCGCCTGGCTGAGCCTGCCTACCCACGCCGCTGCACCGCCGCTCCCAGGGCACCATTTGGGGATGGCGCAGGGGGTCTTGGCGAAGCTGCCCCCCACCCCGGGGTGCCCCTGCACCCCCAGAGCACAGCCAGCCCCCCGAGCATCCTCTGCAGCTGCCTGGGCAGGACTCGGAGGCGGCGATGCAGCAGCACGCCGCGGGGGTCATCTCCTCAGCAATGCTTAGCGCCGGGGGTGGCACGTCCCGCGGCACCGGGGGTGTCCCCGAGGCACCTGTTGCACCAAATAACGCCGGTTCTGCTCGGTGCCAGGGCAGGTGCCTCCATCCCGCGCCCGGCGGAGGAGCCGGCAAGTTAACCAACAAGTTGCAGGGAGAGCCAGCGCCAGCAAGAGCCGCACGTAATCACCACTGCAGAAAACGCTACGGGGAGGGTCCTCCGGGAAAAAAGACGTGGCCACGGGGAAGTTTGCGGGCTTGTGTCCTCGGCGAGGAGGGGACCCGGGAGGCAGGGGGGTGCCGAGCACAGGTTGGATGGAGAGGAGCACGCTGCGGTGCTGGGCACCAGCCACGGTGCCCGGGGGCACCCATAGGGAGGGCGGGAGGGAAAAAAAGCACATGGGGGTATTGGAAGGATGGGGGAGCTGTGGGGACCCGCGTCCTCCACCCATTGTGGATTCCTGGGGTGAACCACGGTCCCCAGAGCAGATTCCAGAGGCCGTGGGGAGCAGCAGGGGGCAGGCAGAGGGGCTGGCATCTTTCTGTGCCCCAGGGAGGGGGCAGCTGGTTCCCAGGGGAGCGGGATGGAGGCTGTGGGGTGAGGATGGCCGTGCCCCCACCAGGGGTGAGCAGGCACACGCAGGTGACCACAGGGGGACAGGGAAGCCGCCACCCTGCAGGATTGGGGGCTCGCAGGGGCCCGTCCCCAGCAGGATGGGTGGCTCTGGGTGGGGTGGCAAAAACTCCAGCGAGACATCGAGGCGCAGAGGAGAGGCTGTGACCCCCTGGCCACGCACACCCGTGCCCGAGAAAAAGGTACCCCAAAACACGCAGCGCCAAAACCACATCAGAGAGCCCCTCGCCAGCACGGGGGGGCTTCCGAGTTCAAGCCCCAAGAGGGGCTGGGGTCACCTGGAGGGGGAGAAGGGGGAAGGAGCCCACCCCAGCACACGCCGAGCAGAGCAAGGGAGGGGAAGCAGCAGCAGCAGGGCGAGGAGAGCATCCCCGGGGACGGGGTGCCAGGGCACCCCTCTCCGCGCGCCGAAGGAGAGCAGAAGGCAGGCGCTTACCTGCCAGCCAGTGCCACTCGCACGTGTCCTGGGAGGCCACCGAGGCAAATCCGGGCACGGGGAGCAAGGGGGGGGGCTCGCCGGGGGGGGTTGCAGAAAGGATATGGCCAGTCGATGAGCTTCTTGGCGTATTTCCTGACTATGTTCTCTTCCCCAAAGAGGAACAAGGATCTGTTGACGGTGAAGCAGTTCTGCCGGACGGGGATGGGGTTGTACAGAGCCATAGTCCGGGCTCGCTGCGCTTTGGTTTGCTTGAAGGCTCCCGGGGTCCCTCCCGCAGGGGCAGGAGCTCCTTGCCGGCTCCGGTTCTGCTCCGAGCCCCCATCTCCAGAGCCAAGCCTGCCGGCCACCGCCTCCCCGAAGCGAGCCATCCTGGAAGAAAACGCACAGGTGAGCCGAAGCCGCACGGCCGAGGCAGCGGGGGAGAAGAGGGAGGGAGGAGGTGGAGGGGTGGGGGGGCTGCGGGGCCCCCTCCTCCTCCTCCTCCTCCTCCTCCTCTCCGGGTGATGCTCAGCTCCGGCGCTCCTCCAGCCCTCCCAGGGAGCCGAGACCCGCGTGGGGAGGGAGAGGCAGCGCCGGGCTCGGCACAGCGGGACCCCAAACTGGGGGGGGGACACAGCGGGGAGCCCCCGGGGCACGGCGGAGGCTGCGGCGCCCCGTCCCTAAGCAGCCCCCGCGCCTCCAGCCGTGATGCCAGGGGTTAAAAGCAGCCTCATCCCTCCCAGCACCCGAAGCAGCCCCTTCCCTGCCCCTCCTGGCGAGCCCTGCACCCCGCAGCCCTCCATCCAGCACAGCACCCGGCACAGCAGCGCAGGGGAGGCCGGGGGAACAGGTTGCAGCGCGGTCCAGCCTAGTTGGAGCCTCGCAGCCAACTTCCCCCCGCCGGCTCCATCTTCGGCAGCCCCCGGGAGCCCCCCGGCTGGCCCAGCTCGCCGGGCCTCGCAGCGGGGCCCGCAGCCGCCGCAGGGATGCCGGAGCCTTGGGCTGCCAGGGCACGAGCACGCAGGCACCCGCGGCTTCCCAGCAGGAGCCGGCCACCAAATCGAAGGCTCGCTCGCCGCGCCTCTGCAGCTCGGGGCTGGCTTTGCTTTAATGAAGTCGGCTGCAACACACGCACACGCACACACACACACACACCCCGCACGCACACACGCAGGCGGGCGCGCACAACACGCGTGCACGCACACCCGGCTCGCTCGCTCGCTCCATCCAGTGCATTCTTTTGGCAAGCACGGGAGCCGCTGCGAAAAGGGAAGGCAGCGGGCGAGGGGAGGGTCTGAAGGGAACAAAGGCTCCGGCGGAGCCCCCCCTGCAACAAGCGCTCGCCAGCTGCAGAGGGGTTTCCAGCGCCCGGGTGAGCGGCTGCTGGTGGAGACGGGGTTTGGGGGGTCTCTGCTTTCCCCCCTCTCTGCTTGCAGGTCGGGGTGGCGAGGGGCTTGCTCCATCTCAGCCTGCACTGAGCTCCTCTCCAGGCACATGCACGGCCCCCCGGGCCGCCCTGGTGCCCAGGGAGAGCCCTCCTCTAGATTAGGCTCCTTCACCCCCCTCCCCAAATACACCCCGTGCTGTTTTATTTATTTTTTTGTACCCACGGGGGAGGCGTACAGGGGCTGTGGCTGCCCCCCCCCACCCCATCCTGCTGGGGCACGCAGCTACCGCAGTGGGGGACCCCACATCCACCCCACCCCAGGGCTCCCTCCTCACCACTCACACCTGCACATCCCCCAAGCGATGCTCACAGCATCACCCCTCTCTCTCCCCCCCCAAAAAATAAAATGAAATAAAAGCAGCCCTTAATCAGGCAATCAGCCCTCATCAGCCCAGCTGGGCGAGGGCTGCACCCACCACGCAGCCCGACAGCACCTCGCCGCGGACATCCCCACCTCCAGGCACCACCCTGGGGTTGTCTTTTTGGTCCAAAAGAGGAGCATTTAGCTAAAAGGCCATGGGATTGCTGCGCCAGCACTCAGACAGAGCCCCCCGAGCCCACCAGCTCTCCAAAACACCCACCTGCCATGCCTTGCACCCACACGAGCAGTGAGGGTGCTGCCGGAGGTCTGGTGAGGCCCCCCCAAGCTTTGCCACCACAAAATCACAGCAAGGAGAGGAGCACCCAGGGCAGCCCAAAAGGCAGGGGTTTCACCCTGCTGCTGCTGGGGGAGGTGCTGCCCCCACCAACTCCTTACAGCCCCACTGATCCACCCCAAAACGCTGCCCTAACCAAACCGGGTACGATTTGGGGAGCGCTCCAGGGAGCGTTCCCTCTGCTGCCTCCCCACCACCGGTGTGCCATTAGGATCGTGCCACCTCTCAGCCCTTTAAGACGCCGTTAATTAAGCCCAGGGCTGTGCTGATTGCCCCGAGCAGATCCTCAGCCCTGCAGATCCCCCACCTGGGCTGACCTCCACATCCCCAAACCTTCTCCTGCGCCACCAGGGCAGGTACCCAGAGGCTGAGGATAGAAAAGCTTGGACCCTGCACCCCTTCCTGGCTCAGAGGTGCCGTGACAGCCTCGCTGCTTCTCCTCTGCCCCCCCGTGAGCTCAGGCACCCCCTTACCTGGGCACCTCTGCCCCGGGCTGGGTTTGCTCTGCTCCCTGCTCTGCGCTGGCTGCTGCAGGATGACCCCGCTGGGAGCCTCTCTCCCTCTCCGCCGGTGCTAAAGGCTGGGATATTTATGAGCAAGCAGCTCCTTAAGCGAAGATTGAAGGCACAAAAAAAGAAGCCCTGGCTGTGCCAAGAGGCGCAGGCTCCGCTTCCCAGGATGTTTATTGCCATCCCCGGCTTGACCCTCACCCCGGCATCCGTGAGTCAGGGAGAAGCGTGCCTGATGCCTACATGATTCAACATGGCACGGAGCTTCGCAGCCAGCTCGGTGACGGTGCTTTGCACTGATTTTTATTATTTATTGTTATTATTATTATTAATAATTTTGTCAATGAAGGAAATCCAAGAAGACAGGGCACCGGGGGAGGGTGCACCCGGGAAGGAGCCTGGTTAAGACTTCCAGAGGGATGCTAACTCCCCTCCCCACGCGATGGCAAGGTGAAACCCAAGCTTTTTTCCTCGATTTTCTCCCCCAGCAGCACAGCGAGGGCTGGGGTCTCCAACCCTGCCCCTCGCAGGGGACCCCCCCCCCATCCCCGGAGCCCCCCGGTGCTCGCAGCGCGGTGATGCCCCGAGCGGTGCTGCCCTGCCCGCTCCGGCACCGCCATCTAGCGGCTGCTGGCCTCGCCCTGCAGCCCTCCTGAGAGAAAAAAAATACATAAAAAATTCAAATAAAAGCACTCCGTGCTCCCCCCGCAACCCCTCGCTCGCTCCTTGCCTTGCGGAGGGCAGCGGCACCCTTACGGCACAGCCCCCAGCTCATGGGGACCCCAGGGGACCCTGCCTGTCCCCCCCGCGTGCTGCCACCCAAAAATGGGGTAGAATTGTTAAATGCATCCCCTGCTTGCTTGGTGAACTCAAGTTCACACGTGAGACCCCTCATCTCAAGGTCAGGTCCCTCAGGCACCCAGGGCATGGCTCCGTTTCGGTGACCGCAGCTCCCGGCAGCTCTTATGGGCTGCACTTGGATTAGAAAGTGTCTTTTGGCATCACGATTCATTTTTTTTTTTTTTCCATTTTTTTAAGTAAGGCTTCAACCGTGCGGAAAGGGGGAAAAAAAAATAGGCTGAAATGAGAATCGTCTACATCGCTCTGGCCCCATTTCAAATTGGGACCGGGTAGCTCTGACTCAGAGGCGTGTTTATAACCACGCAGGGCTGGAAGTTTTTTCCAGGAACAGATTCATTACCTGCAGGGCTAGGAGGAGATGTTTCTCCTGCTCCCCACCGGCACAGCTCCCCCATGGGCAGTGGGGCCGGGATGCTGGTGCAGAAGGGCCAGGCAGGTCTGGGGGGGTGGCATCCAGGGGACCCCCACAGCCCCTCGCTGGTGCCACGGCACAGCACGCCCTGCGCTCCAACACCACCTCCTCACCTTTCCCCAAGTGTTTCCCTAAGAGGATCCATCCCAGAGCGACTCCAGCCCCATTTTTAAAAAAAATCACCGCTCTGCAGCCAACAAGCAAAGCGCAACACGTCCCAAACCCACGGTGGGACCTTTTTTTCGGGGAGCTCTGGGCAGAGCGTGGCTGAACGCCCACACATCTCCAGCCCTTCTCCTCCTCCCCTCTCCCCGCGCCTGCGCGCACGCACAGATGCTTCCCAGTGGCTGATCTGTTGTGACATCCACCTGTACAAGCAGAAGGGGAGACGTGCTGGAGGTGTCTCCGCGAGCCAGACGAGATGTCAGAACAGAGCTCAGGCGCGTGGATGCGCTGCTCCCTGTGCTCTCCCCAGCGCAGGCCGGGCTCGGAGCGTCCCATCCATCACAGCTGCTAGTGGAAGGATGCTGCGTGCACCGGGGGAGAGCCAGCAGGTTGCGAGCTGAACGAGTTGGAAGGGACCTAAAGACAGCCAAAAAGCCCACGGTCCTGAGCGTTTATAAGCCCCAAGGTGCTTTTGGTGCTTGGTCTCACCACTCAGCAACCTCTGCTGCAGGCACCCGCCCCACCACGGGCTGCCCACAGCTTCCAAAATGCCAAATCCAACCAGCACACATCACCAAAGAGCACAGGACTCGCTGGGGGCTCAGCAGAGGCTCGCCACAGGGACCCCTGTGGGACAAAACCTCTTCCCCGTGACCGCCGTGTGCCTTGGGCCAGCTCTCGTAGCTTTAGGCTGGGAGGCTTCGCAGCTCAGCTGAAGAGCCCTGAAATAATTACCCGTTAATAAATTGCCTGGAGTGCCCCGCTGCTTTATTTAGCCTGGCAAGTCGGGCTCTAATTGGCATTCGCAGCCACGTCCCGGCTGCTCCGGGCAGGCACGCAGCAATCCCAGCACCCAAACAGCTCCCTGCCTGCCTCCCGTCTGTACCAGCGAGTTCCCATCCCTGCTTCCAACCCCAAAACCCCTCCGTGTGGCTTCTGCCCTTGGCTAAGGAGCATCCCAGCTCAGCCACCAAGCCTTACGCGTGCACAGGACCCAGGAGACCAAGCTCAGAAGAGACGTCCCATGGCCATCTCCTTTCTCGACAGGGGAAGCTTGTTTCTGGTGCAGAGTCCTTCAGGCATTGCTCCAACTCTGTGCTACCTGAAGCAGAGGAAATCCTTCCCACCCACAGCTGAGGTTGGCAGGGACCTCTGGGGTCACCTGCACCAACAGCCCTGCGCAGGCAGGGACCCCCAGAGCAGGACACCTGGGGGGCTTTTGGAGGTCTACAAGGAGACTCCCCAGGTTCTTTGGGCAGCCTATGCCCTGTCACCCCCCTGGCACCCTTCCTCCACCAGCATCCTCTTGGCCCCCTTTACATCTGCCAAAGCCAACAGACTTTCTCCTCAGATCTCCCCTCTGCCCCCAAAAGGCAGGCGAGCTCTGGGCTCTCCATGCCCAAGGAACATCCTCTTATCCCATCCTCCCCAACGGCTCAAGTCAAACAACCGCAGTGACCTCCTGAAAGTCCCCCCAGCAATAAATGAAAGCCAGACCAGAAAACCAGCAGAACCAACCCCGACACAACGAAGCCAAGCTCACAGGCTCCGCTTTCTCAGGAGCGACCGTGCTCGCCTGCTAGCAAACGGGGTGGCTGCGGTGAAATTACGCTGTCAGGACCAGAGCCAGGAGAAGATGGAGCTGTGGAAATTCTCCGGCAAGCCTGAACTGGCGCTGAGCAGCTGATGCTCCAGGCAGCCACACGAGCACCAGCCCTGGCTTCCAGCCAGGGGAAGGAGATGCTGCTCGCACCTTCCCAAACCTGCGAAAGAGAAGGGGCCAGGGAGCAAAAACCTCTCTCCGAAAGCTCCTCGGCGCTGGGAGGTGCGAGAAGCGCCCCCCTCCCCGTGGCACCAGGTGGGCACCGAGCTGCAGCTCCTCTGTGAAAGCAAACGCCCTCGCTGAGCACACCTCATCGCCTTCCTGAGGTTCCTCCGCGGGGAAAAAGCCTACTGAAAACAAAATACAAATATTTAGGCTCGTTTCCACCCGAGCAAACGCGTAGAGGGGACAGCTGCGGTGTTAGCTGGTGCGGTATCATCTCACGAGGTGCAGTGGGGAAAAAAATCCAGCCCCTGGGAAATTCCTTGGGGTGTGGAGGCTCAGGATGCTATCGTGTGCTTTACACCAATTTTGCAGAGCTTTTTCCAGCTTGGCAGCGCTGTGCCCCAAGCTGCCAGGACAGCTGGGCCCTCCAGGCAAACCCTCCTGCAGCTGGGTGGCTCCACGGCGAGGATCAGCCCTGGAGCACCCGCTTTTGGGTGCCTTTTGGGAAGGGCTGCAGCAGCCCCGCTGATCTCCAGCCCCAAATCTCCCCGTGCTGGGGACCAGCACAGCTTTCCCAGTTGAGGCTGGGCGCACACAGCCACACGGACAGTGGGGGGCTTTTGGAGACCTGCAGCCCTTCAGAGGGAGCTGAAGACGGACACAAGCCAGAAATTCCCCCATCGGTGGCGGTCAGGTGGAAGCGCAATTTCCACGGGAAAAACAGGCGAGGCTCTGCAGGGCTGCCTGCATCAGCTCCGACAGGGAATTCCTCCAGGGTGTGCCAGAAACCCAGGCTTGGAGGCGGCTCGGGAGGAAGGATGCTGCCGTTGCCAGGACACGGGCTGGAAGCGGGGTTCATTCGGGGTCAGAAACCAGCCTCAGTCTGCGCCCAGAGAGTAAAAGGGAGAGGAGAAGGGGCAGGGGGTGAGGGATGGGCACCTCTGGGAGAGAGGTGTCACTCAGCCACTGCCTGAGGCCAAAATCCCACAACGAATCCAGGCTCCCAGGCAGTGAAACAGCACAGCCGTGGCTTTTCCCTGCATCGCTGCTCTTGCGGGGTAAAACAAGTGGGGAGAGCCAACCCAAAGCATCCTAAGGGCATCCTAAAACAGGAGCATCACCGGTGAATAATTTATGGACGGATGAAGAGGGTGCTGGTCCCCAGCTCAGGGACATTCCCTGGGCAGCCCCGCTGTCCCCACAGAGCCAGCAGCAGGGATGCCCCATGCGCACCCGCACCCTCTCCATCACCGCCGCCACTTAAACCCAGATGGTGCCAGGCGCTGGGGAGCAGCAGCAGCGCACAGCAAGGGGGCCTTTTGTGTAGTGCAGCACCGAGGGAAAGAAAAAATTAAAAAAAAAAAAAAAAAGGAAAAAAAAAAAGGAAAAAAAAAAAGTCGGCTTCATTTGTAGTCTGGGATGCAGCGTGCGCACGTAGCCAGCCAGATTGCCGAGTTGTAAAGAGATGCTGAGATCTGCTAGCAGCACCGCGCGCGTTTTCACAGCTTCTGCCACGCTCCTGCTTCCCCCAGGAGCAATGCACGAACCCGGAGCTGCTCCTGGCCACGCTCCCTGCACGGATGGCAGCGAGCAGCCGGCGCCTCCTGCCCTGCTGCTCCACGCCGCAGCTCCCAGACGTGCCCCAGGGGACCTGCAGAGCCCTCGGCTGCAGCACTGGGATCGGGGAACTGTTCCCAAAAGCAGGGCACGGTTTGTGTCCCTCCCCAGCCACACAAGCCAAACTCCATAAATAAACGTGTCCCGTGGATTTACGCCGTGCACGGTGGCTCCTGACCTCTGCTGACTGAGCTCGAGGCTTTCCTTGGGGACACCATAAAGGTTCGCCTCCCACCGAGCCATGACCCCATGCACACTCGAGCAGCACATGGTGTGCCGTGCTTTCTGCTCTCTGCCTCCGTTTCCCCATGAAAATATAGGAACAAGAGCGTTGTGCCCCTCCTGTTGTTCCTTCTTATGAAGGGGAAAGCACACTGCGCTACTTCTCCACTGCCAAAAGGCAACAGTGGCAAGGTTTTGGTAGGAACACACCCCCCTCCAAGCTATTTTCCAGGTGCTGAACCTGAAGCTTGTGCCCAGCAGAGCTTTCCAAACACTAAATCTCAGCCAAAACTCATCCTTACAAACAGAAGGAGAGGTAAGGAAAATCATTTGACGCTTTTCTCCCCCACCTAGTCTGAGAGGGCCCTGGGCACCAGGGCACATACCCACGGGTGGGTCGGGGATCCCACCAGCTGCAGGGCTTCTCCAAAACCTAAGGGACCTTCCCAGCCCGGGGAACCACCCGATTAAAGAGGGACAGGTTGGGCTGGCAGCCCCCTGCATGTCCCCATGGCATTAAACAAAGAACCCAACACCAGACCTCGTGTTGGAGCCACTGCTCGACGGAGGGGCGAGGGCGCACCCCGTGCCCAAGGGCTCCGGGTCACCTCCCCACCACCCCGCGGGGCTGCAGGCAGCTAATTAGCGAGCAGCCCTTGCAGCAGCTCGCTCCTTAACGAGGCCAGCCCTCTCCTTCCTGCCTGCCCATGATTTATTCATCCGGCAGCCCCGGTGGGGTGTGGAGGATAACGAGGCAGCGGGTGCTCGCCGAGCCCATGTGTCACCTCCCTGGGCTGTCCCCAGGCTCGGACACGCCGGTGCCCAGCCAAAAATAGTGTTGGCCACAAGAGAAGGCACAGCTGGCTGGGAGCAGCCTTGATTTTATCACAAAACCTGGCAGTGGCAGAGCAGGATATTGGGCAGCCGCTCATCCCTGGCTGTTTTTTTTTTTTTGCTGAGCAGACACGGACGGGGAACACCCCTGCAATTAAACGCGGGGTCGCAGCACGTGGCTGCAGCCCGGCTCCTGCAGCAGATGCTGGGCAAGGGAGCGTGACCCCAGGCTCGGTGCTGTGAGAAACACCCAGCTCCAAGGCAAACCACGGGAGGGAGTTAATTAAAGGAAAGTAATGAGTAAAAAAGCTGCAGCAGGCGCTAGCTCTGCCCAGCACTTTGATCCTTGTCTCCCAGGCTCGTTAACATCCCCGGCTGGCTCTGAGTCAGGGGCACTCGGCCACCTCTCGGGATGAAGTGCAAGCCCTCTTGCAGCGGGGCTCAAGCCACAGCAAAAGCAGAAGGCGATGACCCCAAACTCATTCCGAGGGGAACTCCATCCCACCAGGACCCGGCACGCACAGGGGACCTGGCCTGGCCGCCTGCTGGGTGGCAGAGCCACTGCGGCACCAGGGGGAGGGGTGGATGGAGATGTCCCAGCCCAAAGCACACAGCAGGGACCTCAGCAGCCACCCAGGTCCCGTTTGGTTGAATTGCATCAGATTTCAGAGATTTAGGACATCCAAGACAACTTTCCCCAGGCTCTCCACCTAGGGAGCCCCTCACCCGCCGAGGTTCCCTCGCACCGTTCCCATCAGATGCACCCACCAAGAGACACCCCCAGCCAACAACCACCACAGGGAGCACCACGTTATCCCTCCCCATCTCTCCCACACACCCCACAAACTCCCCCAAAACCCATCCTGGACACGCTGCAGGTCGAGCACCTCCACGCTGACCGCCCCACGGTGCTGACACCGCTGCGCCCGCCGCCCCCTGCCCACCCTTTTGGCCCCGGCCCCTACTTACTCCCACTCCTTCCTCCGTGCCTGCGGCGTGCTCTGCATCTTGTGCGCCTCGTGCGCCTTGATGATGTCCCTCTGCTCGATCAGCCCGCCCCGACGGCGCTTGATGACGTCCGGGCTGACGGGGACGTAGTGCCCCAGGTCCAGGGCGCTGCCACCGTCGCCGTCGGCATCGCGGGGCTGGTAGAGGGCGTCGAAGCTGGCGGCGCGCGACACCAGCGCCTCGGCCAGGCTCTGGGGCTCCAGCAGGTTGCAGGACTGGGTGCTCTGCATCAGGCCGAGCCGGTGCTTGCGCCACGTCTCCTCCTCGGGCAGGGCCAGGACGTAGCGGGGGGGGGCGGCCAGCTCAGCCCCCCTGCCCGGGGCGCTGACGGAGCACGCGCCGAGTCCGAGCATCCTCGGGGCCGGTGCAGCTCATCACTCTGGGGGGGCACAAGAGAGGGTTTTGACTCTTTGACTCTTTATTCCCTCCCAGAGCAGCCCTACAAGTCCCGTTTCTCCTGGGGGAGAGCACGGCAGGGACCCCCAGGCTGGGCTCGGACCCCCTTCACCACCGCTTTCTGTACAATGGAAACGCTTTGGCTTGCAATGAGGAGAGGCTGGCTGCTCCCACTGAAAACCATAGCCAGAGATCCCTATAAACAGAGATCCTTCACTCCACTACTTTGTTTGCCCATGTGACTTTATTTATTTTTACTTTTTAAGTGCATTCATTAATTTCTTTTAAATTCAGTCCTGGGTACCCTCGCAATTCAGCATTTTCCCAGCCCTTCTCCTGACCACGCTTTGCTCCCTCTCACTCCTAGTCCGGCCACTCTGGTTTATCACAACCACCCTGCAGCCCCAGTTCTTTCCAGAGCATCTATTTGGGCAGGGGCTGTTCGCATTGAGCAGGGCTGCAGCAGAGCCCAGGGGCCAGGATCCATCCCCAAAAAAGACGGGACAGGGGCACAGGCCGTGGTGCCCCCCTAATCCAGGCGCACGAGAAGCTCCAGGGCCACGTTTTGTGACTTTTGGCTGCTCCCAAGGCTCGGAGGCAAGCGAAAAGATCAAGCGGAGCCATCAAACTGAAACGCCGAGGAAGTTGGAGGAAATAAATAGAAATAATTAGCTCTGCCTTCGCCTTGCAAACAGGGCTCACGCTGCCAGGAGAACAAGGCACGTTCCCTCCGGAGCGGTGACAAGCAGCGGAGGGAGGATGCCAGAACATTTTGTTAAGGCGAGGAGCTGATGAGGCTGCGCGCTAACGAGGACGCCGAGCATCTGCAGCACGGCAGCCCCTGCTCCAGCCCTCGGTCCTCCTGCTTACCCCTGAACCAAACTGGCTTTATTTTTACCCAAAACCTGAGTTAGTAGGGAAAAAAAATCGCATTTCTTCACCCAGCTTCTGCTGTTTCATCCTGACCCTGGCCCCACACAAACTCAAAACCAGTGCAAGCCAACACGCAGCCAGCTCCAAAAACACAGATGCCCACCAGGATCCAGCCAGAAATGGGTTAAAATTGGACAAAACAACCCAAAGAAACTCTCGCTGCCCCCAGCATCCCCCCAAAAAAAGCCCCGTGAAGGTGTCCTGCAGCAGGGGTGAACCAACTGCGGCCCCACCACCGAGACGGGCCCAGGGGAAAATTAGTTAATGACAGCTGATAATTAACAAAGCGAAAGGCAGCGGCGTGGGTAGGGAGATTATTAGCACTGCTCGGGGGAGCCGCGTGTCGGGCTCCGATAATCAGTTCCCTGGGAGATTTGGGGAGGGAGGAGAACCAGAAAGGAGCCGGCTCGCCCAGGGATCGGCCGCCCGGGTGCTTTTGTGCTCGGTGAACAACGGGCACTCGTGGCGGCTGGCACGGGGCTGTGCGTCTCACGGCGTGAACCAGTTAGCAGAAAACCAAGCTGAGAGCAGAATTTGGCAGAAAAAAGCAGTGAGTTGGGGGTTTTGCTCCTTGCCCCTGAAATAGGGAAGCCTTTGAGGGACACGCACCGAGCCGGTGAGCCCGAGCTGTGATGCCAACGGGGTGCCCCATCCTCGGGAGATGACCACGTGCTGCCAGCTCACTCGACCCGTTTATTGGAGGTTTCACCCCAAAATGCTCACCCAGGCCGCGGGAGCAGCAGGGCAGCTCTCCCGACACGCTTCTTCTCCCCTCGGCGGCTGATTAAAGACCACAGAGCCGCGGCCAGCTCCCAGCCGAGCTGCACGGGCACGTTCCTTTTTGGGGTTTCTCTGCCTGCCTGTTTACATTGCGGTGGCAGCAACCGAGCCTCCAGCCAAGTAACTCCCTGTTACCAGAATAACCCCGCTCGGCTCACAAGGAGCTCCGAAAGCTCTTTGCAACTCTTATCTGAGCAATCCTCCCTGAATTTAAGCAGCAAACGCTCGGTGCTGTGCTGCCCCACAGGGCTGAGCTGCCCCAGGCTGTCATTTCTGGGGGGACACAGCACCCTGGGGGCACACAGCACCCTGGGGGCACAAACCTGCCCGCCAGCACTCGAACAAACCGTGGGGGATGCGGAGACCCCTTCCAGTGACAGCCCTCAGCTGGTGAAAGGAGCAGCCCCCGGCGGTGTCCTGCTGGGAAGGACAAAAGCTGCCAGAGCCCGGCTGTTGTCCAGCAGCCCAGAATCCTTCCCTTGGGGTTTGGGAGATGCTGAGAGCAGGGGGCAGCTCTGCTTCGATGGCAACACGTCCCCCTGTGAGTGTCCGTCCTGCCTGCTGAATAAATAGGGGAACAGAGGGGGGGAGAAGCAGGCAGGAGCACCCAGGAGCTGCTCCAAGAGCACCCCGGGCTTACCCCGAGCTGCCTGTACAGGGGAGAGCACACAGATGGATACAAAACAGAGCAGCACAAGACCTTCGAGTGAAAGAGAGGCCTTTTCCAGACAGCCTTTTGTCTGGGAAACAGCCTTTGTTCCCTGCAACCTGCCGTGCCCCCACGTCCCCGGGCTGAGCATCGCCCGGCCTCCCCAGGACAGCCCGGAGAGCCAGCCAAGTGACTCTACAGCAACCCCACTATTATCAATGCAATAACACCTCGAGGACAAGGCTGGGAGAGATGCTGACTGCCAGGGGACACGGGGACAGCGAGGTGTCAGAGCACGAGAGTGGGAAGCTGAGGAGGCGCGGGGTGATTTGTGAGCAGCGCCTGAAGCCGGCGGCGCCCAGGGCGTTGTGCGCACCCAGCCAGGGATCGCGCCCCGAGGAGCTCCCTTCCCAAAGAAGGGCACAGCCAAGGCTCCTCAGGATCATTTCCAGCTGCAAGCGCCGGGCCAGCCTCCAGGAACACAGCCCTGCCCCGCGGGGCACGCCGCCCTCCTTGCAAGGAGATTTAACTCAAAAAAAAAAAAAGAAAAGATGCGAGGTCACTGCTGCGCCGCCTGCTGCGCACAGCACGGGGCAGGTGGGTGATGCTGCGGGGCTGGGCGTGCAAACCAGCCCCGAGCAGCACCTCCACACCACCCCCTGCTGCCCCCAAGGATGGTGTGGGGTTAAGGGCACGGCTGCTGCAACCAGCAGGCATCACCCCAGCATACCCCAAATCCCCCCGACGCTCACCCCGCGGGAGGCTCCGGGCGAGCGTCTCCAAGCTGCTGGGGCCGATCCTGCCCCGCAGGGACAGGGGCCGTGGTGCTGCCCGGCCTGGCGATGCAGGGCAGCTCATTTCAGGGCTAACAAACGTCCCCAAAAGGTACCCAGCTCCGCGCTGCTCTCATCCCAAAGGTGACCGATGAAACCGCCGAGGTGGAGAGGAGCAGGAGCTGCCAGTGTGAGCCCGGGCGCATTGGAAGTTGCTGTGCAACAGGGAGAGGAAACGCACTGGAAAATAAATAGAGCGGTCTCCCAGAAACGCCGCTGGCAGGGAGCTGCTCTCTCCCGGAGCACCTGGACCCGCGGCGGTGGCACCAGCGTGGCTGATGCCACAGGTCCCTGCGAGTCACGGGGAGGGCTGAAAGCAAACCGAGGGGAAAGCACGGAGCCAGGAGGAGCCTTCGTGCTCCGGCTGCTCCAGCAGGGCCTGGTGTCCCCCCACCGCCACCAAACTTCACCAGGAAAATAACAGCGGGCTGTTTCACCTGGCGAAGCTGGGGAGAAGCAGCCCTCGCTCCCTGCGGCGCCTTCACCAGGGTGACTCACAGCCCCCAGCGTGTGTCACCGCGCAATAGACCCGCCAAGGCGGTGACAGCGCCGAGCAAACAGCACGCCCGTGGCACCGGGAGTCACAGCACCCCTGAGAGGTTAAAACAATGGGATGCTGCGGAGGTGAGCCACGGGAGGCTTTGTTCCCTGACTTTCCGCCTTCTCGCGCGCAGATGCTCACTGAAAAGGTCTTGTTGTTTGTGCAAAAATAAAAATACAGAAGGCTCTTGCACGGATTGCACGGCGGAGAAGCAAAGGGGATGGGGAATGAGTCTGCCCTGCCATGCCAAAGGCTTGCAGAAGAAAACCTATATACATATATGCAGACTTATATGGACACAGACACATACACACACCCTATACACACCCGGCACCATGAAGTCCTACCCGCCACGAGCCCCAGGACCAGGCAGAGCAGAGCAGGGGACGTCACACCGCATGGGTTCCCCTTCATCAGCAACCCCAACGAGCCCTTTTGGGGTCAAATCCCTGCATTTCCATCACGCTCCCTTCTCCCCAGAATATTTATTTTTTCCCTGAAAGCTCACCCAGCCCCGCCAGCCCGCGAGCTCTGCTTTTCCCCTTCTTTTATCAGTTCCCTACAGTGGCTGGCATGGAGCTGCTGATACCTCTCCTGCCTCTTTTCTTCTGCTCTTTATTTGCGGCGTTATTTTCTAGCTGCTTTTTCATCCCTCTGCAGCCCAGCACTTGGAATAATTTACACCTGTGTAAGCACCTTGAGGGGGAGCAATTTGTAGGACACCGACACCTGCGTGGTGCAAACGAGCCCGAAAATAGGGCTGAGATGGGTTTGGGGGGCACAGGCACAGCCAGGAACGATGCCTGGGCGCAGCCTCCGACCTCCACATCGCCAGCAGCCCCCACCTGGGAGGATGCAGCAGGGGAAAGCGATGCACCTCTTGGTTTTTTTTGCATCATTTCTTAATGGTTTAATAATTTACTCATTTTCTCTGTGGTCTGACAGGAGCAGCTCTGCCCTGCCCTGAGATGGGAATTTTTCTTCCACCACCCTGGTGCCCGTCCCATCCCGTGCCGTGGTACCCACCGGCATCGCTTGCTCACTTTTGGCACCTCGGCAGCAGGAGATGCTGTTTCCAACAACCTCAATTCCCCCCTCTCCTCTTGCCCTCCTGCTCCTTCCTAAATAGTTCATGAGCATTGATTTTCCTCATGCCACTCGTGCTGGCTCCCAGCAGGCTTCGGCAGCACCGCGGCCTCGGGAGCGCTGCCTGTGCGCAGCCAGGGCCCCCCCAGGGCCAGTAATTGGGCAACTTCTTCCCGTGGTGCCTGGGCTCCTCAGCCCCAAGCCACAGAGCTCCCAGACCCATGGGATGGTGATGGTTTTACCCAACCTACGCCTTGGCTATGAGATGTCAAGGGGCAGTGATCTCTTGTGGCAGATTTTTGCAGGTTTCTGCAAAGCGGGAGGGATCCAGGACTTTATGCTTCCTAGCCAGCCTTCCACCTCCTTCCCTGCTCTCCCCTGGGGGGGCAGACCCCAAAATTCATCCCTCCAGGAGGGCAGTGACACATCCTCCCTTCCGCAGCTGGATCCAATGCACCCCTTTACATTTTGGGTTTAAATCAGGTTGTTCTCTGGCTACATACCACCAACAAAACCTCTCACGAGGGCTCCTGCTTTTCCTTGCAAGCTCTCCTCTGACGTCTGTCAGTCTGTTTGGGGTGGTACCAAGCACCCATCGTGCTAGTGTAGGATCCCCACCCGGGAACACGAGCCCTGAGCCACCCCAGGGCACCCAGCACCGACCCCACCGCCAGGCAGCAGGGGCACCCGTGCCGAGCCGCCCCTCCGCGCCCACGCTCGCAGATGATTTCCACCACGTTTTGCACCCAAAAATAAAAAAAATTAAATCCCCAGAAATTTAGCACCGGAGCTTGTTAACATAAGCAAATCCAAAAAAAAAAAAAAAAAAAAAAGGGAAAAAAAATTGTCAGCCCTACTGCAAAGAAATTTCCAAGCAGTCAGCATCTTCGCTGTGCGGGGGCGCAGCGCCGCGCATCGCACCTAGCCACCGAGGGGTTTCCAGACAGGAGGCAGCACAGCCTCGGCGCCGAAGTTGCCACTCCAAGAGAAGCTTTTGGGAGGCAGGAACACCCCCCCCAAAACCTCCAGGCTCTTCCCAGGCACCTCCAGCCTCCACCGGAAGCGTAAAACACCCGTGCCCAAGAGCAAGACGTGCCCCGGCGCATCTGGAGCGTGGGGAGCGGGGCACGACGGCACGATGGGCCAGGACCCCAAAGCACAGCCTGATCCCCGATGAGGGTTTAGAGGAGGATATCGCACACCGCAGCCCCCGGGGAGCTTTGCCATGGGAAGAAGCCGAGGGGGACGCAGAGCAGCCCTGAACCCCCCCGTGCCGAGGACCGCAGCCTGCTGGAAGCGGCTAACGCAGCGCCTTCACTCCAGGCTTGCTCCTTCCATATGCCAGCGAAAAATCAAGTCCAAAAGCAGAGCAGCAGCGATAGATCTCTACGGCTACCATAGCGAGGAAAAAGCCCGTGGTACAGAGAGCCGCGTGCCGTCTCCCAGAAACTCCCCGCGCTGCAAATGCCAAATTATTAAGTCAAGAGGAAGAAGGGGGGAAAAAAAATAAACCCTCTCCATAACAGATTGCGATTGTGTTTCCTCTCAAAAGAACAACACTATCCACATTCCCTCGCTGCTGCTTTCCTGTGTAGCCCTCACTCTGGCAGCTTGTTATTTAGGAGCTGGGGAGGAACACCTGCACCCATGGGTGCCCCCTCGGCTGCAGCCGAGGTGACTCAGGTGAGGTGACTCAGCCCCCACCGCAACAGGTCCCTTCCTGCCCACCTTCCTCTCGTTGCCGGGTCCCAAAGTTTCAGAAAGCAGAGACAGAGCTGAAAATGGGAATATAAGGAGCAATAATATTTTGCAGCTCTTTTTTTTTTTTTTTTTTTTTAAATCACAAGTTGTGATTTATTTTTAAAAACATTTCTGTAAGCTGATGGGATACTTACATCACCTTGGCTAGGGAGAAAGGTGGCATGCTTAGAAAATGATGTTTCTCTTTTTAAATGATATCTCCAGGAGACAGAGAGCACAAGGCAGGGTGCTCACGGTCCCTGTCGAAGGACGCTCACGTTTTCTATGAGGAATTCAGCACCACCTGGAGCAGAGCCACCAAACCCCAGCGCTTACCCTGTATCTCCAGGAGCCACGCTGCCCTTATTTGCCCAATCTGCTCCCCTCTAACACCAAAAAGGCCCTGAATTACTGAGGGAGCTGATGAATAGCACACCAAAACAACACTATAAGCTGCTCTCACATCTGCCCACCACGATTTTGTTTAGCTCCCAACCCCTCGCTCTGACACCACCCTGCTACTGCAGGGAGGGCAGCCACAGGACGAGCCTTTATTAATAAAATACATTTTTGCTCTGATGGAGCATTTTCAGCCTTTCTTCTATCGTCTTGCCCCAGTTCTCCTGGTGAAATACCTCGAGGACGAGAGGCGATGCGGGGCTGGTGCCCGGGAAGCCGCCTCTGCCCCCCGCTCACCTCCCGGCACCGGCCGAGCACCGCAGCCGATGGGAGCAGGAGGAAAGAGATATCGCATGCGGGAGGCTTCCAAAATTAAAAAACAGAGAGAAGGGCCTTCGGGGAAGGAGCCTAGATAATTAAAGCATTAATTCAGATCTCAGCGCCTGCTCGGAGCGAGTCGCCCAGGAGCCTGCAGGATGGAGAGCCCCGGCCTGCCAGCACCTCGCCTCGCGCACCCGGGGGCCGCACCCAAGGGTCCCCAGCAGCACAGCCAGGGGGTGGCGGGGGCTGAGCCGAGCCCCAGGTGCCTTCCATTCGAGGGGACGGCGGTGACAAGCTCAAGCTCCCCAGGAGCGGGGAGAAAGCCAGCTAGCTGGAATAACAAGCAGGAAGCAGGTGACAGCTCCGAGGTTAATCAACCCTCCCAGCAGCGCTGGCAGCTCCCTGCACGAGCAAAACAAAGTGACTACAACAAAGTCACGACAGGCACAGGCAAGCCGAGCGAGGGTGGCTCGCTGAGCATCCCCGCTCCGTGCCCAGCGCCAACCTGATGGGAGAGCAGCATCTCCCCAAAGACCCTACGCAAGGCTCAGGTTTGCACGTTGCCATCAGGGTAAGGGCAAAAATCCCACAGCAGAGGGAGAAAATCCGCCCGGCCAGGCCGTTAATAAGCACGCACGTGTTGCCTGCCAGGGCTGCGAGGAGCAGAGCCAGGCACGGGGCAGAGGAGCCCTGCTGAGTGGAGAGAAAAAGCACCAGAGCCAGAAGTCGCTGGGAAAAAAAAAAAAAAAAAGGCAAAAAAAAAAGGCTCTGAAGAAGGAAGAAGGCATTTGGAGCAGGTGGAAAGAGTCTGCTCCAACCCAGCAGACACACTTCGTTTCGGTTTTGCTTTTTATGTCACATCCACCAGAAGAAAAAAAAAAAAAAAGAAAAAAAAAAAAACACACACCACCGGGTTTGAAAAAGCAGCTTCCAAGCCCCAAATCCTGGAAGCGTTTGCCTCCCTGCTCCAGCAGGCAGCACAAAATTTCAGTGCTCTCCAAGCTCCTGCCCTCTCCTCCCTCTTCCTCTTGAATTTGCCTGGTGCAGACCAGCCTTGCTCCATAGAAACATTTTGGTATCAACCAAACCAGTTGCTTTTGGGGCTGGGGAACTCGCCGTGCTGTGCCTCGTCGGTTCCCCGTGGGCTCCGTGCACCACAGAGCTGCACCCCCAGGAGAATATTTCCACCTCTCCTCGCTCAGCTCGGTGCCCAGGCACTCGGAGAGCACCCCTGGTCCCCACCGCATTGCTCAGGCATCGGATGCAACAGCTGAACATCCAGCAAGGAGCAGGGGAAGGGCGAGAGGCACGAAGGGATCTGTAAATCCACGCACGGAGGGGGAAAGCCAGGCGAGCGGGGGCTCAGCAGGAGGATGCTGGCGGCCGCCACGTAGCAGCGCCCGGCGAGACGCCAGCCCCGGCCCCCAGGGACCTGGCACCCTGGGAAAACCTGCCCAGCGTCTGCGTCTTGCAAACCTGGGCTCTAAAAATATCCGGCGGTGCAAGTGACACATTTCGAGCAGAGCCGGCGAGCAGGCAGCCCACAGAACCAGACTCGCTTAGCATCAGCGGAGATGTGTTTTGTAAACAGATTTTTTTTTTTTATTATTTATTTTTTTTAAGGTTGCTTAGTAAGGCGCTGATCAACCAGCAGAAGCATTCCTCTGATGTGGCAGAAATGAAGTGGGGGGGGAACCCGGCGAGAGGAAAAATTCCTGCGTTGAACTGGGTGAGAGGAAAACCTCAGTGGCTGGTCCCGATTCCCACCATTTCCCCATGCCCCAGCCCCAAAAACGGGGCGTATAGCCCCAAAGATCATACCTACAGCCCCAAAAATGGCACTTGGAGGAGGTGGAGGAGCAACAGTGGCTGTGTGGACCCTGCTGGCACCGGGTGCCCCCTCCCCAAGCCCCCCAGGCAGGGCGCGATGCACGGGGGCCGGGATGACCGGCAGAGCGCGGAGCAGGGGAAGAGTCACCCAAACTGTTGCTCAGTTAATGACGGTAATTAGCCGCCGGCTTGAGCGACTCCCATTAGTTACAGCCTGATTTCCTCCGCGCACGCGACCGCAATTAAAAACTCACCGGCCGGCCAAGTTGGAAGCGGCCCCCCCGGCCCTCCCGCGGGGCTCATCGGGGACGCACGCGGACGAGGTGCGCGCTCCCTCCGGAGACGCGGATTAATTAGCCCTAAGCGGGGCTCCTCTCCCAGCCCCGCTCGGAAAAAGCCTCGGCGGCGGTGGCACGGAGCAGATGCCGCGTGGCTCGAAGGGGAGAGGCTCGCTTCGGGGCTTGGCTCCGTGCCCCGAGCGCAAAATGGAGCTGGGGTTTCTCTCTGGAGCCGTGCCCGCACCGAGACGCAGACGTCTGGCCGAAGCGGAGAGCTTCACAAAAATAATGTTGTCGGCGGCCCCTACGAGCTGCTGGCAGGGGGATGCTGCTGCTGCTGCTCGGCTGCTGCCCAGCCCTGCCCACGCCTCCGGGCTGGTTTGGGGTTTATTTATAGGCACCAGCCCTCCGAGGGTTGCGGGAGACGGAGCTCACAGCCGCGGGGCTGCCCCGATCGGGCAAATCCAGGCGTTGATTGCACCTGCAAGGGGGGGTCTCCACAGGCAGTGCATGGGCATGCTGATAGGAGCTCTCCGTGCTGGCGAGGAGGGGAGCATCCCTTCTGAGCCGACAGCTAACGCCGGGAGCCAGACAGGGCTGCAAGAGGGTCCCCTTGGCCTTGCCGTGTCGTTTTTGGGGATCGCCCCCCAGCAAGGCAGCCCCTCACCCCGCAGGTGCCACAGGCTTATTTTGGAGGGGAAACACAGCACAGTTCATGCCGGGGACCTCTGACCCAGCCCATCCAAGCAGGGCCAGGCCGATGCCAGACACAGCAGAGAGGGAGAACCCCTCCAAAACACCCCAAATCTCATCCCCCCGACCGCCGGGCCGGTTTGCCAGCCTGACAGAGCACTCATCAGCCTCTCCCCAGGCGCGAGGCCCCGCAGCCGTGACTAATGGCCTGTTTTGACATCCCCCAGACACTCCAGCGCTTCCTTGCAGCCGCGGGGAGCAGGAAGGAAGGAGGGAACACGGCAGCGGGGGGCGGCAGTGGCAGCGAGGGGCAGGAAGGGGTTTCGCGGGAGCAACAGGCGCCGAGAAGAAAAGCAGCACGGGAGGGATGCGGGAAGCGGCACCGGGAAGCCCATGCGGGGAGGTTCATTAAAAAGCACCCTCCTCGTGTCAGCACAGCCGCCTCCGGTGCTGGGGGGGGCACAGCAGAGACACGGCCCCAGCCCTTGGCAGGGCAGCAAAGAGCATCCCAGCCACCAGCCGGGCTGCAGCCATCTGCCACCAGCAGCACCGCGGAGAGGAGCAGCCGAACCCCGGGGGTATGGCTCGCCTTTTTTTTTTTTTTTTCTCCTCCTTTTTTCCTCCTGACAGCTCTTGCTTCCCTTGCTCAGCTGGCCCCGCTGCACCCCGGTGGGATGGGGAGAGGGGAGAGCACCGGGATGCGGCTCCAGATCTCCACCAAGGTTTCGCAGTCAGAGCGGAGCGGCCCTGCAAAGCTGCCCCAAAACGTGCCCCGGTCTCACAGCACACAGCCAGGCCTACCCCAGCCAAACAAGAGGAGAATCCTCGAGCACTAAAACATCACCCCAGTGTCCTGCCATCCCCCTCGGGCCACCAGCGTCCCCACTGGCATCCCCAGCCTGACCACAGCACGCAGGAAACCAGCAGAAGCCCAGCCGCTGCCACCAGGGCGCCACTCACAGAAGTCCCCCGGGGTCACCGTGGGCAAGGAGCCCGATGCCAACAGTAGTGGTGCTGGGGGGTGAGGGGGGGGATTGTTTTCTCTCTTCAGCTGTCACCGAAGCCATCAGTGTGGCTGTGTGTGAGTGATTCACACCAGTGCATGAAAAGCCGGTGACTCAGTCCTGGGTGCAGTGGGTGGGCGCATTGACTCAGCCGCGCCAGGGGAGGGGGCGCAGGGAGCCCAGGGAGGGTCCTGCCGGCGGGGGTCAGGGGCAGCGCCGGCCGGGAGCTCCCCCCACGTGCTCAGAGCACAGGCGTCCCCAGCAGCAGGGGCGGCGGAGACGTCTGCACGGCGCCTGAAATAGGTGCCAGGGCGCGACGGGGAGGGGTTTGTGCCGCCCTGTGCCACGGCGCAGAGGAGACCCCCAGGATGAACGCGTCCCAAGCTGCTCTGAACAAACTTTCCGGGTTCTCCAGGACCTCCGAGGAGCAAGGAAAAAGTCAGGCAGGCAGCAGCGGAGCTCAGAGCCAGGGGACAGCCTGCAGCCACCACCATCTCTCCACCTTCCAAACTCAGCCAAGGATTCCCAGCCCTCTGCCACACCAGCACCAAGACCTGCCCCGTGCCACCTGGAGAGCACGGAGGGACACAAAAAGACACCTCGAGGGACCCAAATCTTGGCCCCCGGCACCCTACTGCATGCCAGCAGCACAACGCAGGCCCCTTGGGGAGGAGGAACGGAAGGGAACCCCTCCAAAACGCGTCCCCGTTTGGACGATGCTCGGTCCCCGACTGCTCAGCGGGTGACAGCGACGCCCGGGTCCTGCCAACGATGCCACCAGCAGCCAAGGCTGCAGGCTCGTGTCTCACCGCGCCGACAGCGCCTTCCGCAGCGCCGCGCCTCGTCTGCCAAGCAGCCCCGGCGGTGGATCCGGACCAGGCGAGAGCGTCACCGCATCCCACAGCATCCTGAGCCGAGCCGCTGAGACCTCCCCATCCGCAGCGCGGCCTCACGGCGGCACCCAGAGCAGGATGAGCTCACCCACCCGAGGGGACGCAAGCAGGGGGGTCCGGGGCTTGAAACGAGACGTGTCTGCTGGGGGTGGCAGCAGGGGGTCACCCCCAGCCCCCCCCCCATCCAAGCAGAGGGAGCCACGAGCACCAAGCCATGCGCTCTGCGCCGCGAGAGCTGCAGGAGCGTGGCAACGCAGCGCCCTGGTTTGGGGGGCTCCTCGCTGCCATCAGCACCTCCTGGGGGGGTTGAGAATAAACTTGTAGCAGGGCCGGGACCCTCAGTGGAACCACAGGGAGGGGACATGAGATTTGGAGAGCCCTGGGGGGGGACAGGAGGCCTCAGGGCTGGATGAGCTGAGCATGCAGCCAGCCCCCTGCCACCCTGTGCAGTGCTGGGGGGGGCTCAGTGAACGGGCCTGGACCCCCTGCCCCAGCTCAGCCCCCCGGTGCAGACCCACGGGTGGGGGTCCATGGGGGTCCCCCATTTGCCAAGAAGCAGCTGAAGCAGGGGGGGACAGGAGCAGGGCCCCCCACGAGCCACCTTAAGCACACCCAGCGGCCCCCCCGCGCTCGCAGGCTACCTTAATAAAAACTTTGTCGGAGCGGGGCTCCTCTCCAGCGCTCGGCCAGGCAGAGAATCCCTCGGAAATCCACAAAACGGGGGTCGGCTCCAAAAACTTGGGTGCCCCCCCACCCCCCCGCGCACCTCCCCAGGCGCACCCCGCGCGCGGCGGGGCCGGGCCGGGCGCACCCATGGGTGCCACCGCGCCTCCCCCCGGCTCTCTCCTTCCCCCCTGCGGCGTGGAAAGAAAAAAAAACAAAAACCCCGAGATCCGAGCATCCTCGGCTGCCAGGGCGAGACAAAAGCCTCGGGAGATGGGAGGCGAGGAAATGTCCACCGGGAGGAGGAGGAGGAGGAGGAAGGCGGCTGCCGGGTGGGCAGCGAGCAGCCGGCGCCTGTCCCCGGCGGGTCCCCAACAGGTAGCAGCTGGGCTCGGCGACATCCCCGGGGACACGGAGAGGGGTGAGGGTGGCCCGGGGGGGGCTTACCTGGGGCGGGAGGCATGGCTCCGGCTGCCCGAGCTATTCCGGAGGCATCGCGGAGATGGCAGGGGGGGAGCCGCGGGGAGGGGAGGGAGGAGGGAGAGGAGCGGGGAAGGGAGGAAGGCGAGAGGGAAGGGGGAAGGGGGGGGGGGAGAAGGAGAAATTATTTAAAAAAAAAAAATAGAAAGAAAATAGAGACAGTTAAAATCTGTCTCCTGCCCACACAGTGGAAAAGAAATCTCTGACAATCGGAGAAAGAACTCGCGCACACACACACACACAGCGGAGGGGGCAGCCGGGGGATAACAAAGGAGGGAAGGAGCCGAGCTCCGCCAAAACACGGCGAGAAGTGTCCGGGCACACCCCCTGCACACACCCCCCCCCCCCGTGTGCACACCCACCCCGGGTGCCCACCCCCAGCTGCCCCCACCCCGGCTGCTCCTGGGCTCCTTTGGCCAAACCCAGCCCGGGACAAGGTGGGGACCCCGCGGTGTCCCCACGGCCAGCCCCGCTGCGCACAGCTCTGTCCCCAAGCTGTCCCCAAGCTCCTAGGGAGCCAGGACATGGTGCTGCGTGGTGCTCAGCCCTGCCCCAGCACCTCGCCACGCAGGGCACGAGGTGGCACCACGGCCACAGGTGTCCCCCCCGGCAGGGCAGGGTGACACCGCAGGCTGCGGGGTGATGGAGATTTGGGGACGGGTCACGTTTGTCCTGCTTTGCCAGGGCCGTGCATGGCTCTGCAGCACGCGTGGGGCCGCGCACCCAGCACCCCCCTGCAGGGCTGCACGCTTGTGCCACCCAGCCCAGGTGCTGTCTCTTTAAAGCCTTCATCTGGAAATGTGAATGGAGCTAAGGGGAGAAAATCCCAGAGATGAGAGCTTCGCTTCAAGCGCGTCCCCTCCAGTGCTTGGGTTCATTCACACGCTCACCAAGAGCGCTCCCGCCCCGGCACGCTTCCTCCACCAGCACCTTGGGGAGGATGTGCATGGCTACCCATCCCCGATGCACAAAAATCCCTCAGCCCACTGCCCGTGGCACCGATATCCCAAATCCAGCCCAAGCACGGCCATGCCGGCACTGTCCAGGAGGACAAAACACTGCTTGGGCTTCTGCCCCCGACAACTCGTGCACAGCAGCAGCCCCACCAGCTTCTCCCATTTTATTAGCATGGGATTGCACAGGGATGGATGCAGCTGCACCTCGTAGCACTGCATCCCTCTGGCCCCACAGTGGCACGGTTTGGGCACAGCCCTGCACCCGCCACTCCCCCAAAATCCTGCCCCACGGCTCGGGCAGCCCCAGCGCTGCGGCCACCCTGAGCACGGAGCCAGCTCTCCCCGCCACAGGCCTGGGGTCTGCATTTTAACACACGGATGTGCTGCGACTCGGGGCCTGGCGATGCCTCGGATTCGGGTGTCTCCATGGTTACCTGCTCACGGTGGAGCTGGGGGTAATGGAGCTGGCGGGGTTCACCGTGGGGCGCGCATCGCCCTCTCCCCGCACAGCCCGGCCCCGCTTCGCCCCTCTGGGTGCCACCGCCAGCCGGGCAGGAGCAGCGAGGCTCACCCCGAGGACTCGGTAGGTGCGTGGTGCCGCCAGCCCCGCGGATGATTAGGCACAAAACCAGACCGGCATCCCGAAAGCAAACGCAATCCCGAGCCGCGCAGAGACGAAGCCGAGCGTCTCCTCCCACCGCCCCGCACGGCTCCGGCGAGACGGGAGCGAAGCATGGAGAGGGGCGGGCAGGATTTGGAGCTGCTGGTGGCCCTGGGGTGCCAGGAGCAGCAGCACCCACCCACACGTGGCTGGCCCCACGCTTGCTTCCTCGCAGGAGCATCCCTTGGCCACAGCGTGCCCGGGGCCAGCAGCCCAAGGCGCTGGCTGGAAGCGCTGTGCCAAAAATAATAATAATAATAATCATAATAATAATGCAGAGCTGCAAAGCACGGCAGCCCAGCTAAAGAAAAATGAGAGGTTTTATTATTAGTATCTGACTTTGCCTGACCCTAAGCTTGTGGGAGCAGCCATCAAGATGCCCAAACCCGGTGCCCAAACCCAGCACCGCTTCGCTCTGCAGGCACTGCCCAGGCTTTGCGCATCCTCGCCGCTCACTTGCTGACCCCGAGCCCCCTAGAGCAGCACTCTGGGGTAACCTCGAGGACCTCCAGCTTTTGAATCCTGCCTTCTTTCTGCACCAGCACCGAAGCCCAGGCAGCTGTTCCTCGCCTCCTCCCTGCGTGCGCAGCCACAGACTCCTCAGATGTGGACTAATTGGAGAGAGTTCGGAGGGCAGCAAAGAGCGCACAGAGGGCAGCAAAACAACCTGTTGAAAAAAAAAGCCCCCAAGAGCTGGATTTGTCTGGTCTGGAAATCAGAAGGCAGAAGAGACGTGATGCAGTCTTCAATTATGCAAAAGGTTGCTACAAAGGGTGCGGGAATAAATTGTGCTCCATCCCCACTGGGAACAGGACAAGAAGTAATGGGCTGTAAATTGTAAATTAGACACTTGGAGGGGAAAAAAAAGAGATACTTAGCAGCAAGATTGCTTAAGCTTTGGGATAGATGGCTGGGGAGCCGCTGGGCTTTGATAGCAGGCAGACAAGCCCTGATGAGCTATGGTCTGGCTAAAGCAGCTCCCATTCTGCTACAGGGAAGGGATGAGAGCAAAGAGTGCTCCAGCCCTCGTGGCAGCGCTGAGAGCTGCAGAGCCTGCCCCAAAAGCCATAGGATGCCGAGGAAAATGAGTGCTGCTCTCCTGGAGAAAGCAGCTGCCATCGCATGGGAAAGCAGCAGGTAAGGATTGATGCGCCCTGGGGCACCAGCCAAACACTGGTGCCCTCATTAAGGTCTGTTCCCAAATGTCTGCAAACCCCAAAATACAGGCTCATGTTCTCCAAATCCAGACAATCCTCACCCAGAAAGCTGTCCAGCAACAGAAACTTGTGAGACTGTTTTCAGGAGGGAAAACAGAGCTATTTTCAGCCCGGGCAGCACTGAGCACCTCCAGGGTGAGCGATGCTGCGGAGCTGGAAGCTGTGGAAGCTGCACCCCAAAGGAGATGATCCCTGAACACTGAAATTGTCTTCTATAAACATATATGTATAAACCTATGTATAAATATATAAAATTATCCATCGGGTATTGCAGACAGTGATATCAAACACCTCCAGGATGCTCTGGCCACTTTTTGTCGGTGGGGTTGGTGATGGGACGAGCCCTGCCTGGTGCTACCTGGTGCCAGCACCACCCCGTGCCCAGGACCAGCACCAGCACTGCTCTCCATGGCTGAGCTCCCTCCTGCGTGCCTTTTCCTGCTGCTCATCCCTCTCTGGTGCCCAAGGTGTAATTACCTCTCGTGTGTTTAAGCGCATCTGCCACCTGGAAACCACGCAGACCCCGTACCCTCGCCTTGCCCCCCTCCACCTGCACGCAGCCCCGGAGCTAGGCGCACAGACGTTTACCCACCTGGTGTTTTCTCCCCCCCCCTGCTTGCGTCTGAGCTGCTTGACTCAAATCTGAGCCGTTTCTCAGGGTCTGTCTCACAGCCCAGTCAACACGGAGGGAGCCGGTGCCAAAAACCCAGTTCCTTCGGATCTGATTGTTTGTTTTCCTCCCTTCCCAGTTTGGGATTTTTGAAAGGGAGCCACACGAAACCAACTGCTCGCTGTTCACTGCGAAGCCTGGGGCTGCAGTTTCAATCGTTTGCCCGAGGATCAGGTGGATGGAGAGGGAATTAGCTCCTCACAACAGCCCTGCGCCCGCACACGCTGCCCCTGGGGCCGTCGGCTCCCCTAAAACCACCCCAAACACCACCCCAGCACCTCCACCTCCTGCCCCCTTCATCCCATGCTGCTAACACTGCTGCTGTCTCCTTACCCAAAATATTAACTCAAGGCAGTCTGAGACGCTTCCCAAAACCCACCCTGTGATGCTCCTCTGCTCACAGGAGCGCCGCACGGATCCGATAACTTCCCACCCTCCTCCAGGTCTATTGATGTTATCCCTGCTCAGGTCAAACGATGCCTAAACCTGCAGTGAATTAAACCTGGCTTTATCTCAACAACCAAGCCAACAGTTCACGTTTCTGCCTCTGAGCTCGGCTTGCAGGCCAGCAGAGGATGAGCACGGTCTTTTGAGGCCTTTTTTGGGGTACCCAAAGTAGCAGCCAGCCCATCACGAGAGGAGCTCTTTGCAGGAGCAGAGCAGGGGGGAGGACACAGCGTCCTGCACAACCCGCCCTGGTTTCCCCCATTTCTCCTAACCCTGGGCAGAGGCAGCATCTGGGCTCAGTCTGTTCCTGACCCCAGTCTCATCCTCACAACACCCCAAATACCTCCACCCAAGCCCCAAACCTCTCCAAGCCAAGCATCCCCTGCTTTGCTGGGAGCCGTTCCCAAGCAGCATCCCTCCCTCCCGCCCCGACACCCAAAAATGGGCTGGATTTCACCCATCCTCTGCCCCAGAGATTGCCCTGGAGCTCCCCACGGGGCAGCAGCAGCCACAAACCCACCGTGCCCAGGTCCTTAAGCAGCCCCAGCTTCACCCAAAACACCAGCAGAGCTCAAGTCCCCCCCCCTAGCAGAGCCAGGACCGGGTGAGCGACGCACCCATGGGTGCTGGTCCTGCAGGGAGCACCACGGCACCCCGCCAGGCGTCGGGGCTGGCAGCCCCCGAGGCTGCTCAGGCTTCGAGGCACAGCTCCAAGAGGCAACAAACAGCAATATTAGCAAAATAACACCGAAACGGATCCAAACAGGAGCCTCCTGCCAGCAGGCGGGGAGGGCGTCTCGCCGCAGGGGAGCGCCCGGAGACGCTGTGTGAGCAGCGGGGAGACGCGGCGCTGAGCAGCTTTTTTGGCATCCCTCTCCTCCTGAGGCAGCTCGCCTCCATTCCAGGCACCGAGCAGCCTCTCCCCTACACCAAAATGTTCTTTTTTTTCTCCCCGTTACAGTACTGGAGGGACAGGCAGAGCCCTGGTGGCTGCTTCCCATGCATGGGTCTAGCCCCCGTGCGCCCAGGTTAACCCTCAGAGCAAGGGGGCTTTGAGGAACTTCGTAACCAGACCCTGCAGGCAAATCCAGAGCAAAAGCATCGCCCTGTAGCTGTAACAGCACACGGAAACGTGGTGCTTTTCCTACCGGAGTGACCGGTGCCTTCGCTGACAGGTCCCCCCCCAGTTCTCCCCCTGCAGCGCACGTTCGGGCAGCTTCAGGAAGGCAGCAAGGAGCTGGGGAAGCTGTTGCTGGGAAACTGTTCACAAAGCCTGGCTCAACGAGGCACCAAAAAGCAGGGGGCTGGCAGCACCTGAGCATCCATCCTTCCATCCATCCGTCTGTCCGTCCGTCCTCAGGTCACCGCTCCGTCACAGCGTCACCCTGGCGAGACCGGCCCCGGGGTCTCAGCCCCATTCCCGTGATTTCTGCCCCCAAATCACAGCGCAGCTCATCTCCACGTCCCTCCGAACTGGAGGGAGAACTGAAGGCATGAATCACTTCCTCCCCAGCTTCTCTTATCCCCACAACAAAAGCCCAAGGAGCACATCCATTTCCTTTCCCTCTGCCCCGCAACGAGCACCGAGGGGGCACTTGAGCTCCTCATCCCCAGCCTCCAGCAGAAAAGCTGTGCCGACGCCCTTGGGCACTCAACAAAACCCTTCAGAACAGCTTCAGAGCCAAAAACATTTTTGATTTTGTGATTTGGATGCTCAGGGTGCTCCATCACATGGATGGGGAAACCCTTGGTGGCTTCAGCAGGGGCAGAGCCCCCAGCACGGCACCGAGCAGACCCTACCCTGCTGCCCCACGCCTCCCAGCCCCACATCCCCTGCCTGCTCTCAGGTCCCAACGGATGCTCGCAGCCTCATCGCCAGCCAAAATCCCTCTGGAAGCCCCAGGCAGCTGGCAAAGCCAGCAGCACCAAGCAGATCGGTGCCTGGGGTGCACACAGCACCCCAAATCCCACATCTCGGGTCACCCCAAGGAAGCTGGGAGCCTGGGGATTTCAGCTCTGGCAGCACTCCGAAACGCAGCTCCGTCTCCATCCTGAATAATCACCTTTTATTTGCAGCCTGAGACAGCCGAGCTGCTGAAATGCTGCAATTTCCTAACGGGAAATCTGTTTTGTCAGCTCATGGAAGACTAAATTGATGCAACCCAAATCTCCGCCCGCCTCCCCTAAGCACGTGGCCTCCCACCCAGCTCCTGGTCGGGAGGCAGCCTGCAGGCTTCGTGGGGCTCAGGTGCCAGCCAAAACTATTTTTTCCCTGCTCCAGAGACAGCCACAGCCAAAAAAAAAAAAAAAAAACAGCTTCCCAGTGGCAGAGGAGGTCCTCGCCACGGCACCAGAGGACGTGGCTCACTCCACATCAGAGCTGGCATCGCCCCCAGCTTTACAAAACGTCCAAGTAACCCCAAAAGAGTCTCATTGCAAGGACCAAAGTCAATTTAATCTTCCAAAGTAGGATTTTGGAAGTCCTTAGGGGAAGCAGACACGTAGCAGAAGGCTTTCTGCGCTGGAGGTGTTCCTCCGAGCTGCAGGTAGCTTTACAGCAGGAATTCCAGAAATGGGACGGGATTTATGTTTGTTTGACTTTTTTTTCGAGTGCCTTGGCCCAGAACTCCCTCGGCAGGAGGTGAGGGATAAATCAGCAGCCTCGTGAGCCACGGAGGGGGCTGATTCATCAGAAAGCAACAAGGAGATGCAGCACAGACGAGGAAGGAGCGACGGACATCAGGGCGCACCCCAAATCCCTCCCTGGGGACCCCGGGAGCACCTGGGGCATGGGGAGGGACAGCAGGAACTGCTGAGAGAGGCGTGAAAGCCTCTGGCACCCGATTTTGGCACGGCCAGGAGAGGCTGGGAAGAGGAGGCACACGGCCAGAGCACGAGACCCGGAGCTCAGCACGGGGCTGCCGTCTCCACTGCGGCAGCAAACAAACAGCAGCCCTGAACGCGTGCCCGAGCACAATGAGTTTAGAACAATAGATCCGCTCCCGCGCCTCTTTTTTCAGGTGCAGTGGGTAATTAACCTGCGGGCCTCATCCCCACAAGGCTAATTGAGAGCAAGGACTCGTTGGAGCTGCAAACAGAGCAGCGTTTGTGCGTGGTGAAGCACCTGAGCTGGCCGGGCAGCGGGGACGCATCCCCTCGTGGGCATCCAGCTGAGCCTGCCCGGGGCTCAGCACCCCCACCAAGGGCACGGGCTGCGTGCTGCCTCACCAAAACGGGGGAAAACAAAGGAGATTCAGCACCTCTCGAGAGCTCCAGCAGCTGCACCTGGCGCCGTGAGTCACCCCGAGCAGAGCTGCGAGCAGATGGCACGAGGGGACAGGCCTTGGAGAGGATCACGGTGCCCCTTGCAGCACGCCCACTGCTCTGGGGCGAGGGGAGGCCAAGCCTTGCCCTATTTCCAGCAGCTCTGGCAGTGGAGCAGAGCCTTTTGTTTTACCAGCAGTCATTTTGAGGCCGTTTCCATCCCCCCTGTGGCGCAAGCCAGAGGTCTGCATCCCAAATCAGCCACTGCCAGGGATGGGCAGCTCTCCCCAGCGTCAGAGGGATGCTCCAGCAGGATCCCCAGATACCTGCGTGTGCCAAAAAAGCAACATCAGGGAAAACAAAGTAGCTAAAATTGCCCTTTTGGAGCAATTTAGTCCCTGCTCCAGCAGCCTTCTGCTCACTTACAGCTGGGGAGCACAGAGGGAGGGAGGAAAATTGCAAAATGCAGCCCTTTAGTGTTGGAGGTGGGGTTTTTCCTGGCGGAAAGCTGGTGCTGCTGGCTCTTCTGCCTGGCCACGCAGCGTGGTGCTGGACATCCCCGAGGGCAGCAGGGGCTGCAGGCACGGCCCAGAGCTGCCTTGCTGAGGAGCTCCACGAGCATCCCACAGCTCACCCCTCCTGAGCACTGCCAGCATGCAAATCGCTCCTTTTGGGGTGGAATTTGCGCCATGCAAGGCGTGTGCCATCCCAAACAACTCCTCTACGGCTCCTAATCATGAGCTGTGGCAGCAGCAAACGAGGACTGATTATTTGTGAAGCACCCCCAGCAAGGAGCCCCACCGCCTGCCACCACCCCACTGTGTGCAGCCCCACAGACCTCACTTTGGGGTGCTGCAAGCAAGCGATCCACCTGCATCCTCCCCGTGCCACCAGCATCATCCAGGAGGCCTGGGGGGCTCGGCAGCTCCCCCCAGACAGCCCAGGAACCCTCCCTGCGCTGGGTGCCGCCGGCTGCTCCTCGAGACACCGCGTCCCTCGGAGCCGCGGCTCCCCCGGGGTCTGCGGGGCAGGACAGGAGCAGCGAGGAGCCGGCAGCGACAGGCAGCTCTGCAGCTCCAGTAAAGAGGATGAGAGAGTCATTAATTCCCATCAAATCACTCTACGCCCATGAGGTTTTTGTTTTATTACTCTGGAGATGGCAGAGGGTAATTTATTGATCAAAGCAGGAGGTGCTGCTGGAGAAGCCAAATGAACGCCGCGGCTCCGCGCTCACGGGGGGGGGGGGAAGGTGGCAGGGGGACCCACAGCAAGCAGGATCCTACACCAAAAAGGGCCGGGAGCTGTGCCCAGAGCAGCCGTGGGGCAGGTTTATGCTTGGGGAGGAATAAGAATAAGAAGCAGGGGAGCTGCTGGTGGTGGGATGTCCCCGTGCAGGAGAGCAGCAGGAGGCTGGAGAAACAGAGCCACCCAACCCGCCCCAGAGGGCAGGGGACACCAGTTCCCCCTCTCCATCCCCAAAACAGCAGAGGAAGGCTCTCAAGCTCTCATGCAGCCTCACTATCAGCCCCAAAACCACCCAGTCTTCACCCAAAACTATTTTTCCCAGCCCCCAGACCCCCACAGGCACCCCACGTGCCACGGGAAGAGGCAGGCTGGAGAAAACCAAAGGGCTGGTGCCGAGCGAGCAGAACCACTAAATATTTACACAGCCTGCCATCAGCCCCTGGGCGAGGAGGTGGCAACCGTGCAATTTCAGCACAAGCAGCACAACAATTTTTTTGCGTA